AGATGAGTGAATGAACAGCTGGATCGATGTCGATGTATCCTGCTTGGATTAGTCGCATCGGGAGAATGAAACACGAGCTAAGAAGTCCAGAAACAGTCGCAGCAAATAGGTACATGACACACGGATTCGTTCTCAATGTTCGACGAGTAAAAATGAAGATACTTAATAAATGACCAATAGTACCAAATGGAATCATGATTAAGCAGAAGCATCGAATGAACATCATTGCATACCATTTGATTTGTTGGGCTTCGAATTGTAAATCGGTTTTGTTGGATAATCGTAAATCCATTCGTATGTTTCTTAAAAGAAAGCTACAAGACAATTTCTCTTTCTTTTCTGCTCACGAGGAAAGAAGGTACTTTCGTTGTTGTACTTGTGTCAGCAGTTTTTACAAGTCTATATTCTACTCTTCCACTCTATGCATCTTATATCACGAATGTAACGTCATCATTCTTTTCTTTTCAGCTCATGGTTTTTATAAAGGAGGTAAAAGTAGACGAGAGTTCCCATTGATCTTTAATGTTAACAATATTTGGTAATTATCTGCTTACTGTTTTTTCTTGTGCTACCGCAGTGTCTCATCTTCTTCCTCTCAAGGTATATGCAGAAATGAGTCCTCCCATTCTATTTCTATAAAAGAATATTTGATTAGCAGAGACATGTAGCATGAAAAAAAAGTACGTTTAACGTTCTCACACCGTTATATAGCGAAAAAAATAAGTTCAGCAAATCTTCTCAGTTCATCTTATCTTCAGCACTGTTAACAAGAGAGTGATAACGCGGTGTGAAAAAGAAAAACTATACTATAATTGATTGATGATCAATCGAGCGTTCGTCATGAAGAAATGAATTGTTTATTAACCTCGTTGATCAAGTAGATAAAGGGAAAAAAGTGTTATAAACACGAAGCTGTTTATGCACATGACAAACATTCTTCTTCTGATTACATGGAAAGTACATTATTGCGATAAAGCAAAATTTTCCTATTATCAAGTTACTGACAGCCTATGATAATTTGAATATTGTTATTAGTGACAAAAATAGTTTTGTTTTCATGGTTCTAGTATAATTTTACCTGGGACTTTGCGTAAAAACAAAGCTTCTACCGCAATCATTATATCAGAGTATATATAATGCACCCTTGATTACAACGATTGCTAGGTTCACTCCATCATACGATACGTTGCAGTATTGAATAGTTTATCTTTTCTTATAGTGACGATTAATGCGTACCATGAAACAAATCTGTCGATTGTTTTTCTATAAATTCATACTCATATGCGATGATAATCAATTGAAATTGTTCTTCAAATTAGCTTTTTTTTTAAAGAAGATATTGCTGATGATTGAAAACACATCGAGCGTGTGTTGTTGAGAAACGTGTGTGTCATTTGCAGTGATGTCTGAAGCGGACAATTTGATGAAGGACCACAAACGTACGCATGCTCCACCAGTTAATCGAGTGCAAGATTTGTTTTTCTTTCACAAAACCAACATCGACGGATAATGTTCGATATGCGAAGGATCGAGAAGTCAATGCAGCCGTATATGTTCTCATTAGAAGAGAACCGATTTCATCGGTTAGATGAAACTTATAATCATCCTCTATTCGCTTGGTCTGATAGATTAAGGAACAACATTTCACTCTTGTCTATCTCTCATGAAAGTAACACCATTAGACTGAAATACCTCTTTTTTGTATGAGAAAAAGAAAAACGTTCTGTAGTTTGTTCCAGAATAACTCATTTAGTCACATTCGAGACGAATAGATACGAACAATGATGCGCACTTATTTGTCAAAAGAAAAAAAGACGTATTCGAGCATGTAGATATTACTTTTCAGTATAAACTCTCTTATAACTGAGAAGAACACATCTCTTGCCGTCACCCTCTAAATGCTACAGAATGCGACAGAGAAAGTCATAGTTACTGGTAGAGATATCTATCTTCCTCCGAACTGGTCGGACATTACCTTCTCTTTATATATAGTTGGTCAACTAGCATCGATTCCTTGCTATGTATTTGTATTTTATCATCTTTTGGCTACTAAAACTGCGCGCACAGCTCTCTACAATCACACTACTATAATCATGTTATTTTTCAATTTGATCTACCTGACAATAGGTATATCATTAGTATTGATGTTCATGAAAGAGGGCGTATACATGCCATCCACTCCCGCACTTTGTCTTACTCATCAAATGGTCGACCGTGGAGTTTGGTATGGAGCTGTATTTACAATGATTTGGCTGTGTATCGAACGACATATCCTAATCTTTTGCTCCAACTGGATCCGAACTGCACGTGGGCAATGGGTATTTCATTATATCCCATTAGCTATTTTTTCTCTGTATGCGCCATGTTTTTATTTCTACATGATTTTCATTTATCCATGTGAGCATATATATGATTATCATGTTACTTTATGTGGTGGCCCTTGGTACTCGTGTTCGTTGTCAGCATCATTTCGTTTGTATTTAACTTTTGGCCATAACTTCATGCCATTCCCAATCATTTTCATTGTCAGCAGCAGCTTTCTACTTCGAGTCTTGATCCAAAAGCACCGTTTGAAACGTGGTAATATGTGGAAAAAGAATCGAAAAATGATTTTACAATTTGTCTTTATTTCTACGACCTATATCAGCTTTGCTCTACCTTTCACGATGGTGAATATTACACGAAGAGTAAATGGTTATGATGTCGATCCGAATGTGCGGACACTCTTTGATCGGATGGCCAATGTGCCAGCAATAGTTTTACCTTATGCCACCGCTATAACATTACCTCATGTGAAACAGAAACTTAAAATGTTAATCTGGTGGAAACGCACACGAACGGCTATCAATCCTTTATCGTGATACATTAAACAATACAAAGAAGACAGCTTTGTCTCATTCTTCTTATTGATGTTGTCGAGAATTTGGAAATAAATAATTCTTATCGATATATAGATAAAGCGTCTGTTGCAATTTCCCATCACAGTGGAAGCTCAAGACATAGTAGAACGAAATGTAAAAAATTTATACGCATTTGACGTTGCTATACACATCGTATGAAAGAGGAAAATGAGAGATAAAAAGCGTTATCAATTTTATAAAGAGCAGAGAACGAAAAAACATATCTCATATATAGTCAATACGGCTGTAGCTGCGTTACATTTTACGTTCTTCTTTTCGTCTTTTATCGCATGATGATTTTTATTCTACTTGGCGTTGTTGCCATCCTAATTTTTCTTGTCAAAATATTCGATACGACTGACATTCCGAAGATCCACGGACTTCCTGAAGCTCCTAACTGGCCAGTATTTGGCAGTTTATTCCAGCTGGGTGAGAATCATTCGAAATCACTATCAAAATTAGCGAAAAAACTGGGTCCAGTATTTCAAATTCGTATGGGAAATCGACGCATTGTAGTGGCGAACTCATATGATTCGATCAAATATTTCTGGGTCAAAAATCAATCCGCACTGATCAGCCGACCGGCATTGCATACATTTCATAATGTTGTCAGCAGTGAAGTTTTATCGATTGGAACTTCACCGTGGGATGAGTCATGTAAACAGCGTCGTAAGGCAGCAGCGACTGCATTGAATAAACCAGCTGTTCAGACATACATGCCCATCATCGATCATGAATCGTACACCGCAATCAACGAAATATTGCACGAGTGTCAAAATGGCAAAGCTGATATTAATATTATTCCTCATCTTCAGCGATTTGCATTAAACACATCGTTGACCCTTAACTATGGCACACGAATAGCTTCGTCGGATGATGCACTTTTGAAAGAGATCGTTACAGTCGAAGGAGCTGTGGCACAGTTGCGATCAGCATCGAATAATTGGCAAGATTATGTTCCCCTCCTACGAATATTTCCTGCACGATCAAACGAAGCAGCGACAATTCGTCAACGTCGAGATCGTTACCTCGTTCAGCTACTGAATGGTCTAAAAAAAGACATTGCTAATGGAGTCGACAGACCATGTATAACAGGAAATATCCTCAAAGATCCATCTGCTAAATTAAATGAGACAGAAATTCGAAGCATTTGTTTGACAATGATCAGTGCTGCTCTTGAAACAGTTCCAGCAAACATTATTCTCGGTATTGGTTACCTTTCATCGCCACACGGTCAAGAAATTCAGGAACGTGCCTATCGAGAAATTCTTGATGTCTATCCGGATGGTGATGCATGGGATAGATGTCTTGATGAAGAACAAGTTCCTTATGTCACCGCTCTCTACAAAGAAATTCTTCGTTATTATACCGTTCACCATATGAGTCTTCCTCGACGTAGTGTTCAAGATATTGAATACGAAGGTTCACGAATTCCGGCTGGTACGTCATTCTATATGAATGCATTTGCCGGTGACTACGATGAGAATCATTTCGAAGATCCGTATCAATTCAATCCCGATCGTTATCTAGGTGATGTGGATGGTACACCTCATTACGCATATGGTGCTGGAACACGAATGTGTATTGGTGCTCATTTAGCGAACCGAGAACTATACACATTTCTCATTCGACTCATCATTGGATTTCGCATTCTCGGACCATTGAATAAAGAAGATGCCGCAATCTTAGATGGAATGGAAATCAATGCACGACCTACCGGTCTCGTTGTGCAACCAAAAATGTTCAAATGTCGTTTCGAACCGAGAAATATAGAAGATCTCAAACGATGGATAGACGATAGCAAACAACGGGCAGAGCATCATTAGAATATGAAACTTTCTTTTTTAATTAAAATAAAACGAAATGTACTTTGTTTTTCTATTCGGACAAGTCACACAAGCCGAACATTCGTATGTCTTCTTTTTTTAATTATTTTTTACATATCATCTGAAGACCTATTCACAAGTTATGGTGAAACAATAGACTGCAAAAATAAACTGTATTCGCAAAAAGATTCATTCTGCAATGAATGCGTTTGTCGTTGGATTGATTCTCGGCTTGCTAGTCGCAGGAAATGTACTAGCAGTTTTTATCGTCCTGTGGCGAATATCAGGTTTGGCATTACGATGGTGCCAGTATAAATGTAATTACTTTTTTTTCTAGTCACAAGCTCTACAAGTACGAGTTTAATCAGTACAACTGTCACAAGTACTAAGAATCGACTACATAGAAACACGCCTAGTTTTTTCATTCTTTTTCTAGATAAAACTTCAACAACAGCAGCAACTACTATGACTAGACCTCCGTCATCGGCCTGCGTATATAATAGCAGTATAACTTTCTACAATAATCAATTTCTTTATTCTTCAACATCGCAAACTTATGCAGCTGGGATGTTAAATAATCAATTTGGTGTTTTCAAAGCTTATAGCTATGGAAATGTAACTGCTCAAGCTATATGGACAGCAAATCAAACTTCCACATCCGTTCCATGTTTTCTTGCTTTACAAACTGACCGTAATTTAGTTGTTTACGCAACGAGTAATCAAACAGTACTATGGGCGGCTAACATTTATAATAATGGCACTGGAAAACCATTCTGTTTTGAAATATCCGATTCTGGAAACCTAATCTGGATTGACAACAGTAGCTCGATTGTCTGGCAAACAAATACAGCACAAGCGGGATAATTCTTTTTCGCTTTTGACTGACCAGAAAAAAGATCTATTTGCAATGAAGTTTTTCTGTTTTCAACGTTTTATTCGCCGTAATTGACCACATTGTCGACAGATAGAATAATAACCAAATCGTTGAGATAGTTCCCATATCCATTCCAAATGACAATATATATGGTGGAACTGTTTGAAAATAAAATACTTCACTGCATTACCATAGAGTCGATAGATACAACGCACGGTGGTGCAAAGAGAATGCAGTTAATGTCCACCGAACGATAACTCGTCGTAGGACTGGCACGTGCCATACCATCATTGATTAAAACATTTGCACTACCAACGAATAGATGTTCTAACGATTCTGGTTTGCAGGCTAGAAATGCTGCGCCGATAAAATTGTATACACTAACTATTAGTAACCAGTAGGAAAGATAGGGAAGAGCCATAGAACAAAATGATCTGCTTACGAGTATCTTCGTTTGTAGAACTTTGTTCTAAAGCAAGAGAAACGAAATGTAGTGTGTTTTATATTATTCATGTATTGTTATCACATCCTTATCAGCTGAATGCAATAGTTTACTCGGATGCCCCATCTTACTACTTTGTAGCGAGTTTTCATAAAATAAGAAGTTGTTAAAACAGCTATTATAGAGCAAGCCTCATTTACATCATTATGTCATATAGAAAATCGAACGCTTTCATCACCTTGAATAGTTTTAAATATGATTTCCAAGTTTCGAAGAGTACCCTCAACGATGCATGAATACGTTCGTTGTTCCATGTCTCAAGTAATACAATTTATGATTGGTTCTTTATCTTGCGGATAGAAATCTATTATTAGTTTAGGTAAACACACCGCTGATGGTGAACAGCACGAATTAACAGTGCACAATTATATGTCACATTCTTGCATTAGCAACGCTAATGTGATGGAAACCATAATTTCGACTAAAACGAAGAAGAAAGAATAGGTCTGATGATTTTCTTTTTTTTATAGATCGTCTATCATCTTTTCAGAAATCGTGTTCCTTTTTATTCGGTTATCTGCATCTTAACTTAAATGAAAATCATGGTGATCGCTTGAAGCTGTTTTATTAACATCTATAGAAAAACAAATGTTTCGACAATCTGACTTGCTCTTTTTCAGATTTTAGAAATGCATCGTTGAAGGAGTATCTATTGAAATAATTCTTCGAGTCTAACCGTTTGTGTCGGTTCATAGGGCGCATACCACATTCCAAATTCTGATGCTACTAAATGAATATGTAGTATGATTTTACCATTGAGTTCAAGTTCTACTTCAATTGTATGTTTCGTATGTCCTTTGCATGCCGATTGCAGTAATGATCGAATATGTTCCACGCTCCAATACGTGTTACTCTTTTTCAAACGAAGCTGTGCTTCCATTTGCTGTCGCGTACTTTCGTAACGATGCAATGAACTAAAAATGACATTTGATTCACAATTGCGATGACATTGTGGTGAAAACAAATATGTTACCAGGACTACAGATAGGCCCTTTCAGTTCACTGGTAGCTTTGTCCGTAGGCCAACATTTTGGATGATTGTTAAGCGTTTGTATCAGATGTAAACTTTTCAAATGCAGCTTTCATATCTTGAGGGTGATTGAGTGAGCATGAAGTGTTTGTAGCACATGAGTTGCCATATAAGGAAAAGAGGTCAAACGTTTGACTTGTGCTCCGATTTGCGAAGGTCCAGCATTTTCCGTTGAATAGATCTCGGTTTCATTGACGCTAGATAGCACACCTATCATTCCGGGCCACGATAAGCTAACGTAACGGTATTGTTTCGATGCGCCCGAACTGTTGATAGCAAATAGTAGAGTAGTCGAGACAGTCACATGATGAATATCACACTCACCATCCATATTGCGACCAGCATATGATTCGTTGATCCGCTGTTAAAGTATTCCAAACGACAAACTGACTACAGTTTATGGATCATCTGTACGCGCATCTGATCTTATCGTTCGGCGTTCAATCATACTAAATGGATGCTTCAGTTCATGAAGATAGAGATCATTCCAATATCTTCTGCTACTAAGTAAAAATAAAACCAATCGAGAATATGAGGAGCTAGTAAATATCCATGTGTATAACTTCGATCGTCGGTTGTAATGGCATTTAGTTGTAGGACTGGAATACGATTGATTTGCTAGAATCGTGTCGCGTCTGTTTCTGTTGGATAACCGATAGCAAAGAATGAATGAGGTTTGCGTAGTATAATATCAGCATTTAAATTCGAGATTGTATGTCGAGTCCATTTCTCGCCTGTTTCATTTGTACTCCATCCAAATGCTTGCTTCTCTGGATGCACCAACGATCCATGTGTATCTGAAAAATATTCACTCTCGCCCGCCCCACCCTCAAGATGCTAGCATGTAAAATATTCAGAAAGAAAGATAAACCATTCTTGTTTATCACTAAGATAAGAAGCACAGTAACCATATTTATATTCAGGATGATTATTTGTCTTCATTTTAGGTATGCTATTTCTACCTGTCTTTCTGTTGTTAATATGGATACGAGCTGTTGTCTTGCTAGATTTGATGAGCGATACATGGACGGCAACCGATGGCCTTGGTCGTTCTCTCCCCAAAACAGTACCGTCACCACGAGCAGATCGATTCGTTGGGATGTTCTATTTTCTCTGGCTTGGCTTTGAATCACCTGATGGACCATTTGACATCAGTAAAATTCTCACAGCTCATCCAAATGCAATGTTAGAACCGAATAATTCCGCATGGGGGCCGATGACTCATTATCATCACTGGGGTGAACCTTATTTTGGCTACTATCGTTCAAACGATCAATGGGTTATTCGGCGACATGCGAGAATGCTGGTCAATGCTGGTGTTGATGTTATCTTCTTCGATGTCACAAATACTGCTGTTTATCTCGAGTCTTTTCGAGCTATATGCCAAGCCTTTTCCGATGTGCGTGCTGTAGGAGGGTCAACACCGCAAGTTGCATTTCTCACACCTTTTGGATCACCGCTCGGAACGGTGCAAGTTCTTTTCGACAGTATTTATAAGATAAACTATCATCCGGAACTGTGGTTTCGATGGGAAGGCAAACCATTCATCCTTGCCAATCCACAATCCTTTCAAACACGTCCGGATATTTTAAATTTTTTTACTTTTCGGACGCCTCAGCCTGATTATTTCACTGGGCCAACTGGTGCCAATCAATGGGGTTGGTTAGAAATATATCCTCAACACGTCTACAAAACTAGTGCAAACATATCGGAACAAATGACTGTTGGTGTCGCACAGAACGCCGTTGGCAATCGACTGGGATCGATGAGTGAAGTTGGTTCTCATGGGCGTAGTTTTCATAACAATACTATTCCATCAGGTAATACATTAACACCGTACGGATTAAATATGCAAGAGCAATGGGAACGCGCCATAGAAATTGATCCACAATTTGTATTTGTTACTGGTTGGAATGAATGGATTGCTATGCGTCTATCGGAATTCGCTAGTATAAAACTTCCAGTTATGTTTGTCGATGAATTCGATTGGGAACATAGTCGTGATATTGAGCCTTGTGCTGGAGGAGTTAACGGAGGGTATCCTGAAGGTAGGCAGCGTGATTTCTATTCAGTTATTAATATGTAATGGTTTCCTAGGAAATCATTATCAGGATGCGTACTATTATCAATTAGTGAGCAATGTTCGTCGTTATAAAGGCGCTCGATCTGTTCCAATACCTACTGAACCGAAAACCATCAATATTGGACAAGATTTTACGCAATGGGAAACGGTTGGACCATCATTCATTGATTATATCAATGACGTAGAACATCGCAATGAGACTGGATACAACACTAGTATGCACTACCGGGATGATACAGGTCGAAATGACATTATCTTAGTCAAAGTAGCGAGAGACATGAACAATGTTTACTTTTATGCTCGAACTAATAACACGCTGACGAATGCGAATAATAGTTCTAACTGGATGTTACTCTTTATTGATATTGATCAAAATTTTACAACAGGATGGGAAGGATTTGATATTGTAGTTAATCGTCACATTAATGGTTCGCTTACATCTATAGAACGAAGTCAATCTGGCTGGATTTGGCAACTCGTTTCACAAATTGCTTTTGCCACCGTTAACCATGAATTACACTTCGCTATTCCCAGAGCGTTATTAGGTTTCAACAGCACAGCTCCTGTCAAGGTTAATTTCAAGTGGGTAGATAATATGATACGTGATGGCGATATTCTCAGTCTTTTTCAAAATGGAGACACTGCTCCGGATGGTCGGTTCAGTTATGTATTTAATGGTTAGGGATTGGGAAAAAAATTGTACTTCTCAAACATATTCAAACTCTAAACTGCTTGAGCATGCGCTTCTTGTTTGGTTTTCTTTTGAAAAGTGCTCAATCCATCGTATTCATTGTCACCCCAATAGAAAATAAGACTCTTTTCTGTTGCACCTTGTCCATATGGATAATACTTCTGATAGTCTAATGTATTGCTTAGTCCTCCCTTTTGGTCCACCAGAAGAATCACATTTTGATCATTTGGTTTGATAGTATTTCGCAGAACTGTATTACCAGATGCATACGAAATCGAAATTTCACCACCACCTGTACGATTGTTGTCATTTTGTTCAAGACGATTGTCAGTAAATGAACAATTCACCACTCGACCACGTCTAAAAGCGTTCATTTTCGTTATTCATTAACAGAAAAACTCTTAAGAAATCATTTACTTAGAATCATATCCACCGAAGGCCAATCCATATTTATCATTGTGATGAAGATAATTATTTCGCACAGTCATCTTCGTACCTATTTGACCTTTATTCTCTGCACCAATTTCAATTCCCATGTCTGAATGATGTACTTCATTGTTTTCTATGGTGACATTCGATGCTCCATCAACATAGATACCAGCTGCACTATGATCGTAAACTGAATGAATGTTCCAAACTGTGTTATTCGCACATCGAGCACTTCGAACCCCCAATTTACCGGCCCAGCTTTCACCAGCTAATATTATGTTATATAGTTAACTTTTAATTAGAGAAATCATCAAAAGTCATACCGATGAAATCGATTCCAATGTTATTCATGTTATATACTTTGTTGTTCGTTACTTGAATCTCCTCAACGTTTCCATTGAAAGTCAAAGCTTCACTCCATGCTGGCTCACAATCATGGAGCGTGCAATTATCAACGATCACTTGTCGTCGACTCGTTTTCTGGTTTGTGTTATAAACGGTAATCGCCATTGCACCGCCGTTTTCGCCACCACCACGGATATCGTGAATATGGAGATTTCGAAGTTCTAGAAACATAAACTATATTTTTGGTAACGACAGCTTCAAAAACCTACCAACATTGGTTCCAGCGCCAGTAATTCTCACTCCACTGCATTCTGTCGATTTCAAACCTGTCAATTCTAAGTTGACAAAGCGGAGATAACTTTTATCTTGAACAAAGATTATATTTAATGTTCCATCAGCGGATGCTTTTTTTGTATCTTTGCCAGAAATAATCGGTGCATTGTTTGATGTTAAACTAGTGAATGTAATCGGCCCGTCTTGAGCATTGCCTTGGACGTTAATTGTGACAGCTTCGTAATACGTTCCGGCACCAATGTAAACGGTAGAACCAGGTGTTGCCGAATTTGCTGCTTTTTGAACTGTTAACCAAGCAGTGGTTTCAGTAGTTCCTGCATTGGTATCCTTGCCAGATTTGGTCACATAGTAAGATTTACCCGCTACTATTTAAAATAAACACATAGAACATTTTACGCTCAATCATATGATAGGCGTTCGTGTACATACTTATTTGCATCCATAAAAGGGCACTCATCAAACATATAAGTTGAAATTGGAACGACATGATGAAAATCGTGAATACGAATGAGGTGGTAGATGTTTATGTCGTTTCTTTATATAAGACATAGGTTACGATTAAAAGCGCAGGCAAATATTTACACCTCTTCTACTGTTTAGTCATAAACGGTTTCTTTTGAAATCGTGTCATGCATAGCCTCCAGCGCTGTGAATGCATTCTGTTCTGTATCAGAAACAAATCAACAATCTCCCTTGTGAAAAGATGCCATTAGAGGCATTAGTAACCAATGTTTTTCTTCGTGACCATGCATTTGCAAACGTAAAATAATCATGACTACGTGTCGTCACCTTTATCGATTGAAACGATAATTACATTTTTCAATTTTTTCTTTCTCTCGCCTTCTCACAAGCTGACAATGTCGTCACTATCATGTGACTGGCAAACACGACATATCTTTATTCAAAACTTATGTAAACAAATGTTTCTACTCCAAGGCACGTTTACCAACACTGATCTGTGCATGCATCTCTTGTTTTGTATTCTCTTGGAATGCAGTGAGACCCTGGTATTCTCTATGTCCCCAATAGAAGATTAGACTTTCTTTTGTTGCACCTCGTCCGTTCGGATAGTACTTTTGATAATCGAAGTGATTATTCAAACCACCTCTTTGGCTTGCTACTAGGATTACGTTCTGTCTGTTTGGCTTTATTGTATTGCGCTGCACTATATTACCAGAAGCAAATGAAATGGAAATTTCTCCGCCACCAGTCAGATGTGCATCATTCTGTTCAAGATGATTGCCAGTAAATGAACTATTTGTCACTGTACCACATCTGTAAAATATCAGTATACATTTATTGATACTACCAAAATATGTGCGAATATAACTTACTGAGAATCATATCCACCAAAAGCTAAGCCATATTTGTCGTTGTGATGAAGATAATTATTTCGAACAATCACCCTTGTAGCCATTCGACCTTTATTCTCTGCACCAATTTCAATTCCCATATCTGCATGATGCACTACGTTGTGTTCTATGGTGACATTCGATGCTCCATCAACATAGATACCAGCTGCACTATGATCGTAAACTGAATGAATGTTCCAAACTGTGTTATTCGCACATCGAGCACTTCGAACCCCCAATTTACCGGCCCAGCTTTCACCAGCTAGTAATATGTTATATAGTTAACTTTTAATTAGAGAAATCATCAAAAGTCATACCGATGAAATCGATTCCAATGTTGTTCATGTTATATACTTTGTTGTTCGTTACTTGAATCTCCTCAACGTTTCCATTGAAAGTCAAAGCTTCGCTCCAAGCTGGCTCACAATCATGAAGCGTGCAATTATCAACGATCACTTGTCGTCGACTCGCGTTCTGGTTTGTGTTATAAACGGTAATCGCCATTGCACCGCCGTTTTCGCCACCACCACGGATATCGTGAACGTGGAGATTTCGAAGTTCTAGGAATATAAAAGGATAATTTTAATATCGATAAGCGTGAAACCTACCAATATTCGTTCCAGGGCCGATTATTCTCACTCCACTACACTCTACCGCTCTCAAATTTGTTAGTTCTAAATTGACGAACCGTAAATAGCTTTTGTCTTCAATATAGATGACATTGAATGTTTCATCGGCAGATGGATTTTGTGAAATTCTACCAGAAATAATTGGCACGTTGTTTGATATCAAACTAGTGAACGTAATTGGTCCATCGTGTGCATTTCCTTCTACGTTAATCGTCACTGTTTCATAATAAATGCCAGGACCAATATAGACAGTAGAACCAGGTGTCGCTGAATTCGCTGCTCTTTGTATCGTTAACCAAGCAGTTACTCTACTTGTTCCCGCATTGGTATCTTGACCAGATTTCATTACGTAATACGATCTGCGCGCCACTATGTAATAAACGCATACCCTTCTGTCGAGAATTATTGTTGTAGACTCACGGATAAAAAAAATGAATATATCAGATCTGATAGAAAACTTTATGTTGAACATCTCAACGGTACACTTTGTCAGATATTCAAAATACATGCACTCATGTTTCAAGATTTATTCACTTACTTCCATCTTGCGTCCCGGGTGAGATTTTGTTCACTAGAAATTGAACTAGCACAGAGTGCTGCATGCTCAATTAGACAAATATTATGCATACGTACTTATTTGCGTCCATAAAAGACCGGTGGCTAAATACATAGAATGCAGTCGATCAAACATGATGAAAATGATCAATGTGAATGAGGTATCAGATGCTCGTATCGTGCGTGAACATACCAGAAGAAGTTTGCATTACTGATAAATATTTTCTTTGCATAGTGCGTCACGCATCGCTCTAGTATATGGAAAAATTGGCATTAAAAGTGTTAGTAACCAGTGTTTTTCTCTTCATGACTATGCGTTTTGCAAATATAAATAAAACATGCCTATATGTCACCGCCTCCTCAGATCGAAGTGATGATTGCATATTTCAATTTTCTCTTTCTCATCTTCCGACAACAGTGTCACTTTCATGTGATTTGCGATCGCAACATATATTTCATTCAAACTTTATAGAAAAAAGCGTTTACGTCCAAAGGCACGTTTGCTAACGCCGAGTTCTGCATGCATTTCTTGTTTGGTATTCTGTTGAAAGGAAGTCAAACCATCATACTCCGTGTTTCCCCAAAAGAAGATAAGACTTTCTTTGGTAGCACCTTGACCATTCGGATAGTACTTTTGATAGTCAAATTGATTATTCAAACCACCTTCTTGGCTGGCAAGTAGAATTACATTTTGTGAGTTTGGTCTTATCGTGTTACCATAGACTACATTGCCCGAAGCAAATGAGATTGAAATTTCTCCACCACCGGTAAGACGTACATCGTTCTGTTCAAGACGATTATTTATAAATAAACTATTGGTGACTTGACCACGTCTATAATGTGTTAACGTGCTCGTACTTTCATGTCACGAGATTATGCATAAATATAACTTACTGAGAATCATATCCGCCAAAAGCTAAGCCATATTTGTCATTGTGATGAAGATAATTATTCCGAACAGTCATTTTTGAAGCCACTCGACCTTTATTCTCTGCGCCAACTTCGATCCCCATGTCCGAATGGTGTACTTCGTTAGATTCGATAGTGACATTCGATGCTCCATCAACATAGATACCCGCTGAACTACTATCATAGACGGAGTGAATGTTCCACACGAGGTTATAAGCACAGAGACCATTTCGTACTCCAAGAGCACCGAGGAAGCTTTCTCCACCTTTAGAAAAAGAAAAAAAATATAACATTTCTGATATTTGACTGAGTTCTACATACCAATGAAATCGATTCCAATGTTGTTCATGTTATACACTTTGTTGTTCGTTACTTGAAAATCTTCAATATTTCCATTGAAAGTCAAAGCTTCACTCCACGCTGGCTCGCAATCATGGAGTATACAACTATCAACGATCACTTGTCGTCGACTTGCCGTTTGATCTTTATTGTAAACCGTGATTGGCATTGCTCCACCGCTCTGTCCACCGCCACGAATATCATGAATGTGCAAACCTCGAAGTTCTTGAAGCAAAAGCTATATTTTTGGTAACGACAGCATCAAAACCTACCAACATTGGTTCCAGCACCAGTAATTCTCACACCACTACATTCTACTGCTTTCAAATCTGTCAATTCTAAATTGACAAAGCGCAAATAGCTTTTCTCTTGAATAAAAATTATGTTCATGGTGCCATCAGCAGATTCTGTTTTAGCCTGTTTGCCAGATATCACTGCTGGCTTATCAAAGATCAAGCTAGCGAATGTAATTAGTCCATCTCGGGCATTTCCTTGTACATTGACTGTTACTGTTTCATAATACGTTCCAGGACCAATGTAAACCGTGGATCCGGGTGTTGCTGAATTCGCAGCTTTTTGAACTGTTAACCAAGCAGATGTCTCACTCGTTCCTGCATTGGTATCCTTGCCAGATTTCGTTACATAGTATGTTCTACCAGCTACTATATAATAGCCATACAGAAGACCTTATATTTCATAGTAGAAAATCTTTGCACATACCTGTTTGAGTCCAAAGTAAAAGAAAAGTGAAACAAGCAAGTCCTGTTTGCATGATCGTTGTAAAATCTGTTTGACGAAATGTAATTCTTCTTTATATATACCATACACGTATTTACCAAGGAAAGTGCAAGGGTCTATTTATATGTCACTTGTTAGGCGTCACTCTCAAGCAGTTTTCTATTTTCTATAACATGCGCACTTCTCAATATCAATTAGTTTTTCTTGCGTATGAAGTGAACTGCATATGTAACATGTTTCTGCATGGCTTCCTTCATTAATTGAGTTAGTTTATTTCAAGTGTTCGAAAAGGAAAAGGGTATACATGTAAATAGAGTAGGAGGGCGGAATGATACGACAACATTTGTTTTTGTGTGCTTTTATTTAGTGATGCCTGCACCTGTATGAGTCGCTGTTAACGTTGGTCGAACTCGATGTTGATTTTTGCTACATCCAAACATCATAATACATTCTTGCCGAAATTCTTTAAATGTGAGAAAATAAAGTGGAAATGACAAGATATGATAAGTATACAAAACTGGATCTAGAATTTTAACCGATATTGGTGGAGGTATGTCAGAAAATGCAGAGGCAATGGTTGCTGGTACTGTCATGATCAGAAAGAGACATGTTGTAATAACCAGTGTAATCGAAATCGCTCGGTGATTGATTCGGGAGTTTTGAATCAATTGTGTTTGGTGACGACGATATAAATGATGAATCACTCCACTATTAAGTGTCACCATAAGAATAAACGGTGCAAAATTGTACACACCTAAATTGACATAATCCCATAAGGGATAAATAATGTATAGTGGAGAATTGGGACTGATTCTTCCGCTTGGTCGATAGTAACAGGTGAAAATCAGAAAGTGCGAGTTGAATAAGGTAAGAATTGTGATAACAGATGCAATGATGATTAAAACACTTTTTTCCCGACTGAACCATGTTCGATGAAGACGGCTGATGGATAAATACCGATCCAGACAGATAAAAACTCGCAACCAAGCTGACGATTGACCGGCAAAATAATTCAAAAAGCCAAAAATCTTGCATGTGGCAATGGTGTATGTCAATAAGACATAACCGTGCACAGCTTGAAGATAATGATCGAGATTCCATCCGTATAACATCAGAATATCGAAGATCGCGATGGTGCGCATATAATGAATGATTGGTTGCTTTTTCGTATCACGAAACGTTGATCGGCAAAGTACAACAAACGTTAAGATATTCAACGAAGTACCAACAATGACTAAAGTGAATGGATAATACGCAACAACTAAGGAATCGCTCGCTGTATTTGTGCTGTTCGACATCGTTGTGAAGAAGTGTTTCTGGTTAGATAGCTGAAAGTATTTATATCACAAGCCGTATTTATTTACGCTGAACGCTGACAAGATTCTATTTCCGAATAGACTTGTTCTTTTTAATCAGCATATTGAAGAACTACTGGATTAAGAGGAAAACTAAGCCTTTTTTTTAATTGAAATAGAAGTCATTATTCTAAAAGCATATTCGTCGTTTTCTTTTGTATCTGCATGTTACCGAAGGTCGGGTCATGTATTTAAAAGGCGGTACTTAAAATGGCAAAGCAAATTCTGAAAACCTGATATCCACTGGTGACAAGTATTTCTCAAAAAGTCAGATTACCTTGGATTCATTCATATGCTCTCACTCATAAATCACACATTGATTATCAAATGTACGCATATGAGCTTGCATGCAAATAAGGAACTGTTTGTTTGTATGATTCACCTTGTTTAATTACATAGTGACGCATAGGGTAGGACCTGTAGAAAAGAAACAAAATACTGCATTGCCTCTCGTTGTACAGCTGGAGTGGATTAAAGTTTCGTTTGAAATAGTTTGCTCAAATTCAGTGTAAAAAATTACCATTTGTAATTTCTCATCATTCGATATCATGGCTTTTCATCAATCGGATTTTTCTCTTGTTGTATTGACGATATTTGTGCTTTGTTCGTCAATGGTAAACGCACAATACATGCCGTTTATTCAAGATGCTCGATACAATAAACAGACCAAAGCAATCGATATTCAAGTTCAGTACAGTGGTGGTTGTGCCGAACATGAATTTCAACTCAAAGTTGGCTCTTGTCGAGAAACTTATCCTGTTCAATGTGATGCGAAGTTGATCGACTTAACAGTAAACGATTATTGCGATGCGATCGTCTCTCGTGAAGTTTCGATCAGTACTCAATCGATTGGCTTAGATGATGGTTATTACGCTGGNAATAAACAGACCAAAACAATCGATATTCAAGTTCAGTATAGTGGTGGTTGTGCCGAACATGAATTTCAACTCAAAGTTGGCTCTTGTCGAGAAACTTATCCTGTTCAATGTGATGCGAAGTTGATCGACTTAACAGTAAACGATTATTGCGATGCGATCGTCTCTCGTGAAGTTTCGATCAGTACTCAATCGATTGGCTTAGATGATGGTTATTACGCTGGTGCAACTATTCAAATTTATGGGGGCGCGAATACAAAAGCTAAGTTTGTTCTTTCGTAAACATTTGTACGCCGATTGCACGTGTTTATTCGTATTGAAATAAAATATGTAATTTCGCAATATCTTTTCGTTGTCTACTTTGAATAATCTATACCGTCATTGATAGCATTATAGTCTTCCATTCTGAAATACAGAAAGTATTGATACTAGCGCTTTTTCCTACGGAAATACTTCGTCATATATTCGAATATTTGGCAACTCATGACATCATTTATGCGTACTAAGGACTCAACAAGCGTATCAACGCGATTGTAAATAAATATGATATCCAGAATATCCATTTGCAGCGCGTATCGAAATCAATATACAACTTCATCTTCCAATCAATTTCTTCGAAACAAATTCGATCGCTGACATTATCTGATGATGAGAATACTATGCCACAAATGCATCTCTTCTTTCGATCGTTCTATATGGAACGATTTATTCATCTCAAGTCATTAACATTCATTGAAATCGATGAACAAGACTAGATGAAGTTTCCTTCTAAGCTTCATTATTAATCTAATTTGACATCTGTGTCGCTCGTACGTCCCTACGGCATCTTTATGTTCAACATCTTGTGAAAAACTACCGTTTAAATCTTTTACTTTAGGCGAATGTATAGCATGTATATAACACTGTATGAATAGCTTTCATGCACATCAATGTAAATCAATTTAGAAATTAAATTATATAGTAATACAATGTATAGTGATCTTTCTTCGTATTTACCGCTTACTAGTCAAGGGAATACGACTTGATATTTGAAAAATCGAGGACTATATTCTATTTACTAGTATGCAGAAATTAGAAATTCTCACATGTATCACCGAAAATCAATTCTGTTTCATTTTGAAAGTTTATCAGAAATGGAAAAACTTTATTGAAAACTGTTCATCACAGCTGAAAGATTTTCGTTTCAAATGTGATATGATAGATGGAGAAGATTTTCGCATATACAGTCAGTTTACAACCATTGAAATTCTTCTGACTTCATTCGTTCGTTTCAATTCACGAATTAAAACAAAAGTTTTCGGACAACCACTGCGTGCTATTCTATCTTCCAGTGCAATTCAAAAAAATGATATCCAAGTCTTACTACATAATATGGCGATGTTTATGATACGTTCTTCAACGGTAAATGGAGGAAATATACTGTTGATTCTGAAGGCTTCGTACAATGAGGAAATCGATTCTACTGATATTGAAATAAGCTACCGTGGTTGTAAGGAACACATAGTTCATCTCACAATGCAGCGCTTGTCATGAAAGTTATGTAGCTCAATGCACTGCGAAATTGTTTGATTTAATAAACGAAGAATGTGAAACGTTCTTTCTTCATCGACCATTATTTAGTCTTGAATCACTTGACTTAAATATCCTTTACCACTCTAGAGCAATCATTCGTATAAAAGGTGGAAATGGCACATCGGCTACTGTTGTTCTTCCAGAGTTTTCGTAGAATTTTTTTTCGTATGTATTAACGAATGTGTATGCGGAGCGATCGAGACAAGCAAAATAAATATTCTGCATCACACGTTACGACCTAACTAACCAACTAAGACGCGTGATTGTTAGTGCAAACATTTGGTGAAATATGCCATCTATCGCAGTTTGTTTTCGATTTGCTTATGTGAAATGACATATGTAATTACATAACGTTGCCAAAGATGGTTGTAACTCGTTTTCATACTGTCATACATTCGTAATGCCAAGTCCAACGATGTTTGATCGGTTTCCAACCGAACTATTCTTTGAAACGTTCAGGTATTTAACAACTTACGATATTCTGCACGCATTCAAGGACCTCAATCAACATATTAACATGGTGTTAAGAAATTATTACAAATACGATTTGAATTTTCAATCATGGTCAAAAGGCAAATTTGATTTTGTTCGTGAATCCATTTCTCCTGAACAAATTCAATCTTTGGTATTATCCGATGAAGACGATACAGTTCGGCAAATTCATCTCTTCTTTCGATTGCTCTACATTCGACGATTTGTAAATCTCAAGTCATTAACACTGATTGCAATCGATGAACAAGATTGGAAGAAAATTCAAAGAAAACTTCATTTCTTATCAAATTTAACTTCTCTTTCACTTCGATTGTCACAACATTTATCATCGATCAGCGTCGAATTACCACTGAAATCTTTAGTATTAAATACATGTACAACGAATGAATTGCATCAATGGCTTGTGCACACACCGATGTTAATCAATTTAGAAGTCGAATTGATTGTTGATGTATCCGACAATGATTTTCGTTTGAACCCAATTGGCACGAATATTCGTCGGTTGAAAATCAAACTTCCTGAGAAGTCTCACATAACATTTGAGGATCTCGAAGCACTTTTTGTCTGTATGCCGAAAGTGAAGTTCTTGACAATGACCGTCGCCAAAGGATTTCGCTTATTTCACGGTGATCGTTGGGAAGATCTACTCCGAAGATATTTACCTCATCTAGAAGATTTTCGTTTCAAAATTCATCCCGCTTTAGACAATGTCAATCCTACACAATTAATATCTGCATTTCAAACACCTTTCTGGTTACACGAACATCAATGGATTGTTCATTGTGATTTTCATGGTGTACACAATCGACATTATCGTAACGTGAATAATATTCACTTCTATACATTACCTTATCCTCATGATCAGTTTTATTTAACTACCTCAACAAAGTCATTAACTAACCATTCAAAAGATGCATTTCAAACGGTCAAAGAACTATACCTATCAATCGATTCCGACATGTCTACACATCTGCTCGAACATTTTTATTTTCCTGATCTTGACTCATTGATCGTCTGTAACTTACATGAATTGCCATCATTGATTGATTTGATTAATCTTTCCCGTATTAAGCATCTAACCATCGAACAAAACAATCCTATCCAGCCTCAAGAATTCTTCTTGCATATTCTAGTATATACCATTAATCTCCGATCGTTGAAAATCTCTTGGCATTCGCTGATGGAAATCACTCGGGAGTTCACCAATCAAAATATATGCTCGATATTGGAGAAACAGATTAAACATTTACATGTATTCGATTGTGCAACGAAAATCAGTCCAGACAAGGGTAAACAAGTCGAATGTCTGATTAAATTATTTTCGAAAAATCTTGAAAAACTCAACGTACATGTTCCATCGCTCGATAATATTGCCATGCTATTAAATGAAATGTTGAAATTAAATAGTATGGCTGCAGAATATGAGTCAAAATCCAACAAGATGGATAGTGATCGTTTATTGTCATGGTTAACAGAAAATGTTCCGAAATTGAAAAAGTTTACTCATCAAATACGATACACGTCGAAATCTCGAGTTCAATTACTTTTTTGGATGAGTCTTTGAGAGTAGTTATTCTCGCTTTTAACAATCGAAATAAATCATGATACATTTATTTTGTTTAGCAATGATATCGACTTTGTTGTCGCCATTTAAGTCACTTGCAGATGATAAGATTTGAGAAACAATTCTATAGGTAATTTTCGATCCAAAGGTGCCATCATCTTGATTGAAAACAACACTTATATCCATATTCAGATTTTTAGCAACAACTATATCCGATTTCTTTTGTCATGATTAATGTTGATAATGATAATAGATGTTGGAAATTCACCAACTGAATAAGTAGATTCATAGATGAAAAGGTAATATTGCCTGCGTTAAGAAAATCAACGATACTGTCTAACTCAGCATATCCGACAACAATGTTAAGTTCTCCGTCGTTAGTCATGTTGTTAACACGAATCGGAATTGCACTTGACCCAATGTCGTACCGTATTTCATTTATAAACGTTCCATCACCCCTGTTGAGAAGAATGCACACTTTCGTTGCATTCGACTGAGAACCACCGAAGACAAGATCGAGCCTGTCATGATTGTTCATACACATCCATTGGTTGAATAGTGCTCGAATCAGTATCAACTGTGTAATCGACTTCCTTTGTGAATGTTCTATTTCATGAATTGAGAAAAATGAAAACGTTAAGCGTAGCCCTTACTCCAATAATAATGTTTAAGTCAATCACGGCTATTCCATATGATGTGTTTTTCAAGAGATACTTCGTTGCATTCAGAAATGTTTTATTATCAGTCTTGAAAAGAATACCGAAACTACTCGTAGACCTGCCATAGTTAACCATAACGATGTTGAGCTTTTCATCGTTGTTGATATCAGCAATCGCTAGTACATTTGTGCCCATAATTGAATAAATGGATGGATCGGTGAACATACTGCGGCAAACTATGAAATAGAAAGACGATTCGCCTCTTTACCTCCGCTGATGCTATTCGTTCTCAAGAACTCAAAGGAGAACTGTTAAAACTTCAACGGTTTGTTATCACTAACCATTTTCTGACAACAGCACTGTTGTTATCGATGTTGTTGCCGAGATAGCAAGTGTAGCTGTTTCCATTGGTGGTGTTGATGTTGAAACGAGTAGTTGCTCTGCGGAAAAAAAAGATTATCTGTCGTTACATACAACAAGTACTCGTCGTTTTATCATCTATATTGGTAACACGTCTTAGTAAGATTAAACGAAAATTTACCTGTTGCAGGTATTATTTCTGCAGTTGTACTTCTATTTTTCGTTGTCAGAACAATTGTTAGACTGACTGTTCCGGTAACCATCAACGTACAGATAATGATAAAACAATTGATCCGCATGGATTTTCTTCCTTGAAGATATCCACATCTAGTAAATAAAATCAAAGATCGTTGTTGAAATTAAAAAAAAGACGTACATTGAATTCGAATAATTATTCAACATTTATGTTCGATTAGAATTAATTGAATCAGACTATCAGAAATGCATAAATGAAGAAGTTTGAATCTTATGTTCTCTCAAGATGGTACATTAAATAATCAACTCTTATTTTGTTGGTATTCATAGTTAGAAGAGAACAAAAATAATCCACACTAAGAAAAGTCAAGCGCAGCATTTCCTGAAGAAAGCAACAACATATCCTGTTCACATACACACGTTTCTACTGAACGAGCTAGAAAAGCTTTGCAACATTCTGCGAAAAGAAGAAGCAATTTATTTTTTCTTGTTCCTTATCAATTTCTGCAACGAAATGTAGAAAATATTCGCGATCGCTTGAGAACTGCTACGATCTCCTTTTTGTAGACTTCGGAAGGCCATACAAAAATAACGAATGTTAGCAAAGGTGGTATGTACGAAATAAAATAGCCGAACAAAAATAACCAGGGGTTTCTGGCTGATTTCATACATCCAGAGGCGAACGAAATGACCAGACGTGGTACGGCTAGAATAACCAAAATCAGCGGACTAATTATAAGATGCTTTTGTTCACTAAAGCCTTTGTATAAATGTTCTTTATAAGTCATTGCTCTGTCTGTAGCTGAATGGATGCGAGAAACAGTAACGATGATAATCATGGCTGAAACTAAATTGATAGAGAACGGCATAATAAAATGAAAAATATTCATAAATGAATCGAATGTTTTCATGATAGAAGTGTAGCGAACAACGCACCAAGTCCGCAGTTCTTCTTTATCATCAATCAGTTCACGGTGAATTGGGTCATGTACAAAGCTGACAAGACAACACAATACAGTGCCAATGATGACCCATGGTGCAATCCTTCGACTTTTGTCCTTACTATAATGTATTCCTTTTTGCAAGATAGAAGCTCTTTCAATAGCAACGCAAGCATTCAACCAAGTGCTTATAGTAAGAAGAGATTGCAGAGTAAAATCCATTACAATGCAGTCTAAGAGAATGAAGGTAGGATTTTTGATCCATGACATCTGGGAGAATAGTAGAAACCAAAATTTTGTCATAAAGACAACAGAGCAGATAAGGGATACGATTGATGATACGAAAAGATAGAATCCAGATCCAGTCTGACGAAGAGTTTTTGACTTGAATGTCATAATCGACAAAAGCCCATTGACGACACCAACTAAACACATGAGTGTTGTTATTATAACACTAACTTTGACTGAAGATGGCTGACGTGCAAGGGATAAATGTGGTTGTATTTGGTATCCGAGGATAATGTTAAGTGATAAGCCAAAACCTTTCGTCGTGAACTGGCATCTTCCTCCGTAAAAGCAGTCGGTGCAAATACACATGGTTGATTGAGGACACGTAGCAGGATTCTGAAGACATTGGCCACCATTTTCACACGTACTTCGTCCCTTACACACGTGGGTCTTATTGAAATCAAAGGGGAAACAGTTCGCAAAATTGTCATTGTTGCACAAGCATACAAATGCCTTCGGATCGTAGAAACAAGAGAAATGAGTATTTTGTCGGCAAACATTATGATAGAATTTTGCCCGGCGCAATATATGAAAGTCTAGTGTTCGTTTATCAAGTAAGTAATCGACAGCAGGACAATAGTGAAACGAGCTCATCTGGAGTGAGATTCGTCGTGCTAAAGATGAACTGTTCGTTTGTAGAAAGGCAAGATAATAATCATTATCGATTTGAACGAAAATCAGATTGAAGGGCAGTGCGATATACAATAAGGTGCTGTGTTCGTCGAAACGAATCTTCCTAGGTATTGTAGTGATTGAAGGATGACTTTTCACACGTTGTGTAATGACATGAACTAATAGAGCTCGAGGAATATCTACACCGTCAAATGAAATATCCACACGCGTATCTCTTATTTCACACATCGAACCAGAGTAGCCATTGATACAAATACATTTGAATGTTACCGCAAATATCTGTTGGTCTTCTATTATACACTGACCGCCGTTTTTGCACGGGTTATTTTGACATATAGAAGTAAGAAAGCAACGTGGCCCAAGCTTTGTATGAGGACACAAACAAATCGACCGATTGTTGACTTCACCAAGACACTTCGCATCCGACGAGCAATCACAATTATACAGTTGAATAGAACAATCAGTGCCTGACCAACCGGACTCACAGAGACAAAAGTCGTCTTTTCTATTTGAGTACATCATGCAACGACCATGACTACTGCATGCTAATTTACATGTTTCGATGTGACTTACAGGATGAGACGGTAGAATCAAGTGTGTAGCAATACGATTGACAGGCAGAAATAGAAACTTGACTGGTAACATCCAACTTGTATAATGAAGAAGATCAAGCTTACTGTAAGCATCAATTCGAACGGTATAATTTTTCTCCAAATTCTTTGGTTGAGTCCGAAAAAGCAGGTACACGTTGTATTTTCGATCGCAACTGCTCGTGGAGATGTAGGTGAACTGTTCGTAAGAATGAATTATGCTACCACTATCGACAAGAGTCACAATGATAGTATAGATTCCTTGACAGTTCGGAGCGCATTCTTTGCTGAATTGCAGAGTTAGACTAACTCGTTCGTTCTGAAATTGACAGCGATCTCCGTAATAGCTAGGCGGACAGAGGCATCTTTTAATTCTTTGTTCTCCTTGAAAGAAAAGAATACCGCGATTGCAGATCCATGCTCGATAGTAGTTTATATCTGCATCGAGTTTTTTGAACGAAGAATCGACACGGTCTGTCTGAGTATTCAAAACTTGAACAGGACTAGAGTCATCACTTACTGGTAAGTTTGTATACGATCCGTTTGATCCGAAACGACTCATATGACTTAAAATAAAGTACTCCTCGTTACGAGAGTATTTACTACCTAAGCTACCGTCTAATATAGGACTCTGTAAGATTAAATCTATGTCACTACCGTCTTTGCATATACTCTTATTCAAGTTCTGCTCTTCAAATGGACAAACGTGAATACCCAAACAACCTCCACTGATACATATTGTACTATTCCAACATCGATAACGCAATCCAGAGTGTTCTGGGTAGAGTTTACGACAGTAATTTCTTTCATCGGTTGATCCTAAACAATCTACCTTTCCATCTCCGGCTTTTTCGACCGGTAAACATGTTATTTGAAGGTTGGTAGGCGATACACACAAGTGTTGATTAGGGTAACATGGAGACATTGAGTTACAGTTAACCTCATCCATGCCGTTCGGACAATCCCATGCGCCATTGCATTGTGTGTATTGATTGCTACATGGCCACTGTTCACAATTTGTCTCATCTGTTTCTTCTTGTTTTCCGTTGACTATTAACGATAGTTGAACATATCCATTACAAAGGTTTTGAAAAGAGAATGTTTTGTTGAAGTCAAATGTTTCATCTTCGCCTCGCAAACAATTCTCTTGCGTGTTGTGAATCAGAACAGGTGAAATACATTTGTCTTCAGATGAACATCGAAAACGGTGCTTGTCGTCAAGTTTACACGAATCTGAGAAGAATTCATCATCAGGTCCGAAACAATCCATGACTCCATCGACTAGTCTATGCTTCGAGATGCATTTCGTTGGCTTTGTACAATGAAACATCGATGAATCAAAACAATGCGATTCGTTGCCACTTTCGTCGACTGTCAAACATGTATGAAACATTTCAATTAAAAAACGAATATTTGGTAGCTGATAGCTTGAAACATTTGAACATGGCATATGGTCGATCATAAAGTTTTTTTCAAAGACTGGACAGCGTTTTTCATTGAAACAGATAAAGTCAGGAAGTGGCATTTTGTCGGACTGGTGATATGTAACTAGTGTACTTGTCCAAAAACCGAACTGTCCGTATTCCTGAAGAAAAGGTATCATAGGGAAAAGTATATAGGTTGGGTGATTGCAAAAAGTATGAATCGGTACAGAACATGGTGGACGCTGATTTTCACATAGCCGAATAAAAGAAATAAACCAAGTGTCGTATTTCATAATATATTTGATCAGATTTAAACATTCTGAAGTCCAGTTCAATGAACGCAGTTTGTTAAACACAACTGACTGAAATAGTATTTCATCGCGATGATTCTCGCATGTTGAATACGCAATCGTGTCAAAGTTCATACGAAAACCAGTCTGCATTTGAATATTTTGTCCGTCACCACACACGAGGCCGCGTAACCCAGAAAAGGGATCTGACTCTTCACATAGAAACGTTGGATCTTTATAACACTGAACAAATCCCAAAACTCGATTGAGTTTCAAGTCATCGAAGTTATTCTCATCAGTCCCATCCAGACAATCTGGATTATATGGATGATCATTAAGAAATTCTTCAGGTACACAAATTCCATTATGACATCGATACTCGCCATGTTCACATTCATTTAGTTCCAGGTGCAAGCAGTGCTTCTCGTCGAGTCCGTCACCTAGACAATCGATTCGCCCATCACACACTTCACGCCAATCGAGACACATTGGCAGTGGTCCACGATTGCATTTTATGTGCATGTAACACGTTAAATTAGTGATATCAAGATTGGACGTATAAATCGATTCTGCCCATTTGGGATCTTTTTTAGTAAATGTTTCTGTCACAATGCTAGAAAATGATGCGTTGGAGTCAAATGTAAATTGACAAAACGTTCCGAACCATGATGATGTACAATTATAAAATCGATTCAATACACCTGATGTTTCTAATCTATTTTGAAAGCTTACGTAGTTTTCGACAAGATCGATCGGGGCAGACCAAGAAAGTAGATCTTGTGCACTAACATTCATTGCTTTCAAGTCATCCAATGTATAATTTGATAGTATATTATCTCGTGTAATAATTGATTCGTTTCCCTCTTCCTGGGCAAGTGGACGTAAACAGTACGAGATAATTTGATAAGGATATTCAAATTTCTCGTGTCTCCATTGAAATTTGATATAGTTATCTACATTGAACTCCAAACAGTCATGATACAAAACATCTTTACTTATTGAATCGGTGTAATACAAGTTTAGTTGAGCGTGAATTGGCGTCCACATCGTGATTAGCGTCGTCGTTGTCACAAGGATCATCATGATGGAAATAATATCCATTCTTACTATATTAACTGAATATATGAGTACGTATATAGCCAAAACTTTATACGCGTGTTAATGGAATGTTAAAAAAAACTTCAGTGCCATCAAAGTCAAATGCTAAATATCATCATTTACTCTATCAATCATGCTGACACGTTTCGTAAGCATTGCCATCGTCATGTTTTTTCATAGTGACATAACGTGCCACCGAAACATAGGATATATATATATATATAAAGAATGTGATTATTACCGCGTATAGGCAAGTGTAGTAAACGGTATATCTACTTGGTGGCTGAAGTGTCCATATAACATTTTTATGTATTTACCGTCATATCACAATTTGTTTGATTTTTATGCTATTGATGGACAAATTTTAACAAAACTGCAGAATTTCTCAGTCACCCATGACATTGATTTCATACTTAAATGTTATTTTTTTAGTTGTTAAATTCCCATATTCATCATAATTGAATGACGATAAGGTAAGTGTAGCCATATTACTCAACTCCTCCCATTAGTTTTTCATTAAGATGTTACATGCAGCAACAATTTCTTTTCTTGTTCTTCCATCGACGCTGCGATATATTTACTTTCTTAAAAATATGTAAAAAGATGAGAATGTCATGGAGATTGCCATCGCTGCATTCATTTCACTGCCTGTCGTTATGTTCACCACGTGCTTGGTGTCACTACAGTTTCATGCGTTGTGTAATAACAACACAAACCGAACAAAAACTTGTATAAGAAGAAAATTTTCAATTGTATAAACAAATCCTGAATTTTAACATGGCATTGTCTTCTACATGGACGGACCGAATAGCTAAACTTAGTGGAAATAAAACTCTGAAATCAAGAACATGTAAAGTGTTCGTGAAACATCCAGAAAGAGATATATGTCAATGTGGTCGTCTAAAGCCGAGCCATAGTTATGAAACACTTGATATGAAAACTCTAGCTGAACCAACCGATCAAACCAGAGAATGGAATGAATTTCCAGACACAGCCGCCGTTCCTATCAACGTCTATGGTCAATTATCGTCCAATGGACCGAAATTTGTTCGTTGTGACAATCGAACGAAGCCGGTAGATTTATATAATTTAATTCTCGACGACTGTAACAATCAAAAACCAAATCTGTTAATAAGTGCCTATGGCGGTGCAAAATTTTTCACCCTAAGTGAACGTATAGAGAAAGATTTTGTTACTGGTATTATTGATTTAGCAACAAGAGCAGGTAGGGAAGAGTATCATACACAAAAGTCGAGATACGAGCTTTGAGTTTCTCTTTCAAAGATGCATGGATTCTGACAGCAGGTGTAAATAATGGCGTTGCAAATCTGATTGGTGAAGGTATTTCGCAATATCGAGTACTGAAACAACATCCGAAATCGATTATATGTATTGGTCTGACGCAATGGGGTAGTCTGACTGAACGGACACGACTAGAATTGAAACAAACGACTCCAGTAAACATTGCGAATTGGTAGTATTTTCTATTAGCTATTTTATTTACAGAATTACCCTGAACAGCTGACATATATTAGACAAGCTGAGTCAAAGCTGGAAGTTGATAGTGAAGATCTGGAACTAAATCATACACATTACATTATATTAGACAACGGTCAGTTGCGTGGTCATCTCAGTGACACGCCGCGCCAAAAATTCGTCAGTCAAGCGACGCAAGATGGCAGCTGTAAGTATTGTAAAATATATTCTATCATCTATACATGTCGCGTGTTTAGGTTATGGGATCACGATTATCGTGGAAGGAGGTGCTAACACTTTAGAAGTCATTCAAAATGATCTTGACGCGAAACGGCCTGTTGTTTTAATCCAAGTACGTGTCTAGATGATTTCGTATTGACTGAATTAACGCGAAATATTCGTCTAGAAAAGTGGTCGAATATCGGATGTGCTGGCGAGTTTGATACAGTTGACGTCAAGTGCTGATCGGACTAAGTCTAGGTATGATTCTTTCTACATATCTATTCGAAGGTGTATCTGCTTTGTTTAGAGAACCGATTCAGGCAGAAGTCGAAGAACATCTTGATAAATATTTTACTGCGTTGAAAGGAGATATAGATCGAACGACTCGTATCAAACAGATTCTTGAAATTATGAAAACCACGAATCGGTACTTATTACATGTCTATCAGCTCGATGGAGAAAAAAGTATGTCGGAGACTATGTTTCAAGCTATTTTCTCAGGTACAAAAATGAGTGACTCTGTACTTTCACATACTAATCATCTATTGAATCGCTTTAGCTTATAAAGACAATCCTGACGATGCTAAACGTGAACGCCTGCTTGATCTATCGATTCGATGGAATTTTCTAGATGGTGCTAAACAATTACTCGAAGTAAATAACACACGGAGAGAAAAAAGTGGCCAAACAAAGGTAGAAAATGTATAGTTCTCTCGGTCGTATTCCAGCTTTCTGTTATGTAGGATAAACCATTGTTAGGGAAACTGTTCAAACAAGCGTTAGAACAGAATCGACCATCTTTCGTCGACTATTTTCTTCGCTGTGGTTACGACCCAAGAGATCTACCAAGTGTCATGAGTCAAACGTCCTCGGAAGAGGAATCTGCGTTCATCAATGTAGATACAGCAAACAAATGTCAAAAATTTGTTCTGAGTTTATACAATCATATAAAAAAACATGCGTACGAAGTAAGCACTGTCCGAGATACTTGAATAATGTAGTGAACGAATGGTTTGCTGGCTTTAGCATCATAATAAAGAGTCGATTAAGTTATTTTATGGTCCGAGAAACGAGTTGAACGATGTTGAGTCATTAAATCGAAGACTTAGGCGATGGTTGGGTTCCTATGTCGATGCGGTGTACGTTACTAAGCCAAAAACATTACTACCGATTCCAATGACTCGACAATTATTTATTAAATATTTCAATAATCAAGTTGCAGCTGAGAACGGAGATGCAATTGTGCAGTTTCATGATGGAACTTCGAAAATCAGACATAGTATTGACCATATTGCGACAGTCGGCATCACTCCCGACAACGTTGTAGATAGCAAAACGGATTTGAATTATTCTCAACAAGAGATGCTCAGAGATTTGTTCCTTTGGTCTGTATTTATGGATCTTTCATTAATGTCGAAAACAATTCTCATTCATATGCAAGAACGAATTTGTGCTTCATTAATTGCTGCGAAAGTTTTCAAAGCGTACGCCGATGAAACACCAATTACTGATTTGAGAGATCGATTGAATCGACAAGTGGTCGAATTCGAAAATTACTCAGCAAAGTGTGTCGATACATGCTACGAAGTTAGCGAACCACTCGCTTGCCAGTTGTTGATGAGAGCCGTTCCAAGCTTTGGCAATGTTACATGCATGCAAGTGAGTACATTCTATTCGACAAACGATTGGACAACGGTAGGGTAAACATAGGTTGCAATATCCGGTGAAAACGCGAAATTTTTGGAAACAGCATGTTTCGATCATGTTCTCAATCAAATTTGGTATTATAAATTGGCTCTTTCAACCAAATCTCTCGTATCGAAGGTTCGATTGTTCGGCAGTATACTTACACTTGGTTTGCCTGCACCGTATCTTCTCGAATATCGATCGAAGGAAGATTGTTATTCAAGTGTAAGTGACGGAGGATCATTAGGTAATCTGTACTTTCTACTGTCTGCTATAGGAAATATTAACGGAAGAGGAGAAAAATGCAAAGTAAATTGAGAACGAATGATCATTGGATAATCTTGAAGAATCGATTTCGTTTAGATTATCTGAAGATGGCATCATTTACGATATTTATGATGATCAGCCTAGTTTCCTGCAGAAATTTACTAGTTTCCATCAAACTCCCGTTGTTAAAATGTGCTACCATGTTGTAAGTGCGAAATAGTTTCACAAAATAGCGCTATATCATATTTCCCTCATTATTCAGATATCGTACATTCTCTTTCTGCTAATATTCAGCTACATGATGCTTTATCATTTCGATTCACTTGCTGTTACTAATGGAACACTCCATTGGACTGAATATGCAGTGATTATTGTTGTTACAACTATGTTTTTGGAAGAAATACGACAGGTAGATACATAGAGTCGAAATATATTCTAGTTTGAAGTGTTGTTTGTATAGATTGTTCATGATTTACATACAAAGATGCTTGAAAAATGGAATACGACCACTCATTTGGTTCTAACCAAGTTAGCCAATCCATTCTATGCGCTTCCATTTCTTCTTTTCTACCTGGGAATCTTGTTACGCTATGCATTTGGTAATGCATCGAGTGTATTGTCAGCCGCGCGTATTCTCATGGCATTCGACTTGGAACTGTGGTATCTTCGTTCACTAAAATTTGTTATTGCACTCAAATTTCTTGGACCAAAACTTTTCATGCTTAGAAATATGGTAAGACAAATATGAAATCATTATTGACTGATTTAATCGTTGTTTCAGTTACGAGACTTAGCTGCATTTGTCTACATGATATTCATTGCGATTGCTGCGTATGGTGTTGTTTCTCGTGCGTTGTTTATGTATAAACAAGTACCATTTACAGGGCGTGGAATATTCGAAAATATATTCTATCCGCCATATTGGTTTATCTATGGGAATCCAAATGATACGACAACATTAGATAGTAAGAATATCTTCATAGATTCATCTTTCTCTGTCGTGTATTTGATTTTTAGATATCATACATGATGGAAATAGTTCATTTATCGCCGAAGCAACTGCTACACATGTCCTGCTAGCTTTCCATATGTTATTTATTAATATTTTGTTGCTCAATCTGCTCATCGCTGTTTTCACGTGATACAGAGCTCTGTTTTTCTTTTCGATTTGATGACGAAGATTTCTTCTTTATAGCCGTACGATTGACGAAGTTCAAGAACATACGGAATTCTACTGGCGTTTTCAACGTTACTCATTCGTACGTGAATATTTCGAACGTCCATGGTTAGCATATCCGCCATTGATAATTATTCCACATTTGTGGATTGTGGGTCGTGCATTGTGGAAGAAATGTTGTTCTTCGAAGCACTACGATGCTCGAACGGAACATCATTCTGTTACAACACCGATATTCAGTGAGAAAATCGAATTTAACCATCGAATTCGAGGGTAATCTGTATTCGAACTTTTAGAAATGATCCCATTAAATCGTAAGATATTCCACGAACGATGGGATAAATTCGAGAATGCCGCAACGTATAGCTATGCTCGATCTGTCATCAATTTTGAGAATACGAGCAACTCGAATCAACAGAGAAAATCAGCAGAATCGTTCGTAGAAATACTGTGTGAACGCATTTATGAATTCTTCTTCTATTGTTTTTAAGGACAACTACAGTACAAACACACGAAGATATGCAAAGACAAATAAATGAAATTACCATCGCACTCAAGCGTCTTACAGAATCATTAGTACGATCGGACGCCAATGCTCAATCAATATCGTGAACATAAAATTATTTAGGGAGAAGGTTTTGTAAATACCATTGATATCCATCCTCATAATTTTGGTTATAAAAATGTAATAAACAATCAAGAAAATCATCGACGAACATACTATTAGACGATTGATTGCAACTGACCACAGGTAATCTACCTAAGTATGTGCAAGACCAATTGCTTGTGTATCGAAAGAACGAACACATCAGAGGTATACAACCGGACCCTGACCAACTACATGGCACGCGACCAACAATATGGTTGAGTTGCAACATATTCTTAGTTTGTTTCACTTGTTTGACTGTGATCGGAATCACTTTTCTAGCGATAGTTTTGATGTAGTTCGATATTGCAGTGCTGTGTGTATTGAAATTTTCTTTGACGAGAAACTGATAAACAGCATTGCCTAATGCGTATTGTTCGATGCAGAAAGCTGAACCGGGAAACGATGGATTCGGATCTTGATAAACTGAGAAAGGCTGCGGTTCAATCCATTTAATCCATGCTTGTTTCCACAGGGAGAAGAACGAAGAGATGACAGTTGATTTGAATCCCATAAAACAAGCTTGTGGTATCATTGCTAACGGATGCTGTTCACACCATTTCTTCATGAAATTGGTATCGTACATAACATGGTCAAGAATAAAGTAGAACATTTGTGAAGATGAACGAAAATCATGTAAACTGGATGTCATATTATTGTAAATGACCGTATCGGAATCCATCCAGTAGATTTCTTCGAATCCATCATAAGAAAATTTGATAATATCAAGTTTATACTGTGTTAAATTCCAGTCTTTTAGAATTGGTGAACTTGAAATTGATTTACATAAAATTCGGTAATGGTATTGTCGACCAATGTTATTCAAAACTAAGGATTTCGTATCTTCATTCATCACTAACAGTCCAACCATAACATTTGGTGTCGATGCTAAGAAAGAATTTATTGAATTGATTGTCATTGTTGTATATCGTTCAGTACCATCGGCAAAAAAGCAGACAATCGTTGATGGGACTTTATAAAGTTTCGAACAATTTTCAAAAGCAAATGTGTATAAGCCAGAAATCATATATTTCGATAATTCATCATTAAGATTTCCTTTCGGATTTTGCGTCAGGGATTTAACTAGCCAACGTTGTAAAGCCGCATGCAACATTGCTTGATTTGATATAACAAGACCAGTATGATCGAGAATATCTGTTAGAACATCGAGAGGAAGTTTTAAAAAGTCTGCCTGATGGCAAACATAGAGAAAATATTTCGCCGCAGCCTCAATGCATTGCTTGCGTATGGTCGCCCAGTTATGGGAGAGATACTTCTCTAAGAATAATAAACGTAAGCAATTATTTGCATCGATATCATTTGCAAGAGAATTCAGCAAAACTTTGTATAAGGATAGAATTTGATACATGTCAGCAATTTCTAATAGCGATTCTAATTGGTCAAAGGTGAGTTTTGCGACGTCCATCACGCCAGTGTAAAGATACTTTAAGATATCTGGGAATACTTGAACATCGTTGACTTGTAATGATATAGTTTTGCTGGTAGATTCCGTCATACCACTCTGAAACATGGCTGCGAAATAATCGGAACCAGCTGCTAGAATCGCTCGATGTGCTTTGTAACGATTCACATCATTGACAATCAATTCCACATCGAACATCAGATGATCAGTGTAGAGAATCATACCAACGTCATGGTAACGGGTTCGTCCATTTTGTGTAATTGTCTCTTGTGCATCGTATCGGTCGAGAATCAGTTGCATGAAATCTTCTCTATCAAGAACATTATTATCTTTATTTTTTCTTTCATTTGGATTCAAACACCAATGTTTGTTATTGATTTTATATTTATATTCGTAGGAATCGGGTACGAGTTGTATGACTTCACTGAAAACAGATTCTTCTGCGTTTCTTTGATAAGCATATGTCAGTATTGCAATAGGTTCTGTCCAACTCGTCTTTGAAAATGAACCGTACAGTTCGATACGATCGGATCTCGATTTTGCACAAAATTGAAATGTAACAGGATACTTTCGTTGTCTCCAACACTGAGCCATAGTTTGAATCGAATGAAATGCGCTTTATTATGGAAAAGTATATATTTACTTTACTCCTTTTCTTACTTGTTCTGTCTGTCGAAAGTAACAACGATGAATATCAGTAGCACATGTAGGAAGAACAAAAAAAAACGAAAAATCGAAAACAGTTGTGTAAATAACAATTTCTTTGACTATAGATAGACATTTGACAAAACCTATTCAGGTATGATTACACATCGATAGTAAACAGATCCGTGTGATGGTATTGTTTTTGGATCGTCATAGACATAGTTTGATTCCATTGCCATAAATACATGTATCTCATCATAGCTCGATTGGAGGAAGGCATCAGCATCACCTCCAGTTGGAACATGTTTATACGAAGAATACCTTAACAGAGCATAGAAGTTGCCCACTGACAAGCCGCTGACAGTGACAGTTCCGTTCATCTCTCGCGGTTCAAGGAAAAAATATGGTACTGGTTCATCACATGCCGAAACAGATAAATGAACTGGTAATGTTACTCCATCCTTATCGATGATCCCCGTGATAGCAATACCATAATCGACCTATAATATCATGTAGACAGGAATAAACTGCATAATGAGAAAATTCTTACATTCAGTGGTAAACATCCGTCGTCAGCATCTTCTTTATCAGCAATACTTGCTCGTGTTGCTGCAAATTCTTTTTCGTTTAAACCCTTTTCGATTTGTTGAAGTTCGTATAAATCATAGTAGATGAGTTTATCATGATCCGGATCATGCTCATCTTCATTTTCATATTTTATGCCAACTGCAGGAACAATATGATCATAATCGTCACAATCGTCGTCAGGAAGAAAGATGCCAAATACGACCGGATGTCCTTGTAGAATTGATCGTTTCATCCACTGGCAAAATTGACGGAATTGTGGTTGAGGAGAGTCCTTCCAATTCCATTCGTCATATGTCAGATGAAGTTGTGTCAAAGTTTGCAATGGATTTCGACGATCTCCGGACGATACTGGTTGCAAGAGATATTCACCTTTATTAATTTTACGGATCAGACCTTGAGAAATCCAAGCACCGTACTTGAGAGCTAGTGATATATGATAATGCGATAAAAGAAAGAGTAACCTTCATTTGTGATATTTACCGATCGATTGAATGGATACTTCGCCACAGAAACCATTTCCATGTTTCCATTGTAAACGTGGTGGAATACTGAGTAAAACAGTTGTTGTGGACATGTCTGTTTTTGTTTTTACCGTAGTTCGATGTCGATGTGCTCGAATATGCGGCATTATATACAGGTAGAGTTTTACAAATGTCAATAATGCACCTCCTTACAAGACATCAATTGCGTAAGATATCCTAAAAATGACTTTGATGGATTCTTCCTTTCCGACATAAGTAAGAATATTACCTTGGCATGCACGTTACGACATTATGTTTTTCCTTCTTTCTCTCTCTTCCACGCTTAACATCTATCATGGACGACAACATGTTTTTTTCTTTTCGTCTTCATGCAAACATGAAAAACACAAATATACTATTTTGCTTGCCTTATCAATCGTTCGTTCTCTCGTATACCACTCGGTTCTAATTGCACTACTGCTCTCAGTCAAAACTATGCAAATTTCATTGCAAACTATAGATAACATGAACTACGCTGTTTACAAACATTGAAGATTAATTGTTCGATACTGACTGACAAGATATAGTCAATTTAATTATCGAGTATTCTGAGAGCATGAAGACAACGTTACACAAAGCATACATGAATATCTATCTATAAGTTTATCGTGAGTCTATTGTGCTTCATTCCGGCTGTTTGGATTCACTCGTCTCATTTTCCATTTTCGTATGCAATATGTCACCAACTTAACTGTCAAAGGTACAGTCAATTTTAACACTGTTGCTAAACCACCAACTAATCCAATCAATGTTGTTACTATGTAAATAGGAGCATTTTGCGTCTCATAACTATAAACACATTCTACTGGTTGACATTGCTCATAATAAATTTCATGCATTGTATTGATATTCCATTGTTCGATCATCAAGTTTTTCAGAAGATCGTTTACTGTTGAATTTATGCGATAGTTGCTTGATAATGAAATATTCAAAGGTGTTATGTTCGATGGACGTTTGTCCGACATGTAGAATTGAATAGTGTCGATACAATTCTGATCATAAAGACACTCTAGTGTTGATTTGAGTAGTGCTTCAACTGTATAGCACCCGACATTGAAACCAGGTATCAAAAGCGACGGCAAATTGGTAGAATTATCCCAAATGTAAGTCGATTCTGTACATTGAGCCGAGTGAGCGCAACTGCAATTGCCATAGGTACGCTGCGCCGTACTAACTGAAGATCCGTCTGGTCCGGTAAAAAGGTCATGACTTGACAAAGTTCCTGATGTAAGAGAGTTGCTTTGAGTCGTTTCGCGTATCATCGAAATAGACGACAGAAAATCATTGATTGTGAAGAGTTTAAACTCAGTAATCAATGCTTGAATTTGTAATTGAAACACCTTATAAAGTGTGACAGATGATCTAATATATTGACTTGAATAAAATTGACTTAGAGCATTCGAAATCGCCTGATTGCTCAACGTGCAGAAGTCATTGAGTGTACGAAATCTGTATATGAAGCTCATTCGGAAGTCATTTGGATTGATGGATGTCGGATCAGCTTTAGGTATAGAATTAATCCATTGTTCAGATACGAAAATACTTGTACAGATTTGATGAAATGTGTAATTAACATCAAGAATCGCTTTGTAGCTAATTGAGACTTGTTTACATGGACAGGATAATGTTTGAGAATATGAAGAGTTGAGACGAGCATACTCTTCATAGGAAGGTACTGGCACGTGGACTGTCTTCGTGATTTTCACAACAGATGTGTAGAGAAGAAGAATGGCCAAAGATAGAATGAAGAGAATAAGAAATAATCGGGTGGAAATGATTTGATTGCGAAGCTTGTACTGATCCGTTGAAGGTGGAATCGACGGAAACAGATTAAAGTTTTGTAACGAGTATTTTAACTTTTCATACAACATATTGACTCGTTCACGAGTAGTTAACACTGCAAACGTAGAAAAAAAAACTATATTGTATTTCTGGAATGTACGTCAGTGTTTTATGTAACACGGTACAATTGATTCTGTTACTCACCATTGGATAAGTTTTGTTGTCGCTTTTTTCGCCTTATTAGCTTCACAACGAATGGTACCAGGATCCTCAGACCTGTTGATAGACCGCCAATTAACCCAATCAACGTTGTAATGATGTAAAGTAAATCATTTCTTGTCTGATAACTATAAGTGCATTCTGAAAGGTGACATCGTCGATACTAATCTTCATGCTTGACGAACGAATTCCACTGTTCGATCATTAAGTTTCGGAGAATGTCATTGAAGGTAGTGTTGACTGAGTAGCTACTGGGAAGTGATGAATTCAGAGCTGTTACTGTGATTGGTGGAGAATATGTCACATACGATATAACTGTGTCGATACAATTTTGATCATAAAAGCACTGAAGTGTTGATTGAAGTAATGATTCGATTACGTAGCATCCGATGTAGAAATTCGGTACTGTAAATAGAGGCATAGAGACTGGATAAATGTAAATAGAAGATTGTCGGACACAAGTACTTGAAGTTGAACAAATGCAACGATTATCAAATCGGGACAAAGATATTACTAAAGAATTTGTAAATCGATCGATATATATTGAGTAACCGATGAGAAAGTTCGAAAGCAAAGCATTGCCTTGAGTTGTTTCTCGAACCATAGTAAGCGATGACCAAAAGCCATTAATTATTGACAATCGAAATTGATCGATTAACGCTTGAACCTGATATTGGAACACATCATAGAGTATGACAGAAGCGGTAACAAATTGATTCGAATAGAATCGATTCAGACTATCCGACATTGTCTGATCAATCAAGTTACAGAAGCTTTTGATGGCTTGTAATGCAGAAGGGAGTGTGTTTCGAAAATCATACGCAAAAAGGTCAATGCTTCCAACTATTACTGTAGGAGACAAAAATTCAAACCATTCATCCGACAGGAAAAAACTTGTACAAAATTGATGTAATGTATAATTGACATGAAGGATGTCTCTGTAATCAATCGAGATATTTTGACATGGACAGGATAATGTTTGAGAATATGAAGAATTGAGACGAGCATACTCTTCATAGGAAGGTACTGGCACGTGGACTGTCTTCGTGATTTTCACAACGGATGTGTAGAGAAGAAGAATGGCCAAAGATAGAATGAAGAGAACAAGAAATAATCGGGTGGAAATGATTTCATTTCGAAATTGATGTGCATCTGTAACGGATTCCATGGACGGGAACAGATTGAGATTTTGTAGATATGTTTTGAGTTTGTCCCATAATCGATGCATCTTGTGGGAAAGTTGGTAATCAGGCACGCGTATCTGTCCTTTTGAAAAAATGATGGTTATGCAGTAAAAGTTATTTCTCTTCAAGGACGGCATTAACATACGGCTCTCTAATTTTTAAGATTATTTCTTTTCTTCACATTTTAGTTGAAACGTTAATTACAGTCAATATCCGGGGAAAATAATTTGTCATATTTTATGTATATACTCAAAGCAATATCAGTAGTCTTTCTCTTTCCTGTTTCCATAAAAACGAACCGTCTTCGGTATTGCAATTAAAACAAGGAAATCAAGGTTTGAACAAGTCTTTATTGTTTGTTTGTTACGGATAAAATGCATAGGAGATACATGCAGTCTTTCTTTTTATTTCACAGCGTTCAAGAAGAACTAATCAAATCTTCGACTGTGCACCAATATTCATCCCATCCAATGCCTTCTTGGACCCAACCCGTACTCTCAGCTGGGAACAATGCATCCATTACCATTTGTGCAATTTTCAAATAAGGCAGTGCATCTTGTGCAGTGTCGAATTTCTCTGCATACATCAATGCTCTGATTGTCTTCAGCACATGTTCATCTGGATGTGTTAAGCATTTCTCGATCAGAGCTAGCCATGGATTTATTGCATCTGAATACAGATGCTCGTTTGATACTTGATATTCATTGCATAAATAATCCACATTTAGCTTTGGTCGGCCACGTGCAACGTAGTATAAAAGGTCTGTTGCGAACTTTGCTTTCATCAATTTCAACTGATTTTGTTTGCTTTGAAGTGAATGAACGATAATATCCAAGAAGAGACCACTCGTAGTTGCATGCATGAGAAAAAAATCCAGACGAGGCGGTTTGTTTGGTCGTATAGCAGCTACGTTTACTAGAATACTCGTTCGTCTAGCGTCGTTCAAATCTGGCTTCCACATTCGTGCATATTCTTCAATTAACGGACCACCACCTCTTTGTAAAAGTATCGGCGTTTTCGGTCGAGCATCGGTGTAAACGATCATATCATCAAATCGATGATCATTTCTGATCAGTTCAATAATTTCCAAAGCTGTTTTATCACCATCTCCACTGGAATTTAAATTTATATGATCAACGACATCTTTAACATTGATTCGATCAACCGCTGCCATAGCTAGACCTTCAATGGCCATTCCTTTCGATTGAAACTCAAGAGCATATCCAAGATGAATGAATGGATGATAAGCGCCAGCCAAAATAAGACCAAGATATCCTTTGTTAAATGTATAATCTTCGATTAGAGCTTCCATCTTTCCTTGATACTTTTCACTGATTAATTCATTTTTAAAGAATTCCAAATAATCATGATAATACTTATCGTCACCTAAGCATTTTTCGGGATCGAAATTCTCTTTTTGATTAAGTGCGGCTAAAGGCTGTTGAATTTTTGTATGTTGTTCAAAGATGTGCTTCAACGTTTGAGAAGAAGCACCGAATCCTAAAGCAGCTAAAAGATGATGCGCAGTATGATTGTGATAACCACCTGGAATATAGAAAAACAGATGATGAGCTTCATGATTCTTTTCGAGGAGATCAGAACATGTTCGAACTGCTTCAGATTGGATACCAGGTAATAAACAGACATCATTTTTCATGCGAAATTCATTGCATGACAAAGCAAACATGATGCAGTAAGTTAGCACGAGTGATGTAAGAACAAAAAGTTGATTTAATGTTTATCGACATTCACGTGGCGTGTATTTTATATATCTTTTTCTTTCTTTCCTTCAACAATATCGTTCGTCTTCTTTCGTTCTCTTTATGTCGTATGTGTACTTATATACAATCAGTTTTATTCTGTAGTTGAATTTTCAGTATTTATTCACTGTATCTGTTCGTCGACATGATCCTAAATTTTTCCATTTTGCTTTAAACCCTGGTAAATTCAAACTGGTCAGTTTCTTCGTCGGACTTTCTCCTGGCTTGTTCGTTTGTAGAGCTTGATATTTTATCCCATGGACACTCACTAAGCTACCACGCAAGTATTTCATCTTCGTATTTCAAACAGGTGGGCATCTTTGAGGATCATCTTCTAGTTTCATCGATGTTTCACTGCATGAGCCTTTCCAATTGTCGAAATCTGAATTGTAACTGATCTCTCGTTGACGAAGGAAACATTCAACAGCAGCTTTATCGCATTGGCAAGTTCTATAAGCACATGTTCCTGCCGGATCGACGCATTGAATAGTTCCATTCGACATCTTTTGATGTTTGTAAGCTTTTAATAATGGCCTGCACTTCTCGACAGCGGCTTCCGCACTTCCAAAACAGTTATCATGTACTTGGCAGCAACGATCGGTTGCATCGACAACCAAATTACCACGTTTACCTTTGCCACACCTGAAGCGAAGGGAAAGATGGTATTTTTTATTGACACATCGAAAATTTTACCAGCATCCGTAACCATTGTATGCCAGAGGATTGCCAATAGTGTCGAGAATCAAAGTACCGAATTCAACAAAATTCCGATTTTGAATATCGGACACGGCATCTGATAAATCATAAATGATATTCACAAAAAAGAAAAGATAAAGAAGGTTAAAGAGGGACATAGCATCTAATCAAGTACACTTTGTTTTCGTTTGAGGAAAGTGCGCTTCTTAAATAGGAGGTATTTTTGTAAATTGAAGATTAGGTGTTTTTATTAATGTCTGGAAAAGTAACGAAGAGTCACGTACAATCAGCTCGAAAACAAATTTGTTAACGATTTTATTTCTAGACGATGAAATAAGAAAAAAAACACCTGTTTGCAATCAATACTAGTCAGTAGAATGGTTGTCTAATCAATATTTGAATTCATCATCGAAAGAATCCAAATGTTTAATATTTGTTGCAATTACTATTGCTGGCTTATTAAAATCCCATTCAACAGTTCGGTAGTCGCATTCTATACGATTATTGTCTCGAAAACAAGACTATGATCGATGTAATTTTTTCACTCACTCCTATTGGTCGCATGATTTGTAAGCTAACAATCTGATATTTCGTTTCAAACTGATATCCTCCTTCATCGTATACACTACCATACTGGTTATTTAATCAAGGCATATCGATAATTCGGTTTTGAACGAAACTTAAATGTGCTTGTCTGAATTTATCAGTAATTTCAATAAATAAATAATCATCATTATGGGAAATTTTTTGTTGCAGAGTAGTAAACATACTGAAGCTCGATGAATTGCTCAATCCAAGATTTATATACATTTTGGCTCTCGTCATACACGATCACCTCGAGTTCAGGTTTTAGTCGGTACACAAGAGCTGGATGGGAACAAAAATGGCATATATCTCCCATGATCTTGAATTGCGGTAGAAAATGTTTATTACATTGGCGTAAACCTGTTGCCTTTTCTTCGGCTGGAATGCCAGTGCAGATGATTACGTTTGCTCCAGATTCTTTGACATCGAGTTCAATTTGAGCATTCTTGCGAACAGGTTGACAAAACGTACATTTATTTGGTTTACAGGCAGCGAAATAATTGTCATAAGTGCTTTGTGTTGAGCCACTATTCGAGGAGCGGTTCATTGTTTAGAGTAGAAGGTTGGAAGCATGAAGCGATTGAACCATTGATAGGAGTGATAACCGCAGCAGATGTATTGGACAGAACGAAATCAGATGATAACGATCTATTCATTTGCATGTCATGGGCTAGATGATTGATGATTGAAGCGATGCAATTGAACAGTCCAGTGCTGACATGCATAATCTGTCGATAGGATAGCAACTCCCTATGAGTCCAAGTAGAATGAGATCAGGCGGACTAATACAAAGTGATTGCTGGCATGTAGTTTCATGAATGTGCGAGGTATACCTCGGATCAGATAATCAGTTGATGAAGCACCGATCTTCACTATCCACTCATTAAAAGCGATTGGTGTTTTGATTGATTTCCCTCGATTTCCTCGAAAAAGTTTAGCATTCGCAAAAATCGAAACAAGTACAATCCTCTGTATGTCAAGTTCTTTAGTGGCAGGAAACGATTGTTTCTCTATCCGTGTCACGCTGTCACTTTTTTACGACAAAAAGCCTGCGAATTCAGTCTTCTACGGGTTTTTCCATTTGACCTTGGAGTATTCTTATAAAATCAGACATAATTGTGACGATTTTTGATGGAAGAGATGTATGCGCTGATGGAACTACGCTTATTTATTTCTTCCTCATCAATCGCATCGTTCTGATACAAGACACACGTTTATATACTCGTCCACAGAGAAGAGAACACAAGAATATATCATATCGAAGTACATCAAAATGGACTGAGATAAGGACATAATACGGATAATCCATTAGATGAGGAAAATCGTATCACGCGTACAACGCACGTCAGAGAGATTGTCATAATAATAACAATCAATGTACTGCTAGAATTTGAACAGGATTTAACGTTTTCACAGCCGCCGCAGAAAAAATCAAAGTTTTGAGTGTTCAGATGCTAGTCATGCTTGCATTTATTTACATGAAAATGAGAGATATATCGACGGTTGAAAATAAAGAACGCATCTGTTTCAGCAACTTGTGCAATAACGTCGTCAGTATAAAACTACGAGAAGAATAATGCAAAAAATATATGTCAATCTTTCTTTTTCTTGTTCTCGCCATGCACAACGCTTTCGGAGTGGATGAGTCATCTACATCTACACGACATATTTCTACCTGATTATTTGAAAATTTCCTCTAGATTACTTGACTAGAATGTCTTCGTCGTCCGCATCCACGTTGTATGGTAAAACCATTCTATTAGAACTTGGGTATGAAAAAGGCTTTAAAGCGAAACAAGAATTGATCAATTTCTTGCGAGAGCAGCACGCACGTGTTTCGTATATTCTTACAGCTAGTGTACGTATGTTTACTTTTGTATTCCAATTTGTAAAAATCTTTTTTTTTCATCAAGACTGATTATGTTTTCACAACAAATAATGTCGACAATTCAAAGACGCGTCGTGCTAGACAACTCGGTATTCCACTAATCGATGTCGACTATATACAACAATATCGTTCCTCATCGTCTGGACGAATATCGACTGACATCAATAAATTTCTCATCAAGTCGTCCGAAGATCAAGAGAATTTTACGAGAACTGGTACTATAAACGTCTCAGGTAATGTCGGATTCCATGTATGACGACAAACATTCCTAAAATTGTTATAGAGTCTCGACCGAATATGTGTAAAATCAATAAATTCGATGCCAATAAAATCAAATTATGGAATTCTACTGATGAAAATCTGCCTTGCTTCGACGAATTAACGCATGGTGCTATTGGAAAATGGGCGATCTTTAAAGTATTCTCACGTTGACCTATTCATCACTCTTCTCTTGTGATATTGTAGGAAACCACTGATAATTCCCATGTTTTCTTCGTTCTTGAACTTCAAATAATTCCCGTACAATACTACAATCCATCGACAAGTGATTATCGATTGCGATTTCGGTATGAAAAGCAAACTATTACAGAAGGAAAACAGCAAGACAAGAAAATTTCATTTCAATATGCCTTTGGAAATGATCCTAATGAACAGCAACAATTGTTTGCATTCTATTACAATCGAATATCCACAATGCCACGTATTACACGTATTCGCGACATGTTACCTAATCAATTAGGCTCAAAATTATTATTACGAGTGAGTTCTTTGCATGTACGGAAGAAAAGCTTTGATTGAATTCGTCTTCAGTCTTTGTTCATACATCGTCTTGATACACAAATACTTGATGAGAATGTATGTCAATTGATTGAATCGATTTGGTTGGAATCAGTTGGTGATGTGAATAAAATCTTGAGTGTCTCGCCTGAATTCATCACTCTCAAAACGGTATACACGTATAAAAATGACAGATTTATTCTCAAATCTACCGTGTTTAGATAGTTGAAGCTGAAGCTGCACTTCTTGAGTTGAAAACTACCAATGATTCGGCGGCAGCAACACGCTTTTATTCACTTTTACCACATCAACCATCGTGCCAGATTGACCTCGTCAAAAATCGGCGAGCATTGATTGAAAAACTAGATTTATGTCAAGTATGACAAATAGATCTCTTTATCCTTTTTATTGATCATTTTAACTACGAACAGATGCTGAGAGACATGCTAACAGTGAATGAACTGACGAACTGGAATGTGAAAGCGCCAATTGAAGCTAAATACAGAGCGTTAAAGTGCTACATTGAAGTTCTGTCGAGCTCGACACCTGAATATAAGAATATTGCGAAGTTGATTCAATCATCATCCGATAGGTTAATCAATTTTCAACATTCGTTTTGAGAATATTGAATGTACAATGTTTTTATTCGTTACAGTAGTGAACAAGTTCTTATTCATAATATATTCAGCGTAGCAAAACAGAGTGATAGTTTGAATTTTCGTTCTACACTATCTCACCAACGGCAATTATTTCATGGATCGAAATATTCGAATTTCCTCGGAATTCTCTCTCGGTAAAACAATTCTTTTCTCATCGAGATTTATCTATGTTGTCAAATTAGTGGTCTGGTTATGCCGAAAATGGTGGTGGAAGACTTCGGTGTGGTGCGTACTGATATTGGTTGTCTTGGTTATGGAATTTATTTCTCAGATTCAATTTCTACATCTCTCAAATATACAACAGCAAGCACCGCACGACCCGGACGTCGATTGTTATGCATATGCCAAGTGGCATTAGGTGAATCGGCGAATTACTACTCATTTGCACCAAATCTTACAAAGCCTCCCGATGGCTTCCAGAGTACACATGGAGTCAAACGAACAGAGGATAATCAGTCGATGTTTACTGTAAGTTTTAATTTAAGATGAATATTCTGTTCATAATTGGTCCTAGGATAACGAATACGCAATCTATCAACTTGATCAACAACTTTTACACTATGTCGTTGAAGTCTCTTGGGCACCAAAGGATGCTTTAAACATCCAATTGGAACGTTTACCAATTGTTCATCATCAGCAATGTGCACTTGATTGTGTTTCAGTTGATGTTCCAACAACGATCGATGATGAAATCATCGAAATAGCGGAGCAAGATTATGGTTTGATATGTCCGGCATCAGGCAAAATCATTCCGCTTCGATCATTTCATCTCCGTGCTCAAGTTGTTGACACAACAGTTGAAGTAATTCGATTCATTTTTCGATTTGAATGTCTAATTTTATCTTGAACATACAAGGTTGTTCTGTATCAAGTCTATTACAACACGAGTTCGACGCCCATCGAAGCTAAGTACGTTTTTCCATTGGATGAAAATTCCACGGTATGTGGTTTCGAAGCACATATTAATGACAAAGTGATTAAAGGTGTTGTCAAAGAAAAAGAACAAGCGAAACAAGAATATCGCGAAGCTATTGCCAAAGGTCATGGTGCTTATCTAATGCATCAAGAAGAAGCTCAGGTTTTCAGTGTAGCAGTTGGTAATTTACCGGCAAATACCGAAGTGATCATTAAGATAACTTACGTTGCCGAGTTAGAAATTGAAAATGGTGATATTATGTTTCGTCTGCCGGCAAAAATGACTTCTTGGCAATCAAAGCAAGCCATAGAAGCACGAGATCAATCGATTCTTCGATCGATCGGTATGATCGACGAGAAAGTGGAATTCACTTTCAGAGCATCCATTCGAATGCCATATAATATCACAAAACTATTCTCGCCAACACATCGTCTTCGTCGAAAAATAACCAATTGTATTGCCATGGTAGAACTCGTTGATAATATTCTACTTGATCGAGATTTCATCCTTTCAATCACACTCAATAGTCCGAATTTACCTCGAATATCGATTGAAACCTTGGAAGATTCCAGCTCTCAGGCATGCATGTTAACATTTTACCCGAAATTTGAAGCACCAGCTCATTCTCGTGAAGAAATCGAGATTATATTTATTGTTGATGTGTCCAATTCAATGGATGGTACTCATGTACACCAAGCGAAACAATTGGCTCATTTATTCCTCACTAATTTATCAATTAATGATGTGAAGACGTATTTTAACATTATTACTTTTGGATCTGGTATGATCTATTACGTAATTTATTGTTTGCTAATAGAATTCGATTTAGATAATGATGAATGCTTTCCTATGTCTGTACCAACAACGAAAGAAAATCTTGACAAAGCTAAACATTTCGTTCTGGTTTGTTATTTTTCTTGAAATAAATATCCTTCTCTTCTGAATTCATTCTAGCATTCACTGATTCATCGTGGTAATACAGATCTATTCTCTGTTCTTCATCGTTACTCACTATTGCCATCCAAATTTTCACGTCAATTTATTCTGCTATCTGATGGACACATTCATGACCTCCAATCGATTCTAATTCTACTCAAACACCAATCAACATTCTGTCGTGATCGTTTGTTTACCTGTTCAGTTGGTAATGTTGCAAATAAGCATTGTCTGAAGCAGCTGGCTAACGAAGCAAGTGGCGGTGGTCTAACGATCATATTCGACTCGAATTACCGATCGAAATGGAAAGCCAAAGTATTGAATCTTCTCGAACATGTTCGACAGCCATGTGTGACTAGTGTATCGATCAATTGGGATGGTCATATCGATGAACAGGAAAGGTTTCATATGCAAGCACCAAAAACAATTCGTTCTCTATTCAACGGAATGCGAATTACTGTTTATCGATTTGTACAGAATTGTCATAAGGCAACGTTGACGGCAATGGTCGACGGACAAGAATTTGTTACCACTGTATTTAGCAATCCGATGACAATGACAAGAGGACGTATTCTACACTGTTTAACTGCACGAGCGATCATCGATGATTATGCTAATGGACTATTGGATGCTGATGAAAGTGAAAATGAATTAATCAAAGTTCAATATAAGCGAGATCTTATCGATCTGAGCATCAAACATTCAGTTGTTAGTGCGTACACAAGTTTTGTTGCTATCGAAGAACGTGATACCAAATCGAACGTCGAAAATCATCAGCCAGGTAAGCGAAACGAGCTAGTACACATTGATATTGAAGTTTTCACTACTGGCTGCAGGAGTTCGTCTGCTTGATATCATGCTGGAAAGTGACACGGATCTACTTCCATACATGGGATGGGATGGTGATGTATCAAATGCGTCCTTAATGAAACAGAAACTTATCGATGCATGTACTTTACTCGATAGTACACCGATTCAAAGGAAAAAAGAGGTGATTGTTGATATTGAAAAACTTTGTGAAAGTATTTCCTATCGAGCAAGTGGAGATGCAAAGTGTGAGATCATGATGAATATCATACGGACGTGTCGTCATTCGTTAAAGGAATATGCTAAAGCGGATGAAATCGAACAGAAAATGCGGCGAGGTAGATGATTTGCAAGAAAAAGCTATGCATTCCTTCGTTTATTTCGAAAAATATTCAGATATACTGATGGAGATGGTCGGTGCAACAGCAGAAGAACGACAGGTATTAGAACAACAGTGCCAAGCGAATAACTTGATATTTACAGATGATGAAATGTATGTAAAATACTTACAAGTATATCAAAATTAGATTTCTTCGTTTTGTAGGGCTTTGTTATCTTCGTACGATGGTAAGAAGGCGATTATCCACTCAGACGTCTTGATATTTCTTTGTCATAGAAATCAGTGATCCGTTTGAGGCGAATTTCAAGAAATTAACACCCATTGACCAAACGAAGAAAATGAGAGAATTAACAACTACGGTATGAATACTGAATACTATTTGAGCTATGACGTTTCTTTGTAGTTGGAGGAAAAGATAGATTTGGATAACGGATGCTTCTTACCTACTATCTCAACTGGAGAAAACATCCCGCCATCCTTGGTAGTTGAGGAACAGAATTTACCGACAGTAGAACAAGATCCATGGGAAAACATATTACAAGAGTTAGCAACGAAAGATGATTGGAGTACGACTGATTTCGGCTTTTTGGATTGCCTGGACGAAACATCCTATGTGGAAATTAGTAAGTACCTATGAAGACTTAATAGTTATTTTCTACGCGTATTCATCCGCATTCTATTGTGGATAACGACATATATGCTTTTGTTTGTAGCCAGTCGTCTGGATGAAGTACGATCGAGACGAATGCGTATGTTTCAAGATGCCGAAATCGAAGAGAAAGACGGAGATGTTGACGTGTCCTCATTAGTTAATCTTCCTCTTGGTGGAGAAGATCTTCCAGCAGATTTAAATTTACGCTTAGAATCGAATGTGGGATATGTACCGACACCTAATAATGAGAAAGCTATGGAGGAAAACGACGAGATGGATAGTAGGTCTAGATATTTTTCAAACTCCTTTTTATTCTGCCTATTATAAAAACAGCTCGTGCATCATCTGTAACGTTGCTTTCAAAACCTGAACATGGCACTGCAACGTCACGTGCAGCGACGCCAGTAGCTAGTACAATTGAATCAGACACCTTGTATCGAAGGATATCATTAGTGGATGCGACTGCATTGAATGCGTCTCGACATCGTAGTGGCTGCATGTCATCTTCGGCTCCATCAGAATCGAAGATTAGTAAGTTACGATGACTCGTTTTCGTTTTGATTATTTATTTTAATTAATGCATCATGAACATAGAAACACGTGTACCAGATCAACCTCTTTCTGGAAGGCATGGAGGTCCATCACGCGTGATGAACGAACCCGCAAGTCTTCATACTAGAGCAGATGATAAAGCAGTATCCGAACGCTCGCAATTTGTGCTCATAAATCAAGATGAACAACGTCGAGAGACGCGAAGTCCAATCAAACATATGTCGACAGAGGAGCTAGTACGTAAATTAGAAAAAATATTTCCCCACAAAAAGTCTACGTATTCTCAGAAGCTACAAAGTGAGCAAGTCGAATTGTCACGTTTGGTTTCAAACGCAAGATTGAAGAAAGAAAATCGTAAACAGGAGATGCGAGGTGAAAAGAATGTTGTCGAAGATATCATAGACATCTCCGCTTTCTATCAAAATCCGATGCCTATGTGCGATTTACTACTTCTCGATGTATGTCCACTTGGACTGGGCATTGGAGATATTCACGGTCAAATGCACACATTGATTCGTCGTAATACGACGATTCCAACACGAACTCAGTTTTGGCCAATATTTACCAATGCTTATGCTTATCAAGCAACAGCTACCATTCGTATATTTGAAGGTGAACATAAGTTAACAAAATACAATGTACGTTGTAGTCCAATATCATCGACTCTTTCTGAATAATCCTATGTTGATTGTAGGAATTTTTGGGTGAGTTCGATCTTTCCGGTTTGACGAGTAATTTGACTTCTCGGACACTTCAAATATCTGTTCGTATGGATATTGATGCAAATGGTATACTTCGCGTCGATGCTGAAGAAGAACTTTCTGGTGCCAAAGCTACATATACCGTCCACTCGAGTGAAAAAAGTTCGATATTTATTTATTTGTATTTGTAATGACGCTCTTGATAATCGTGTAGGATTATCAAGTGATGACATTCAACGGCATCTCATATTCGTAGAAGGTCAAACGAATGCTGCAGCTAAATCTGGTTAGTCTTAAACTAGTCGAAATATTATTTATGCTTCACTGTTTCCTGTATAGCTTACGATCGTACACTCGATGATCCGTTGTGTCAAGTTTGTACTATAGTATCTTTTTATGGTTAGATTTTGTGTATTTTCAACTAGCTTGGTGGACAAGTTCAGGTCATGCAGCATAACTTCTCTGGTGAATTTGCTAATACAGACCCACTAGGTTGGTTATCACCTGTCAGTATATGTCAATACATTTGTGAATCTATAGATCAAACAACTGATATTTCACTGTTGAGAAAGTTGAAAGATGTTTGCTCTACATCTACAATCATCAACGAACTTATGAAACTTCAATTTGAAGTCTGATCACTCTTGGTACATTGTTAAAATATTGCTAAGATTGTTTCATTGGATATAGGATGGATCGTTTACTTTGAACAAGCAGCTAGCCGATGTTTTTCATCTAGATTGTGCAGTTTTTCAAAGTCTTGAACATTATTTAGCTGAACATGGTTTCAAATCACTCGGTAAGCTTTCGCTATTTGTAAAATATGGAGAAACAGCGATCTGTGGTTGCAGCTTTGAATTTACAAAACGAAATTCTTCGTTTGATCGGTACCGGTGTCATCCTTCTCTGGCTTGTCCATCAATCTCAAGCATCGCATTCGGATTCGCTTGGATTTTCCTTTAGCATTGAACAAATCAAAGTAGCTCAAGTCGTTTTCTTTACACATTCGGTAATCTCTTTTTGAATATCCTTCAGATTCATCTTTGCATGGATTATCCTTCTGACATCCACGGACAAATTCTGAAGGCAATAGAGTTTTATCAACGAGTCAGTCAACAACACGGTATCTATTGTAAACAACTAGAGCTCGAGGGCTCATCGTGGAACATGTTTGTTCAATATCTGTTCTTCGCTGACGGTTGTCATAAAACAAACAGCATTTAACGATGTGAATGCGGAGAAAAAAAACTTTTATTGAGATTAATTGAGAAAATAAACAAGATTTATTGAGTAATAATGTCTTTTTCTACTTCGAAAACTGGTATTTTTGGTAGTTTTTCGATGAATATTGGAAGATCTATAACAAAGCAACGCCAGAAATCTGGTTTCACAATAAATGTCACACAGAGACCACCGCCTGGACAGCACCAACAACCAATATAGTTCTTGCAAGTTTTATTTGCTATTTCCTTGAACTTTTGCGCATTCGCTGCCATATATCGACGATAAAGGGCCCAGCAATTCGTTGGTGGTTTGATAATTATATCATAAGGAATTAATTTTAACGCACGATATTGATGTTTATCGATAGGTTCGACTTCGACGACATTTTTATCACATTCAGCTAACCCTTTGAATAGTTCTTCACTTATTTCAAGTTGACCTGTTTCAGTATCAGTTCTTTCGATGGTAGCTGCATTGATTTTTGAGCAAAAGAGTATTGTAATAGTTAAGATGAATGCTGATGCTTTGTACATTTTGAATGAAGTTGCACAGGATTCTAATCGATATTTATACGCAAACGAAATATATGTGTGTGCGTAGAAGAAAATGATGCGTAACAAGTATTTATGTCGATCGGTTTCTATTGACGTCATTGGTTTTGATCATGAATGTATGACTTAGTTCGAAATCGATGAGTGATATTTGCGCGCCAGAATATAAAAATAGAACAGAGGAGAAAGTCAGCAGTCAGACCAAATTGGATTTTGATGAATAATAATACGTTTTTCTTTTAATACACCTCGATAATTATAGAGAGAGATGCCAGATTTGCGGATGAATAGATAGATGAATTGTAGAGCTTCATCTTGAAAAAAAAAAGAATCTGTGAGAATGACGTACACGTCAAAATCAGTTGCATTATAATCTTCTCTCTGACAGCAGAAAGAAATGGCGTGTATGTAAAGTCTTTCTGAAGAATCTAATATACTTCAGTATTTACGCTTATACTGATTACCAATGTCAGTCGCTTCTGCTTCCAGTCTAACAACTATATTCAACGGCGTCAATTGGTCGTTTAACTATGTTATACTACCGATTTGTTTCATATTGGGAAATTTCGGTAATTGTCTGAATTTGCTGATCTTTGCACGACCGTCATCACGATCAAACTCATGTTTTCTTTATTTTCTATCTGCATCGGTTATCAACGTAATTATACTGAATTTCGGTCTTGTACTTCGTTTACTGCGTGGCTTGTGGAGTATTGATCCTGCGCTAACCTTATTATGGTTTTGCCGTTTACGTACCTATTTGATAGGAGCAAGTTTTTTAATCTATCGATTATCGATCCTGTTCGCCTGTGTTGATCGAATGTGTGCGAGTTCCCGCAGTGCATGGATACGAATGGAAAGTCGTCCGAAAGTTGCTCATCGTTTGATCATATTGATATGGATCTTTTGTGTCATCTATTTATCACCATCTCTAATATATCAGACGATAGTCTATGGTCAATGTTTGGCACCACCGAACACGATTTATGCAACTTACTCAACTATATCCACTTTGATTCAAGGATTGTTCATTCCTTCGAGTATGATTCTGTGTGGTGTCATTACTTTTCTTCATTTGAAGACGATGCAAAAACGAGTTGAACCACAACATCATCTCACAGGACAAAATGAGCGTCACGTCCTCGGTCAATACCTTGCGATGTTAGTTGTCCAAGTTATTACCGATTTCTTATGTAATATATTGTACCCGGCTTATTTAATCTATAATCTTATCTATCCAGCACCAACTCCGACAACTTTATTCATTTTGAATCTGGCATTCACAACACCTTATTTAAACTTCGGCGCCGCATTTTATTTGTATACATTATCAAGTCCAAAATTTCGTCGTAAATTAGTTCGTGTTTTGAAACAAATCAAATGGATTCGTGAAAATTCACCGGATGATCGAAGTCATGGACACACCGCAACTGTAGCTTCATTGCGTCATCAACCAGTTATATCTGCTTTGTATGCATAGTTTTCTCAGTATGCATTTGATATTGTGTGTGGTATCACACCTATTTTCTCTTGTCCTTATCTTACAACAAGATAGTATACCATACTGAAGTCACCAGCTCGTTCGTCATTTTAGAGAAAGTACTCTTGAAAATCGAATACAGCAAATTTTCAAGAGAATAAAACTTATTATTGCGGCATTAAAGGGTACTGTGACTCGAGTACTATTTTCGATGAGATTTTATATGATCATACATCACGTACTTCACTTCGTCCTGTTCATGATTCTATCAAACGTGCTTTGGATGATCTTTGTTCTCGCGGTAGTCTTATCGGATGTATCAAGTCAAGATGTCAACGAAGGGCTATATAAGCTCATTTCACCTATGTTAGAATAGTACAATACTGATCACCAGAAGCGAAAAATACTTTCACTTTCATTCTGAATTGATCGTATAGTGCAATAAAAATAGGAATATTGAAGGAGATGAAAGTACTACCGATGACAAATATGGTTGTCACAATTGAAAAGACAGAAGAAAATGCAGACAAAAATAGGTCACAAATGACACTTGATGAAACATTCATTTTAGTATGAGCTTTGCCAAATTGAAATATTGTTATTTTTTCATCGGATTTTGTTTTATGATAATATTAATCTTCTAAATCGACAGAAATTTGATGAAAATTCTACTTTTGATTCGAGTGGATCGGATTCTTAAAGAAAGGCATCATACCATGTCCTGAAAAGTCAGATATCTCAAAACTACGCGCTTGTCAACTGCATCCTTGCCTGAATTTTTTCTAGAAATGACTATTTTTGGCAAGTAGAAGTAGGAGGTTCGTAATTAAATACCACGAAAACTTAATGTACTTTCTCATTTACAAACCTATCCGCAACAAATGTCAGTCGCTTCTGCTTCTAGTCTAACAACTATATTCAACGGCGTCAATTGGTTGTTTAACTATGTTATACTACCCATTTGTTTCATATTAGGAAATTTCGGTAATTGCCTGAATCTGCTGATCTTTGCACGACCGTCATCACGATCAAACTCATGTTATCAACGTAATTATACTGAATTTCGGTCTTGTACTCCGTTTACTGCGTGACTTATGGAATATTGATCCTGCTTAACTTCGTCGTGGTTCGGTCGTATACAAGTCAAACGAGCTTTTATATCTATCAACCATCAGTTCTGTTTGCTTGTGTTTATCGAATGTGTACAAGTTCTCGAAATATTTGGCTACGAATGGAAAGTCGCCCAAAAATTGCTTATCGACTCATCATATCGGCACCAATCTTTTGTGTGACTTGTTCATCACCGACGTTGACCTATCGCACAGTGGTCTGTGGTCAATGTTTAGCACCACCGAACACTATCTATGCGACTTTCTCAACAGTATATGCATTGATTCAAGAATTGCTCATTCCTTCATGTATGGTTTTGTGTGGTTTCATGAGTTGTCCAAGTTATCACTGATTTCTGATGTAATATATTGTATCCAGCTACTTCAATCTACAGCCTCATGTTTCCAAACACCAACGCAAACAAGTTTATTCATCTTGAACTTGTCATTTGTCTTACCATACCTGAATTTCGGTGGTACTATTTTATTTATATAATTGAACTCATGTTTTGAAACGAGTCAGATAGATTCGTCGAAACTCACCAAATGGTCAACACACTCGAAGTTATGGAAATACCCCTACTCTTAGTTACCGTGCGTCTTCGAGAAATAACAGCGTTATATCATTAGTTGTTTCATTGTCTCAGTGTGAATGGCAACATGTTAAGCGGATAGAATCTTTATTAATTCATCTCTTTTAGAGTTAAATGAACTTATTAACGAGGATTCATAATAATTGTATGGACGTCATTTGTTGGGACGATTTGAGAATGACGTAAAACGTTACTACGACAGAGATTGATGAATTCAAGTCGGAATGGTTTGGATATTGAAATAAATAAATAGAATGGAACAACACCAGTTAGGTAGATAAGCATCAGAGTGATAAAACTAAAGAAGGCTTCTATTTCTAACCTCTCTATGGTTTTATTCGTCACATAGTATGTCAATGCACCATAGAGAAGGTTAGTTCCATATGGAACCGATGAGATGATATTAATGACAACTTCAGTAATGACCATATATGCAAGATGACGATCTAATTTTCTGGCAGAGACTTGACTTGCATTATGACGCTGATACAGATCACGAATCGTTAAAAGACTGAAGACTGCCATTAAGATAGGAGGTGTAAAAGTAAAAAAAATAATTTGATAAATTGCATACGATAACTTGTACATGCCGAACATTCCACAAGTGCCGGCGCTGTTAATATATATCAATATGGGCATATGCAGAGGAACTAATGTGCATATAACGCACATAATGCAAACAAGTATTACTGCTGCTTTAATCGAGCTGAATGAGCGAAGACGCACGTTTGCTCGTGTAGCAAAATATCGATCGATACAAGCAAGAACGACTGCATATCGAAGAAAAAGACTGAATGTATGGCTGCCGTATTGCCGTACTTTACAATAGAAGACGGATTGAGTTTGAAGATCCGTGTTATTAAGTGCATAAAGCAATGGAGGAAGCGTCCAAAGTAAAAACATGATTGAAAATATTGATAAGGAAAGGAGATAAATTGAGCTGGGACTACGTCGATATGCTCGGCGTGTAAATATTAGACAGTTGCAAATACTGCCGACGATACCTAAGATAAGATATAAGCTAACACCATACCGAATGATTTCTCGTTGAATAGCTGGTAACCATGTTACTGCCATCGTTTTCTTTTCTATTTGTGAAGCTTATTTTTCTGAAGATTTATAAGTAGAGCGAAACGTTGGAATTTGTATCAAAATCATCAATACCTATTCATATGGTTCTTCCTGTGTTTTCATTTGCAAATTCATTCTTACAAGTTCATTTTATTGTGAATAATGACATACTGTTTATTAGATGTCAACAGAGCAAATACAACACAGGATGAGAAGGTATCTTGTCATTTACAACTTTAAATAAAAGATAAATGTTATAATGTTATCAAAGCCATATAGATTCAAATTGCCACATTTCACATATCCATTAATATTCCTTTGTTGTATAGACTGTATTGACTAATCTTCTCGTATTCATCCAAACACACATGCATACATCTAATTCACATGTATGACAGTTACTCACAAATCTATGAGTAAGTCACCTGAAGATATATACGCGGCAGGCATGTTATGTTTCTCCTGTCACCTTTCTTTTCTCTCGTTCTGTTGCAATACTCTCCCTTTCTCCGGTGTATAATATCGTTTTTCAATGAATCACCGCGAAGAATTTACATTCTCTGCTTATTCTTATCAATGTATATATATATTTATATAATCTCAACACGATTCATTTTCATATTTTCGTTTCATGATACACAACTACCTAGTAGCATATATTTTACAAAGCGGAAAATAATTGCTCTTTAATATTCTCTGTAATTGATGCATATATATAATATTCCAGTTTTATTTGCTGACGCGAGTTCATATTAATTTCAGAATGGCAAGTAATACGACATTAGCTGCTCAAAGTATGCAGGGTTATTCACTCTCGCAATTTTTTACCACGCTCACCGTTTCTGCAATCATTGCTAGTATTGAAGTTGTTTTATTTATTATTATCAGGACGATATTTAAACGTATCTATGAGCCAAAAACATATCTTGGAGACGAAAAACAACGTGTTAAACCGTTACCTCGCACACCATACGGATGGTTACCTGCTCTATTAAAAATGCCGACAGAAGATCTCATTCGTACATCTGGCCTTGACGCTTATTTATTTGCACGTTATCTCTACATTCATGCTTTGTTTTTCTTGAGTTCCTTTCTTCTCCTAGGAGTTATTCTATTTCCGATCTACACAGTTAATGGTAAAGGTGCGACTTTGGGTAAGACTGGACTGGATATTCTAACATTCGGAAACATTACACCACGTCATTCGCTACGATATATAGCTCCGTTGATACTAGCATATGTTTTCATCGGTGCATATCTTCTTCTTCTGTACGTCGAAATGAAGGTTTTCGTTGGGAAGCGTCAAGCGCTATTACGAAATGCAGCATATCAATCTCGTGCTAGTGCAACAACGATTCTTGTCACTGCTATACCAAAACCCTATTTACATGTCGATGTTCTCCACCGAATTTTCGATCAATTTCCCGGTGGAGTGAAATATATTTGGCTCAATCGAAATCTCGAAGATCTTCCGGATAAGGCAGAACAACGTATGGAGTTAGTTGAAAAACTCGAAACAGTCCTGTCCAAATTGATGAAAACCGTATTGAAAAACAAGGCGAAGTCGAAAACGAACCTGAAGGTTCATACTACAATCGAAGAAGAAGGTATGATTAATCATTACATCCCACAAAAGAAACGTCCAACAATGCGAGTTGGATCCATACCAGTACTGTCATCATTGTGTTGTGGCAAAAAAGTCGATGCTATCACACATTGTAAAGCGACAATTTCGAAGTTGAATACGGAAATCGAGGGAGCACAATCAAATTTAAAAGATTATAAGCCAATCAATTCTGCATTTATTCAGTTTAATTCGCAAATAGCCGCACATATGGCTGTACAGAGTGTTGCGGCGTCCATCCCGCTCGCCATGACGCCGCGATATATCGACATCAGACCATTGAATATAGTCTGGTCGAATCTAAGGTTAACCTACTACGAACTGAAAGTCAGAAAACTCATCATGGTTGCAGCAACAGCAGCACTCATTGTCTTCTGGACTATTCCCGTCACATTCGTCGGTATTCTTTCTAACATTACATATCTTACGGATAAAATCACCTTCCTAAAAGTCATTTATAAACTACCGACAGCATTTCTCGGTCTCGTCACTGGCCTCCTACCAACAGTTCTATTGGCTATTTTGATGGCATTGTTACCTATTGTTTTGAAATTATTAGCAAATCTGTCCGGTAAACCTACAACGGATGCTATTGATCGTTATGTTCAAGGTTCTTACTTTGTTTTTCAAGTGATACATGCATTTTTATTTGTGACCATTTCGAGCAGTGTCTCGAGTGTAGCTGTTGAGATTATTCAAAACCCGCCACTAGCTGCAACTATTCTCGCTGCGAATATTCCAACTGCCAGTAATTTCTTCTTTAGTTTTATCGCACTGCAGGGATTAAGCGTAGCTTGTGGTGTTCTTTTACAAGTTTTCACCTTAATTTCTTTTTATCTCCTTGGTAAATTGTTCGATAATACGCCACGAAAGATCTGGAGACGATATTTCACGCTTTCAAGTCTCAGCTGGGGCACGATCTTTCCTGTGTTTACAAATTTCGCTGTTATCACTTTAGTTTATTCGATAATCGCCCCCCTAATCCTGATCATATCCGGTTTGGCGTTTGTTTTGTTTTACATTGCTTATGCATATACGATGTTTTATGTGAACGATTTTCCCAACGATTCTGGCGGTCTTGCTTTCCCAAGAGCAATTTACCAGTCATTTACCGGTGTCTATTTAATGGAAATTATGCTTGCAGCTCTGTTTTTTCTCGTACAGAATGAGCGCGGCGCACAAGCTGCTGTTCCTCAAGGTGCTCTGATGTGTGTCTTAATCATCATTACAATTGCTGTCCACATGACGATACAATCGAGTTTCGATCCACTGACATATTATCTACCGGTTGATGCGGAAGAATACGCACAATTAGAAAATCCAGGCGTACGAAGATTCCCAATAGCGAGAACGGCCATTCATATGATCAATCAGTGTCGAACGACGAATATGAATAATGTTGTCGTAGACTTCTACGATAACACAATGGAAAATGCATACATGCATCCAGCACTACGAGATCCTACGCCAATTGTATGGATTCCAGAGGACAATTTAGGCATTGCAGCGGATGAGATTCAACGAACTAAAGAATCACATCCAAATGTTTTGATGTCAACGAAAGGCGCGACATTCAATGAGAAGATCAAAATTGTGGTTAAATCTCATCCACCTGATTATTTCAAAGCACAAGGCGAAGATATTATTCAAGCACGATTTTGAGATTTTCATTTGTAATCATAAATTACGAGCAGTATGTAAATTTCATAAAAATCATATCGTTAGACAAGTCAAAAGTCAAATCTGAATGGATGAGAATGGAATTTAAAATCTTTTCGATCAACTTATAAATAAAAAAAAGATATTTGAAAAAAAGATAGTCTAATTTATTTGAACAAGATAAGAAGACAAGTAATCTGCAAGAATTCACAAAAGAATCACACCCATATTCAATACATGTCATTAAATTATTGTTTGTAACATTTGACGGCCCCATTCAACGATTATTTGAACATCGGGTGTCAAATCAATAATCGTACCGTTATCTACTCCGTATGACTGCCATTGTTTGAAACTAAGCTTTGTACTGGTACCATTGATATTGCATGGAAATATTGCTTCAGTACCATTTGGAATGTATATTTTATTGTTTGCTAAATAGGGTACAAATAAATCAGCAGTATCACAGTTTCCGATAACATAAGGCACTGGAATTTTATAAAGTATGCAAGTATTGTTCATCCAAACTTCATTCCATCCGCTAAAACCTCGTCGAGGTGCATAAAAGCCCAAACATGTATTACTACCGAAATCACCTCGATTCATATCTGCGTAGACGTAGATTTGATGATGATCTTTCTTTGAGTGACCTAGAAAATTCTTTTTACCACCATAGACATGAAAATTATAACTGTCTTCGTAGAAACAACTGCCATCATCATGATCGATAGGCCACAGAGCATTATAATTGTTAAAAATCGTGTTATGGTGAATATAACTGTAATGTTGCCAGAGTGAAGGCACGCCAGGTTGAGTCGCATCACTCAAAAACGGTTGCCGATCCCATGTATTGATAGGTCCATGATCACTCGTTTCCCGAACTGTGTTGAACATTACATTCCAACTGAGTGTATGATTCCCATAATAACCGTCATTGATATTGATTGCCGCGCGTGGTACATTAAACATTAGATTACCAATGACAGATACACTGCGACTAACAGCGATTAGCACAGGCGAAGATTGTTTATTGTAAATACCGGTTTCATGCATTAAATTCGATTGTATCAGTGTATTTGCCGGTTGACTTCGCACACTAAACCCATCGATTCCATTCGTACTACCGACGAGAATGATCGCTGAGTCTGCTAACCATACAAATTCATTCATAACAATCGAAGTTGCATCGTTATAATCGATTAGTGCGATACCATTGCTGCCTAGTTGTGTAAATAAATTTCGTGATATACTAACATCTTTCGTATTCATTAGATATAGAGTACCGCCTCGATGAACAGCCCAATCGCCGCCACCTGGTACCATATATTCCCGCATGTATGTACTCGTCGTTTCTGATAGTATTAAACCTTCGAATCGTACATTATAGATTGGATCATCAATACTAATACCACGCAAAGAAATAAGACAAGGAACTTGACTGGCAACGAAAGCGTTCGGCATCGTTTCATTAGGCATAAAGTAGAGAGTACGGCTATCTTTATCTAGAAACCATTCGTTGGGTGAATCGAGTTCTTCGAAAATATTAGCGACATAAAATGCGCCACCCCAACTTAAACCTCGTGCTTCTTGAAATCCCCCTCGGCCAAACATAATGGTGTATTCTGTACTATTGACCGACCCTATCTGAAATATCCAGCTGCCCCAATATTCACCTTGAAATGTATGCACCAAACCAGCGGTAGACTTAGTCCAATTGCTCATATGTGGTAATGTATCTTTATTCACAGTAATACCGCGAGTAGTTACGTAATTGTCACCAGCAGGTGGTGCCGCTGTGCTCCAAAAGTTCGTAGGCGGATCAAAAACGTATGCACCACCGCCCACACCAAGTTGAAAATTCGTAAACACCGTACCATTGCGAAACGGCACTTGTACATGTACTTCTAGACTTCTATTCGGAGTAGGTCCCCACCACTTTTGCCACTCAAAACAAAATCCTGGGTTTTTAGCATATAAGCCTTGAGTCGATGGATCACCATTCGGATACTTGGCAAGAATCGCACGTTTACCATCAATATATAATTCATTAAATTGATCTAAGTCAATATAGGATGGTATTTTCGCTTTCATGATGGTACGGTTAGTTGTTGTTTTTGCATGGACAGACCATTGTAATGATAATAACGTACCACCACTTAATATGACACGTTCATCTAGATAATTCTGTATCACAAGATTACTATCAGCACTTGTTAACTGAATCGCACCCATTCGACTACTCGATGTAGTTGCATTTGCACCGAGATAGTACGTCCCTTCACGTATAACAATGCACATCGTATTGTTACTACCGTATGCGATACGAAACATCCGCGTTAATAATACAGCTGCCTGAATAGTTTTCAAGGGCATTTCAAATGTTCCATTCCATCGATCGTCACCCGTTTTCCCGTTGACAAATACTGTGCGATAACAGTTATCTGCTTTCGTTTTTTCTCTATTTGCGAACAGTGAAGGACTATTGGGTGATCGGTAAGTACGATAGATTGTTTCATTACATTCATCCATTTGAAATGCACTTTCACTGAGTGTTGTCCAGTCACTTTTCCAAAACGGAGGCGCGATGTACCCAGCCATTTCGATAGTGAAAGCTCTTAGTGCACAGTCGTCCTTGAGAGCAACATTTGGATTTCTGACTCGACCATATCGCGGATCAATCTTCGTTGAATTCTTCGTTGTACGATGTTCAAGTGAACAGCTCACCATACTGTGTGAGCTATAAATCACAATGAGTAATATAAGTGACATACCAGTGAATAATAGCATTCCTGCAGAATTTCTTTTGTACTATAGAAAAAGACAACGGAACTGTATGCGTATATTCTGTTTGATATTTCAATATAGAAGACCTTGTGTCAAGTTACATAAGATAACACAGTGATAAGAATGTTTAAAAACAGTTGGATTGGGTCGTATTTACCTTAACTTCTGTTTGATAGATGGAACAATACTGTTGTAATAGAATTGAATTTTCTTGTGAATTATAAGCATACATTGATTTGTCTTGGATCATCTGATCGTCAACACTGAATATAAAAATAAAATAATATTTTATACGATCGCATGGTTTCTTTGCATGTACCATTGAAAATTCAATCAATGGTATAAAAATGAAGCCAATTACATGACAGTCACTATAGAAGTCGCTCTTTGTTTATTCTCTCAAGAACACAACGAGGATAGCAAATTCATATGCCTACACAAATTGTTACAAATAATCATTCAGACGTCGTTTGAAATGGAAAAAGCTTTTGCCGGCTAAAATGCTTTCAAAGTATAACAAGGAAGAAAAAAAGAAAAGCAAAAACTATTTTATGGAGATTCGATGATTGACAGGCAACACATGTTGCTGTTGCTGTCGACATGTTCCTCAGCTTCATTCGTGTCATTCTCGTGAAAGTGTTGGAATTTTCCTCTTCAACAGTAAGAATGATGTCAGCATTGGGAAAATAAGTTCGAAATTATTATAAGTAATAAGATGCAAAATAGAATCGGAATAGATCCATATTCATTTGAGAAAAATTTTCATATCGAATATAATCAACAATTATGGAATTATGTTTATCACAAGTTCTATCCAACTGGGATGAAGTCGAAGTTCGTACTGTTCCAAATGTCATGTATCAAGTGGTTTGTCCAACGAACAATACTGGTGAAGACATTGAATATCGCTTTCATTGGTTTCTTGATTGTTCTGAGACATATATTCATAACCACCGGTATGCCTTTGACACGTACTGTTTACAAGGTGAATATGAAGAGCGCTTGTGGGAAATAAGTGATGGGCATTCCGGGACTCTCTCGTATAAGTTTCCGAGAACTTCGGGAAACAAATTCGGTACGCACATTCCAGTACCAGGAGTGCTACGGAGTGTTAAGCAGAACCACCATTTTCCAGGCAACACATTACATGTCGAACCCAATCAGTATCATTCGATCGTTCCGATTGGCGGAGCAAATAGCAACGTATTAACATTCGATGCTAGACGACTTTGCTCAACAGCTACAGAACCGACATTCGTACTAAGCGCATCAGATAGTATTCAAGCACCGACCGACGAGATTCGACCAGCAACGGCACAAGAGCGGCAACTGGTTCATGAGAAGCTTATAAGTTTGTCATAGACGACACTTACATTTTCTAAGATTGTAAATATTTTTGTTGAAAATTCATGTTCTAAAAAGAAATAAAATTGTCAATACATTTCACACTTTCATTAGATGTTTTTCTCTGAACATACAACCTGCACTGTTATTTTCAGTACTCCGCCCATTACGAAAGATTCACCGCCACTACAAATACGAAGTAAGTTTTTCGAGCGGAATGCAAAATTTAGCCCAAGATGAACAAATCGCCGTTGTATAATTGACTGGTTTATATGACGAAATACTTCTGATGATTTGCGGTTGCTTAGATTCAATATAGGGCATCATAGCGTTTTATCGATGTAATCAGCGTTTATCTGCTTGCGAATGTGAACATGATCAAAACGTTAAATTGATGCACTATCCGCATTTTTACCTCTTCATGTTTGCTGAACAATGGTATGGTAGTCAGCAATGAAAATATACCGCCCAAGATCACTAATTTTTTTAATTTAAGCAGTACACCGAACAAAGTTCGTTTTTATGAGTTGCGTTCAGAACTATTTCGACGATAACCATCAAAATGAGAAGCATTAAGTATGATACCAAGTTCATCAGTTCGAAGCTATTGGCGACCTAATCATAGAACTGTTTAGGATGAAAATTAGAGTTGTTTATTTAAACGTCATTCGTCTCCACACCCTCTCCCTGCTTTTCTGAAAGTAATTCGTACTTTATTCAATTGAAGAAGACATGCATATATTTATCACGTATACATTAATTGCGTGCTCTTTCACTCCAGAAGAGACACTGCACAAAGTAGGTCTTAGGCAAACTGATGTGAAAACGTAACCCGACAATATTTTCAAAATTATGTGTCTTTTTACCCCCATCGACTCTACATATGTCGCTTTTTCTTTGCATTAGTGTATGCATGGATGAAATTAATTCTCTTATTTAATGTTAATAGATTTTTTCTCTGTCCACAAATTGAGTTCTACCTACAAGATTATCGCGAGTAAACGAATGGAGACACACTAAATGATTCTTTAATGTATTTTTTTTTCAGCACAAAAAGAACACTTGATCGTGCATTTCGCTTATACATGAAAGCAAGAAAAATTTAGAAAAGAAATATTCTTTTGTATACACAAGTGACTGTCTTGTTTTGTTTTCTCTTCCGCCCTTTATTCATGTAACTAAAAGCGTAAATTTTTCCCATGTAAAATAAATTCATACGTTTGCTATTTAAAATGATTAAACCTCCAGAATCCAATTTGGAACAATCGAAGATTGTATATCGCTCACAACAGAATATCAAATCGAAGTTTGTCTTTCTTAGTCTCATTTTAGGATTTATGTTTGCTCTTTTTGTTTTAGTCAAAGGTCTCAATGCTCAGTTTCACGACTGATTTGTATTCAATTATTAATTTTATTAGCACTTCTTGTCTTAGCAGCGATTACCATTCCAATTGTAGTTCTTATACTTGGTAAATTTCAAAGAAAAAAAAATGTCTAGTTATTCCATTTCAAAGTATTTTTCTTTTAGATAATCGTTCATCACGTAAATATTTCATTAAACTATTTTTTCTTTTGAATATAAGTTCTTTTTCTAAGCATGTTCATCAACTTATTCGGATACTTTTACCAATGGTGTGACACCAACAGCAGCTCAATGTGCAAATTGGCAACAATTTAAAACAAGTTTAACTTGTTCATCGTATTCCAAAATGCGCTTTTATGGTTCAAAAGATCTTGTTGGTGTTACTGTATCTGATCCATCTGCTGTCATTGCACTGGTAGTTGCTTTAAAGTATAACACAACAGTGACTGCACTATCAAATGGGGTTTACTGGAGAGTTGGCATATGTGGAAGTGGTTTTGAGATATCTGCAAATGGATTTTGTGCTTGTGCAGCAAATTATGCATTGAGACCATGTCACAGTAATTCAGATTGGGGAGGAATGGGCAGTCCAACATGTAGTTCGGCAACACAAACATTATCACTTTATTTTGAATAAAAGATTCTGAAATGTCTTGAGGGTGAGTGTGAAGATGGATCTGTTTGTGCATGGAACTGGATGTATTGTTGACGATAGGATATTCATACTGGCACTCTCTTTGAGAAAAACGTTTGTTTATTTAATAAAATAAGAAAGGTGATATATGAATATTTGATTATAAGGAAATGTGAATTTTTTGTACTTTAATCATTTTTCTTGTTGTCGACAATAAGAAAACATTCTTTTCAGCACAGAAAAATGTTTATTTAAACTCTTGCATTCAATCAGCCCATCGTTATCAATACGAACAATGAAATGTATATTATATTAATTGAATAGAGAATGAGACTTTACTATGGAATGACAACAAGTAATGCTCGTCGAGATAGATACGTTGAGACCTTGACGGAGCAACTAGTACTAAAAAATGTTTTCTGTCAGCGAAATCATTCACAATAACTTAAGTTGTACTACTGCATACGCGTGTTATAATTCTGATTTTCTCTTAAACCTTTATAATAAACTGTATAAATAATACTCGTCGAACATGAATCGTATAACTTCTCACCGTCACCTACACGCACATGTGTGAAATGTTACTTTTCTGCAACTCCTCATCTTCATGACTTGTTTTTGTAAGATAAAATTATTGTTGTTCAGAAGTAATCAAATTCGAACAAACGATTCTATCAAAATGATGATTATCAGGAGAGTGATAGGTCGATGGATTGGATGAGGTAAAAACAGTAAAACTGGATGTCCAATCGTCACGAAATTGACACGTGACGAACCAACGTTTTTCTTCCAGCCAAAATGGATTTCGAAAAGCAGTGATCATCCTATCAAAATGATTCCAATCGCAGCAATAGCAGAAGATGCAGAATTCTAAATGAGCAAGTCGTGGTAATTTCAGCCGGAGAAAGTATTCCCATCGAGATAGACGATGTATAAATTCGAATGGCTTGCCCGAACTCGTAAGATCCAAATGAGTTAGCGAAGGCAACAGCGAAAGACAGTATTCCAGTTTATCCATTGTCATTTTGAGATCGTTTAGTGTAAGGGAATGTAATTGCGAATAGGATTTTGTGAGAAACGATTCGTTGATTTCGATTTTCCAGCAATTGTTCATGATGAGAGAATGTAAATCAGGCGAGTGGTCTAGAATGGAGCGAAATTGCTCGAACGTGCATGTTCCAATCGAAAGACTTGTAACTCGACACGGAAACGGCCATAGAAATCGTTCGACATTGTTCAAATTAAAGTTCAAAATGCACTGGCGAAGACTGGATTGTAAGATAATCTTGGATATTAAATTCAATAAATCATCCACATCCTCTAAGGGATTTACATCGAGAGAGAATGTAACTAAGTTACAATTCTTTATCACATGCCGTAAAATCAATTTGACTTCATTGATGTCCACACGATGAAGAACTAATGTTTCAAGCCGTTGGAATCTATGAATGTCGATAATTACACTGTTGTTATCGTCGATTTCTAATAGTAAAATATTTTCCGATGGAATAATCCGACAGATGTTTTTCATCGCAATCGAGTTAACATGAATCTTATACCGATTGTAACTTTCTGTAACAGCAAATAGTTGCGTACAAACATGTCGAATCGATCGAACGATTGTTTTTGTATCCAGAAAATCGCAAATTCGATATAGAAGCTCCGTTGGTAAGTCGAGAAGACTAACTTTATTTTCTTTTCGAGTCGTCATTGTTTTTCAAGAAAATTCTTAAACATATGACATACCCAATCGACTGTTTCTCCGTTCTGTCGAACGTTCAACTGAGATGTTGATTAAGTTTACGGATCGGCGACATCTATTCCATTTTTATTTTCTATGGAAAAAGAAAACAAATACAAAAAATTCTTTTTATATCTATCTCCAATATGTTTTGGCAACGCTACGAGTCGTCTCCCATGCTTCATCCAAGACTTGAACGACTTCATCGGGCAATGGTTCTTTCTGTAAATCTTTTAAATTCGATTCTAATTGCTGTATACTACTTGCTCCGATGACAATTCCATCGCCATCGAATACATTTAACTTTGAATGATGTAAAAGCCACCGAAATGCTGCTTCTATAAGCGTAAGATCATACTTTTCCAAGGTGGGCGTTATATGATCAACAGCGCTGAGATAAGCATCATGAAAATATCGATCGCGATACATTTTCGCGGCAGTATTACCTTCGACATCAGCAAATCGACCTTCTTCGGGGGCTGTCAATGTTGACTTATATCGTCCAGAAAGAATACCACCAGCTAATGGATTATAAGCAAGTATATTGATTCCAAAGTGTCGACAACAAGGTACAAGTTCTTCTTCCAGAGCACGTGTTAACACATTGTACATAGCTTGATAAACTGTTGGTCGAACCCATTGATTACAAATGCAAATCTGTGCAATTTTCGCCACTTCCCAAGCGGCATAATTACTCAATCCAAAGATTTTGAATTTACCTTCTTGATGAAACTTATTCACTTCTTCAAGAGTCTCTTCGAATGGTACACTTCGATCAGGTGCATGAAGATAGAATATTTCCACCGACTCTTGTCCTAATTCTTGTAGACTTGTTTCGAATAACTCCCGTAGTTTCGCTGGTTTATGCATACCCGCTTCTGTTGGATATACTTTTGTTGCGATGGTAAATCCACCTTCATCAAGCACACCTGTTTCTCGTGTAAAAGCTTCTTGTTTACCATTGTTATATAATCGTGCAGTGTCGAGTTCTGTATAACCATACGATTGAAACATCTTGAACATCGCTCGTATCTCGTCTACAGTCGTAACTCTCGCAAGATTCGTACCAGCTGGGCCCATTGTTGCACATCCCAAAACGATGCGTGCACGCTTTTTGTCCGTCATTGTGTGAGAATGATAATGCAAGCAATGTTTCTTTTCTTTCTTATCTTTCAAAGATTCAACATGAGAAAGATGACGGAACATATTTCATGATTGCTGCAGCATATCACTGATTTTTTCTTATTGGTGATCGAACTAACAAACTGGAAGTATAGAGTTATCCTTATTCTTTCTATAGATGACGTTCATTTCATTTGTACTACATTCCAGTTGTGTCTCATCTGCTAGAGCATCGTCTTTTATAGACAACAGAACGGAGAACAGATACACTGATAGTATCTTCAACAGTGTGTTTGTTGTCATAGAATCAAAACATAATAATATAAAAGGATGAATTCTACCGCATTCTCATCACTTCTTATTTGTCTCTACAAAGAATCTGTTCAGACAGAATTCTCTTTTATCAAACGAACTCTTTTACAATTAGTCAAGAATTTTGCCACTTCTGAAATGAAAAGAAAACGACGTATATATGTGAAGGTGATTCTTTGTATTTCTTTATAGTAAAAATACAATAATTATCTAAATCTTATTTCGGTTCGGGTACTGACGTCGGAATTTTGTCGAAAATTTTTCATGTACGTTTTCTATAGTTCGATATAACGGCTTAATCATCGTTAAATCTTCATTGTCATGTTCCTTGAGGTCATGATTTAAAATAACTTCTAATGACGTTTTGACCGATGCCAAAATCATTTTAAAATCTAACAGAAGATTGTATGTATCCCCAGCATTTAACCAGTTTTCCATAATCAATAATTTTTCGGAGCCATGCTTATAGAAGTCAAATGCGTAACTATTTAGGTGGTAAGCTGTATTTGTGTGATCACAGCAATCTATATCAATGAATGGCACCACTTTCGACGATAAATCGATATCATAAATAAGATCCCATGAGCCAATAATTGGATTATACCTCGACATGTATTTCTCATGAGTAAGACCTGAGAGAGCAGCAAACGGAGAAATGGACGTAGGATTTTGCATCTGTTGGGAATAATGATGATGAAGTCGATACTCAAATGTTCCATTATCATAATCCATAGTTTGAGCAAACGAAATACTCGAAAATGGTAAAACTTCCTCTTGTTTATTAGAACTAGTCGAACGACGAAGATGTTGTATGATCGTTTGTATATAACATCCATAAACTTCCTTAACAATCGAGTTGTAACTATCAACACGTTGTCGAAATTTTTTTGAAATCGGTGCCAGAAATAATTTCGAATTCAACTTTTCTTCTTTTCGGTGTTGCACTAGATCATCATATCCGCGAGGAGTGATCAACCTACATAAAAAGAAACTAATCAACATTTTCCACACGACAGGTTTATTTACCATGGCATATTCGTAAAAAGGTATGCAAAAATCGTAATAATTTCGAATTGATCTCGAACTTCATGAAATAATCGCGTGTCCATCAAGTAGATAAGTAAAATATTTGCCGGTTCGAAATAGTGCAGATGACTTAGAAGACCAGCTAAACCAACTAATCCTCCTTGTCGATCAATTAAGTTCAGTCGGTAAAGAAAATCTAATGTAAATAAACAATGAAAACGTGTTTGAACGTCGATCAATTGACTCTTCAAAGGTGATTGTGACATCAATGAGCACTGTAATGCAATCAACGATCGATTGATCGCATCATCGACATCTTTGGCATTTGCGCATAAGTGTAACAAACGTAGAAGAAACGTGACACTGGTAGGAAAATGTGCATGTATATTTGGAATAGCTGACATGAATAAATGACTAATTTTTGCTAGAGGTATATCAATAAATATCACATGACCTTGTATATCGAAACCACGGCGACCAGCGCGACCCGATGCTTGTCGATATTGCAATGCATCTAGATAAATTGAATCTTGTATGAATGCAACACTTTTTGTTGGCATATGAATACCCAATGCTACATACAAATGATACAGGTTATTTTTACGAGATTATCTACAAGTACGTACCGAGTGTTGCTGTAGAGAAAACAACTTGAATATATCGATTACGAAACAGAGCTTCTACAGCAACACGACCTTTGTTGTTCAAACCGGAATGGTGGTAAGCGACTCCTCGTTTCATATACGAGACTAGGCGAGGATTTTCTACATGAGCTCGTTCCAATAAAGCGTCGACCAAGGCTCGATCGCATCTTTGTCGGCTAGCTAACGTTCCTTCATCTAAAATACCGTTTAATAGTTGTTCTTCGTGTCCAGAAAGCAAGATCTGCTTGTTTTCTTCTTCGACCATTTTTATTTCTTCGACATCATCTTCAGCATGACGACGTCCGCGCGACGATTTCAAACTTTTCTTTGGTTTGGACTTCTGTCGATTCTGTTCTGCTAATTCCAAACGATTTCGTAATTCTTGTAGTTGAATTTTATATTTTGTTTCTCGCAACTGCTTTTCCTTTGTGTACAGATGCGTCGCAACACTGTGAGCCATATGCTCACACAAAGCTCGATTATCTGTGAAAACGATACATGGAAGAAGGTTCTTTTCTTTGAGTGTGAGAATAAAATCCACGATTAATGAAGGTGTAGGCTTCGGTTCAGGATATCGAAAATTCACTGATGTCATTGGCTGTAACGATGTAATAATTGAGTCGATAACATGTATATCTTTTCGATCAATCAACTGATTGAACTGATCATGAACTAATTTGGAATATTCATTGCATAAACTTCGCTCGATAATCCAACTCGATGAAAAGTATTCAGCTAGGGGTGGTGTAGATGCCCATTTTTCGTCAGTTTGTCTACATATAGACAGACAAAGTCAAGCTATCATGTGCTATATTAAATGAATGAATATATTTACTTTGTCTTGATTAAATCTTCAAGTTGTAAAGTCTCGCGTGGGGATAGTGAAAGATCTTTAGGAATACCTTTTGTCACTAATTGCTTCGCATTCATGATTCCAATTGGATGAATAGGATGTAATTCTCGGTTTGAATACAAATATTTGTTCAAGTCAGCTGCACGTTCATGATGAACAATCAAGCATACCTGACGCGGTGTCGATATTCCAAATAGTTCCGCTCGTTGTCGTTCGACATTCGTAATCCATTGACGCAATTCATCGCTGTTATTCACTGTTGCCGATAGACCAATCATTGGGCAATTGATGAGCAGCATGGTCTTCTCCCAAACATCCGCACCGATTTCGCCCGACATGCAATGAATTTCATCGAATATGGCATATTTGATCCGTTGACACCATTGCTGATGTGTTGGAGACAGAAGTAAAATTTCCATACATTGTGGAACAGTAACCAATATTCGGCACGAATCCATGTTTACGCGGTAATCTCGTGTAAATATTCCAAATACCGGACCGAATTTCGAATGAATTGTCGCTAAAATAGATCATCAACAAAGAAATAAAAGAGCGGCAATCTTACCTGCGACCTGATTGACCAATGCTTTCGTCGGCGCGATGTACACACACAGACCGTGCTGATCTTTCTCGTCCTTCAATACCTTGTTCATTGCATAGTATGATGCATACGTTTTACCCGAGGCAGTAGGCGCGACGATAATGATCGATTGACGTTTGTCCACAGCATCAAGAAATTTCACTTGCCAGTCGTCGGGAATGAAATCTATGACACGTTGGTCTGGTTTGTTATTTTCGCGTCTCGGTAGTCGACTATTGATTTGGTTCATTTGAAATCGATACCATTCTTCCCGGTCCAAAGGTGTTTGATCGATCAGTTCTTCTAAATACTTCGTCTTTTTCTCGAATACATCATCGATATGCTCTATGTTGGCCATTTCACTGATGGTTGCAAAGTAATTCACTTGAAGAAGCTCCAAACTGGCGTTTTCTTCGTTAGTTAGAACACTTTTCTTCCGGAGCGATTGTAAATATTTTCGTTGAAATCGAAACTTCCGTTTCAATAATTCCAAACGATGAGACGAGATTTTAAAGTTTAGTAAAGCAGCATCGAGAATGTCAATCGCTCGAGCATAATTATCTATTGGAACCTCATCTAATAACTTTAGAACTGCAATTAATTGATCAGCTTCATCCTCGTTGCGGTCCGCCATCTTCTTCTGTTGATTTTTCTCGCGAAGGAGATCAATTTTTTTCGGAGGTTTTTCTTTCTTCTTAGACTCCGATTGTACCACTGACGGCGAAACCGTCGGGAGGACAATCTGCAAATGACTATCTCGAACATCGCGACTAGTCAATGAATTGCCGTACAAAGTGAAATAAGTATAACTAAACGAGAAAAAAAGAACAAATTTTAAAAAGTGGAACGATGCAAACATTACAATCGTTGTTTTTGTTGGGTCCGATAACGATATTTGGTAGAATTTTGATAGGTTTCATCATTATTTCGTACACGGCTGATTTCATCACCAACCTAGAATATCGTATATCGGAAGAAATGACGAGAATAAGAAGTCTCATACCTCTTTGTATACGTGCCAATGATATTTGCCTTCGTATCGAGATAAACGAACATCTTGAGGATCGACGAAATTGAATGTCGTATTATTGATGTTAGAAATAATCGGCTGTAGGCAAGTATCAATAAATCGATTGGATATACGAGTGATTTGTTGTGACTTAGTAACAGCAGTACTCTGTCTTGCAAGTGATGGTGAAAATGTTAAGTGCTCAGCTTCAACTAGCTTATTTGTTGTTTCATGAAATAGGTTTTGGTCGGTTGAAAATTCTAAGAATAATAGTCCATCGCTGAAAATACACATTGTGTCCGAATGGAAGGATACATTAGATAATAACTGATAGAGCGTAAATGCGAAAAGACGTCCGTCGTATAAATCAGCTATTTTTGAGCAAGATCGAGTTGATGAAGATGCAACTGCTACTGATATGGCCAGTTGCTGTTGAAACTCAATGATCAATTGAGCAAGCTGGGAACTGAACGTGATCGACGGTAAATCTTCGGGGAGATGACGATCGACTAGCGAAAGACGAATGAGAAGAGCCATATGAAGAATAAGTAATGGACTAAGAAGTCTTAGTAGATTCTCTTCTTCAAACTGATCCTAAAGCATCAGACATACAAAATGAGTGAGTTGACATCAAAAATAGATACTTTTTTCATTTCCATCAAATCTTTGATTGTTTTAATATAAAGAGCTAATCGTAAATCCATTTGATCAGTGATTTGTCTTTCGAATTGAATCCATTGGTCTTTTTCAGCATTTGTAACATGTCGATAGGTTGAACGGATCTGGAGTGCTTTGTGTATTCGAGATTCCGAGCAATTTCTATGAAAATTCACTTGAAAACATTTGATATAAGTATCAGTCAATGCCAATTTATTCATTAGATACGCATGGCAATTCAATGAATACTGATGATAAATACCAAATAGCCGATAGATATAAAGAAGACGTGTAAGAGACTGTTTACATAAGAGATGATCGAGTTTGAAATCGAAGCTTGACATATCATGATAAAAGACGAAATGAGGTTTTTCTTTCTGAACAAATGCTTTATAATCCTCATCGAACCACGATGAAAATTGTTGTACTTTCGAGGATTGGTATTGATTAATATTCTTTGAAAGATGTGCGATAAGACAGGATCGAATAAGACTCAAGATAGGTTTTTCTTGCTGGTAGAATTGATGATGGCAATCAAAGAAGAGTAAGGAATAATTACATTGACGCGTTTGATTGAAAAGCGTCAAAAGAATACGTTCAATTAAATAAATCACATGAAGAGTATTGCCAAAGTAAGAAAGAAGATCAACATTAATATGGTGAGCAATGGAGAGAAGGAAGGAATCACCGTCGATAAAGTAATGTGCGCTATCACGAAATTCACGTTGTAAATCAAAAAATCGAGCACGGTATGGATATAAGGTATCTAGATCGTCTGGTGATATGATGGTTGTTTCGCTTGTCGAAAGTAAATTTTGAATTGTCGCACAAATCGGTTTGTGTATTTTCGAAACAGTCGCCAACGAATTTTTACTTGGAATACATTCGATCAAACGCTGACGTTGCTTTTCGTTCGTGACACCATCGGAGAGATGTCGAGCGATTTGTTGTAAGGCAACAGTATTGATTTTTTCGTTGGAACATTTGATGGTATGATTAAGAGTATGAAAATAGAGATCGACAAAGTGGGGATAACGTTGTTGACAATGATATAAGAATTGAAGAAGACGTTCGCATTGACCAATAGGATCGATTGGAATTTCAATTTGCCGAAGGTCAACATGTACTTTCGGAGTAGGTTTTGATGTTGTTGACCGGTTGATTTCATCTTCTGGTGAGGACTCGTCTTCACTCTCAGATTCTTTTTCAGAAAGTTCCTTTTCAGTGATTATGTCGATTGTCTCGTTTTCATCAAAATCTTTCCATTGTTGTAGTTTCTGGTTGATAAGTTTTTTATAACTTGAACTGTACTGTGATTGATAAAAATTCTCTTTCTCTAAAATCGTTTTGTTGTATGCTACTGCCGTTGTTGAAACAGTATCGAGCAAATAATCAACAAATCTCGTGATTTCTTCATCGTAGGATCGATTTAGACTCACAGAAGTCATTGTCTGGATAGTAGAAAATACGTTTAAACGTACAATAAACGTCGATAACTACAACACACGTTCTTCTATATGTATAGACAGTCGACGATGTTGTACTTCGCTATTGCAGAACGAAGCAGAATAGTAATCAAAGCAAAAATATAGTTTTATTTACGAAGCAGATAAAAAATGTTTTCTATCATCGTGCGAACACTGCTTTTTTCTCGGTCGAGTTTTTTTTCTCTTTCTATATCGTCATAGACGCGTCAAAAATACCCAGTTGTTCTTTTTTGCGATTGGTGGAGAATGGAGAAAAGAGAAACTTTCAGATGTTTATATGAAAATGCGTCTTCGTTGAGACGTCACTTGCTGAAGTAGTTTCCAATGGATCTTCATAGAGTTTTTGAATTCTGTTTTGTATAATTTCGAAGGTAAAACGAAAACAATAAAAAGAAGAATCGATGGTAAAAACGAAATAAAATATCCGAGTAGATATATAATAACTGATTCATAAGCTGACTTCAGGCATTCGAGATAAAACGCGAGAATAATGCGCGGTAGGCCTAGAATAACTAGTACAATAGGACTAATAATTAGATACTTGTGTCGACGAAGTAGACGCTGAACGTGCTGGTTCATTGTGACAGTTTTTTTAAGATTCGATTGGTGCCTAGCGACAATGATGATGATTCCGAAAGCCGATAGCAGATTGACTACAAATGGACTAATAAAGTGAATAACAGTCGTAACAGATGTAAATGTAATGAGAAGATTTGAGTAGGAATCTGGATAACGTACAACACACCAAGTTCTTCCTTCATCTTCGTCGGTAATCAGAGTTCGATAAAGAGGCTCTTGGACCGAAGTGCCAATAACAATCAGACAGATAAGAAATACAATCCATTTAGCTACTGTTCGACTAGATTTACTTTTGAAACGAACACCTTTAGCAACGGACACGATACGTTCAATGGCAACGCATGCATATAACCAATCCCCAATTTGTAAGCATATCTTCAGCATAAAATCAATCAATATACACTGACACAGTAGATAGCCGCGATTGGTAATCCATTGGGACTGCGTGGCGAACAACAAAAAATATTTCAAAACAAATATGACCATAGTGAAAATCGAGAGAACTGCAGCAGTCAAAAGATAAGTACCACAACCAACTTCGCGTGAGTTATTCCGTACGAAGGTGACCGTAGAGAGGATGCCATTGATAAGACCGAATATAAACATCATAACAGTAACTACTGCGCTCAATTGGACTGACAAAGAGTGATGAAAAAAAGAGCGGTCAGGTAGAATCTGATAGCCGAGTATGACATCTAACGGAAGGCCAAAGCCTTTGGTTGATAGTTGACATCGAGTACCTAGATAGCATTTGGGGCAAGCACATCTGGCAGCTGTCGGACATTTGGCAGAATTCTGAAAGCATTGTCCACCATTTTCGCAATAATTTAACTGTGAACAATCATATTTCATGCGATGGTCAAATGTAAAACAGTTTGCTCGATGATCGTATGTGCATAAACACATGAACTGATCTTCATCGTGAAAACATTCGAGATCCGGTTGTTGTTGACATGGAATATGATAGTATTTAACACGTCGAAGAAGTGGAAAACTGAAGATCGTACGATTTAGTAATTTTCGGATGGACGGGCATCGTCGATCAGGTTTCAATGTAAGTTGATAATGAGCTGATGGTGTGTATTTGAGCTGAGTTAAGAGTAAATATATGTTATGGTCATATTCAACAAAAAGAAGATGAAACGGATTTTGCCAATAGATGGTAACTATATCACTATAGAGTGCAATTCGTTTGAATGTAGTTGCACGTTCATGTGCATTCCACTTTTTTGTTGGAATGTATGGAGACGAAGAGACCTTGAAATTATCAGTGACAAAATGAACTAAAAGCGATTCTTTCTTATTTGACATTTGAATTGATATATCAATTCGTGTTTCATTGTATTGACAGTTGTCACCATGAAATCCATCTCGGCATGCACATACCGTAGGTTTATCAACAGTGATTCGATGATCTCGTGGAATACATATACCTCCATTTTGACATTTTCTAGTACTGGTTTGTTCGCATATATTACTTCTTAGATAACATCGTTCTCCAAACTTATGAATAGGACAGACACAAATGGACCGATTTTTCCAAATACCAAGACAAATTGAATCTGGAGAACAATTGCATTTATGTGGAATTGTACATGATGGACCAGTCCAACCTGATTGACAACGACAAAATGATTTACCTGTATTTACAAATGATACACATTGACCGTGTTTCGAATGACAATCAACTGGGCAATTGCTTCTTGGCGACATAGTAACCGGTGGCACTACTAACAGAATTGGTAAACGATGAACAGGCAAAAATGAGAATAATAGAGGAAATGTCCAGCTTGCACGATATTTGAGTGTTCCCATTTCGAAGACATGAATACGAATCGAATAAGTTGTCGTGGTGGATTTGGGGAGAGAAGAATAGAGTAAATGAAAGTTGAATTTAGTGTTGCAGTCTCGAATGGACAGATATCTTATTTGGTAATATGAATTGACAATCTCATCTTTATCATCAAGAAGATAGATAACTAAATTAAATGGAGTTTGCCATTCAGGAGCTCCGATTTGAAGAGTGACACTCACACGTTGTCTTTGATATTCACATTTGGAACCATAGAGATGTGGTGGACAAAGACAGTTAACTGTATGCTGAAAATAAACTGGTATACCGCCGTGACACTGTAGTTGAGCTAGTGGCGTTTGTGGTTGGTTACCAGTCTGGGGAAAGAACAGCTGATCAAGAATGTTTTCCAGAAGTGATAAGGGTGAAGAACCCACAGATTGCTTATTTATGAAAGGTGACGTGAAAACAATACTATGATTATTGAGTGAAAATCGTGTTGGCATATCGAATTTTGAAGCAGATTTTTTTATAAACCCATCTAAGCCGCACATTAAGTTGTTACTGCTTACTCGTCGATCGGACACCACAAAATGACCACATAAAGTTTCAAAATTGGAACTTACACTATGTTTGCATAAAAAAGGATCTTCGTCGTCCCCTAACAAGCAATCACGATTTCCATCACATAAGTGTGCACGACTAATACACGCTTTTTCTCTATTGAATAAAATATTTTCTGTGAGAAAATCACAGATATATTAAAAACTTACTTGAGCATCCCCTGTGTTTTGTTAGTACCATTTGCTCGGCATAGATACAGTGGGTTATCTACCAAGCTTTTGCATGAATGGCGTTCATCTGTCGCACCGAAACAATCGACAATTCCATCATTCGCATGTTCAACTGGAAGACAAACGAATTTCGTAGTATTTATTAGAAAACAAGGGTGTCCTTCTTTCCCTTTGCATACAGGATTAAAACATTTCGCTTCATCTGCTCCGTTGTCACACTCCCATACCCCATCACACCTTGTATACTGATTGTCACATTGCCATTCTTCACAGTTCGTTTCATCCGTCTCCTTTTGTTTACCGATTACTTCTTCATATTCCATGTTTTTATCACATAGATTAGGAAAACGCGGAAGTTTTATTTTGGCATTGCATTCATTCAGTCTTCCTTGTCGTATACGCGTTCGTGGTTGACAGTAGGTCCTCTCAATTCCTGTGAAATTGGAGTAGCATGTTAACCTGTGCCTGTGCATCAAGGAACAACTTTCATTGGATTGTTCGTCAATGTTCTCTGGACAATCGGCAAGATCATCGAGCAGACGATGTTTGGAAATACATTTATTACCACATCGAAACTGATTAGTTTCCAAACAAACACTTTCTTGTTCGTTTGCTATCAACGAACACCGCTGGTATATATATCTTTGTATGAATGGAATCTGCGCAGACCAATCAATCGGAAAGTCACTAATATTTTGATGCTGACAAGAAAGAATGATCGACGGTTGACTTAGTTTTTCAAAGTTAATATTTGATTCAGATGTGCCGCAATGCCTTTCATCATAGCAGATATAGTTGGGCCGACCTGGAAGTATATTAGACCGATTCCATGAATATAAGAAGTGCAGTTGATATCCACTAATAGACATAGCTGGGAATTCGAACAGCGGTGGACAATACTGTTCTAGTCTTGGAGCGCAGGGAATACTAGGTTCTCGACATACATTGTTACAACTGCCATTGAACAAATAACTATATGATGGGTTGTCCTAAGGAAAAGCAGTAAAAGTATGCTTAAAATTAGGCAAAATTTAGATTAGTTTGTTTCTATTTACAAACGAAATGACTCCACTATTTATTCGAAGAAGGCAAATCATAGTAGCCCAGCATTCTTCTTGGATATGTTTATTGACGGTTAATGAGAGAAGATCACGTGGAAATTGTCGGACGCGTTCATCACGATAGTAACTGGAGTCGCAGTGTCTATTACTAGCAAGGCCCAGAGAAACAGACCAATGCAAACATTTTATATCTGTACAGTAGAACGATGGGTCACCGCCTGTCCAACAAAGTTTTTGAAAGCTCAGATCTGCAGACCATTGCTCATCAGTTCCATCCAGGCAGTCTGGCACATAAGTCTCGTCTAACAAGAAGATTTCCGGAATACATTGACCATTGACACATCGGTATTCATTTTCTGCACATTCATTCCGTTCAAGTTGTTCGCAGTGTTGTTCATCAATAGCATCCGGCCAACAATCAGGCTTGCCATCGCATACTTCACTCCAATCGAGACACCATGAAACATCATTGCGCAAGCAGTTTAAGTGTACATAGCATGTACCATTTGAAGGTAGCGAATAGGTTTTTTTGAACACATCCTTTAAAATTGTTTGGAATGGTCTCTACAACGATAGATCGATCAACAATATTTGGTACTTTTACAACTGACCTGATTACCTAACGAATATTGACAGTATCGACCAAATTTCCGTTTAAGAGAACAATTGTAGAATATTGTCTGCGCTTCATCAATTTCATTATCGGTTCGATTTTCACGAAACGCTTGATAGCTTTCGACTAAATCCAGATGTGCGGACCATTCATACAACTGTTGACTGCTTATGTTACGCTTGTTTAATTCGTCGAACCGCCATGGTGTTATCTCTTTTGCAGGTATGATCATCTGATCATTTTCGAAATGGTTACGTCTACAAAATGGGATTACTTGGTGCTCTTGCCGGGCTTGTTTTCTGATAAGATTATCCGGTCGTGTATAATCTGCTGCATAAAAATCTAGACAATCATCGCCATATAAGTAGTACTGCCCATTTGAACATACATTTAATCGAAGAACAACTGCTACGACAAAGTATCGGCCGATCACATTCATATTCAAAGTATAAGGTTTGTCCTAGATATGAACCTATGTAATAATATAGAACATCTCCTTTATCGAGGGACGTTTACTGTCAATATAAGCCAAATGCGCTCATATTTATTTAGTAATTGATCGCGATACAGGCATCATAACTAAAAAAAAGATAAGACGAGAAAAATTAATAAGTTAGAATGATTTGAATGTTTGCCTAATCAAATGGCAGCTTCAATAAATGCTTTATTTACTAATCTTTGGAAATGAACATACTACCCACACGTAAATGTTTGCGTGTGTGGAACAATATTCCACTGAAACGATCAGAATCAACAAATATCGTTCGTCTATTCGTAATCATTAACTGTTGATTTTTAAAATTTCTCGAAACAATGAATAGAGAAAATACGCATTTCAATACAAGAAATCTACATTATTCCACAGCGTTACGAAAGGTCGCATGATTTAGTACCATATCAAGTTTTCTTTGTAGATTCTACGATTCGCTTCAACTGGGTTTTCATAATAATTCAAACTACTTTCGAAAGACTTTCAACTGTTTCATTCAAAACAAAACTTTATTTAGCATCTGTAACAAAATAAACATTGCTTCCTCACCAATCAGGTCAAATGTTTTCGGTACGATGATTTCGGTTGCTGTTAACATAGAGATTTCCTTCCGTATCAATTGCTATATCATTGGAACACTGAAATTGGTCCGATGGGTTCCCTCGTCCATTTCCACGAACAATTATTTCACCTGCTATTTCTCCATTTCATAATTCGAATATTTTCACAGGCCGCAACAAAAACATTCGTTGTTCTGACAATACATATTCCTACAGGATTTCCAATTTGATTTGTAGTTTAGCTCCGCATCCATTTCCATTGATTGAAATTTAGTTCTGAACAAGAAAAGCAATGGTTTTATTCCCTCGAAATGAACGTATGATAATATAAGAGGTCGATTTGTCACGATCAGTAAATCAATTCTATCAACAACGAGCTAACTGCTCATTGACATCTCTAAGATATTCATAAGTCGTCGCTCTTAGCTTTATTTACTTATTTGATTATAAACAATCGCAATAGTTGGATATAGCTCTCTCAACAAAAATCTCAACATACTTTTATTACAGTTGCTGAAAGTTGTTCTAGAGTTGTTTGCGATTTTTCATTGAGATATAATCGTGATTGATCTTAAAAGTCGTTTTTAATTCAAATCAAGTTCATTGCATTCATTTTCTTTCTTAATTTCTTGGTTAATTCGTTCAGTTTCTCTTTTAAAACAGGCGAATTCTCCAAGAAAAACATTGCGTTTAGTTACCGGACATTGATAGCGCTTGAAACAACATTTAGTATAAACAAAGAAAGAATCGTTGATACATATAGCAAAAAAAACAAGTGTTGATCAATTTTGTGCCACTTGAGCTGATGATATTCATCGAACCGTATTAACAATTAGATAGAATTCACTTGTTTTCTCGATATATTTCTCCCTATCGGCTTAAAAAATTACATGTTCCACGTTCTCTCTTATTTTAATTAACTCGCGCACAATCCTATTCAAATTTGTCTTTGTATCGTCTTAAGTACGAACTGAGCCTTGCTGTTTAATTTTAATCTTGCTTTTCAATAGAAATGGAGTTTCTCAGGTCATTGCCTCGACAAAGCATCTTTTTTTCTCTTTCTAGAACGCAACAGATAAGGGTTGTGTATTGACAGAAGTGATAATTAAAACGTTAGCGCTAAGAAAAGCAGATGAAACATGTTTAGAAGTCCTCAACCAGCTTGAACTCGACTTTTTATTTTCGGTCGTTTGAATATCATTTGAACATCAGGGATTCGAGTTGACCAAAGGCCGGGAATAAAATTCGCATTGATCATTCCACAAAGTTGCCATCCATCTTGACCGTATTTGTTCAATTCGCCTTCACTGATACCCTGTGCTTCTTTTCCTGTTCGCTCGTTTGTGCCATACAATTGTCGAGTAACAATACGATATTCAAATTCACGATATGCTGTCTCTTTACCAGTTCCCGATTTAGGATCTAAAAATTGACAGTAAAATAACTGATTGTAATCTGTATAAAATAATCCTACCGCAGTAGATTACTGAGAATATGAAAAATAAAATATAAACCGAATGCAGATTCATCATAACATTAACCGTTGTGTTGTAATCAACAGGAGAAGTAGTGATATAGAAGATGTCAACTGTCTTATATACAAACTTTATGAATGAGAGGGAATATCTACATCGCTGCATTTATATACATATATTTATTTTCTCTTCGTATCCATCATTAGTAATCGTCGAAAATATATACTTACTTCATGTGATTATCTCTTATCAGTGATGGAAAATACATTCGAAAAGATTGTGTTGACATTCTGTCATCAAGTTTCATTATCCTTTCGAAGGTCATGTACAATTAACAAACTGTTCTACATTGTTACATTCAAAAACGACCTCGTGTTTTTATTACATGCATTATTTTGAAGACAAAATAATGAATCCGATGAGCATTGCTCTTAATACAGATGTTCACAAACAAGTTTTAATTTCCTGAGTGAATAAATAGACACACAAAAGAAGCTTTTGTTGATACCTCTTAATCAAAAAAGTCTATAAGTACCATTATAGTTTAATAAAGGATATGCCGAAAATTGAATTAAAACGACGTTGTATTACAAAAATAAAGGTTCAATTATTTTAAATAGCTCAGCGAGAATGTCTACGAACGATACGGATTCCAATGCTGAATTTCTCTTTTTTTCTTATTATCCATTATTTCTCGTGATCGCTGGTACTACTCTTAACATACTCACATTCGTTACTCTCTGTCGACGAATGTTCCGAGATACGAAAAAGCAACCTGTCATGCACTACATGCGTACAATGGCAATCTTTGATATTGTAATGTTATACGGATGGAATCTCGATCATTATCTTTATGCAATACATGGATTCCGATTTGTTGAATATAGCATTGCATCCTGCAAAATTATGAGTTTTATTGACTATTTTATCACACCTGCATCGGCATGGCTTCGGGTATTCATCTGTTTAGACCGATATTTAGCTTTGAGTCATCTCAATCGAACTTGGTTTAGTCGTCCGAAAAGTGTTCTGATTATTATTGGATGTATTGTTGCCGTATTCATAATTTACAATGCGCATTTTCTTCTGTTTGCTTGTTATGTTCGGTCTGATGGTACCATCACAGCTAATTCAGTATTTTATCAAGTCTTTCCATTATGGGATTACATTCAACTCGGTATTTATAATTGTGTACCATTTGTTTGCATGGTAACACTTGACAGTGGCGTGGTTTATCATCTAATTCGTCTTCGTCGTACCACGGCGGTTCAAAACTCTCGCATTCAACATCGTGTTATTTCGATTACATTACTTATAACAACATTTCTCTTTCTAATTATGACGATACCATCAGGCATCATCTTTGCGTTTTTCTACGACACGGTTAATACGACAGTTTTGATGCTGGTCGATGCAGCTATGTTTACATATCATATCTTATCATTTCCGTTGTATTTCATTACATTTCACGATTTTCGTCGAGAGTTTCTTACGATGATTCGATGTGCAAGATTTGCTCGAGTCACTGTACCACTGGTGAATACAGTACCAATGAATATAGCTGCAACGACGGAGAGAAAAATCATATCGAAAACGACAGGACACATCCATACGCAAATGAATCATTAATAGACTTCAACATCTGAAGTACAAAAATCGTACTTTATAACTCCGTTTCTACGCAATTTTCTGTTCGTTTTGCACTGACGTCAACTGAGTCATAAAGTATGATACATATCATACCTATTACTAAAAACAAACTACTTGTGTCATGCACATCTACGTTCTTTGGTTTTTCGTTTGATATTTAATGTTGAGTATTGATCCGATTCAAAATATTACTTGGAACTTCACAAAAATCATGTTTTATCTACTTCTTATTGTACTCATCTGTTGTGGTAATATCGCGACAGGCAAATCAGCAAAGCTCGTTACCGTTACCGTTACTCTGGGCGTAAATGAACAGACAGAAATCTGTTGTGATGCAAACCTTCAAATTAGTTCTATTCAAGACAGTCGATGTCCACTGAAAACAGCCTGTATTTGGGCAGGGCAAGCTAAAGTTGGCTTACTTCTTTCAAATTCCGAAGGTTCAAGCACAACAGAACTGATTATTGGCGCTCAATCGAAGCCTAATGCGCTCGTTGCTGTGGGTAGCAAAACATACAATGTCACTCTTGTGCAAGTCACTCCGTATCCTGGCGCGAGCAAAAATCCATCGCAAGCTACAATACAAATCATCTGTCCATAAGAATCATTTTTGAATTTTTCACTTATCATCATTATAAAAAAACTCTTCTAATTTTTCAAAAATAAAACTACAATTTGATCTTGTCTGTGCCTTCAGTCTTTTTCTTGTTTTCGATTGTAAATTGAAACTGTAGTACAGTTCCAATACTCGTAAGTTCTTCAACGGAGACAAGATCATCAAATCTTCATCGGTGTACTGTGTTCCATCTTCTCTGTTTGGATAACTTAACACTAATTCTTCTAAACTTGTCACTTGTGACAGGACTACCATTGATGGAAAAGAAACCGAAGTCAAATCTAAAACTTTCAATGTATAATGATCAGCCAAACTAATGAGTAAATTATCCATATTTTCTTTGGTAATACTGATCTGATCGAAAGATAAACTTGTCAAATGAATGAATTGTTTGAGAATATCAATGTGTTCTGAAGTTATTTGAACTTCGTATTCATTCTCGGTGCAATCTGATTCAGTCGGATATTGAACCATCATCAATTCCTCATATTTGATATGTTTTGCACTAATCTGTAATTCTTTTAATGATTCTTTCAGAGCAAGTAAATACTTATAACCATTTATGTTTAGTTTCGTTTGTAAAGGCGAAAATCGATGTGATCTTAACGAAGTAATAGTTGGAATTCGACTTAATTGGTACAAAATTTCATTGGTGATCAATGTTTCTTGAAGATGAACATATTGTAAAGGAGGTCGACATGGTAAAGCTACTAAAATCTGCAAATCCGACGGTGAAAATTCAAACCATTCCAAATATTTCAAGTTCGGAAGGCATGCTAGAGCATTCAATTGCTGGATTCGACTTCTTCTGCCAGTAAAATTGTCCTGACGGAGAATAAGTTTCTCTAATTTTGTCAAGCATTGAAAATACTTCTCGATATCTATTTCAATTTTCGCGCCCGATCGTAAAAGTAGAAAAAAGTACGTTAAATTTGGAAGAAGATTCAACGATGCTAGAAGACAAAAACATGTCGTCGTTGTATCGACGTTTATTTTCGGATTCATCGCTAAGATTAAACATTTCAGAGTTGGAGAAATCGATTGAAATAAGTTTGTAACAAACAACGGTGTCAACGAAACAAACCGTAATTTGAACGTATGTAATGAAGTAAAGTTCAATTGAAAATTATCCAATGCTATCCTACGATCGGACGAATCCATTTCAATTCTATTGATATGACGTAAAATTTTAGAATTTGAAATCACGAGCAATTGCTGTTCGTTCGAGAGAGTTAATTTCGTACGTTTGTTAAAGCAGAATTGGTTAGATGCGAGTAAGTTATACCATGTTTTACATGTTAATGCCACAGACAGTAATGACTCGATCGGTAAATACCGAAAGATTTGTTGATAGCAAATCAGCGGAATTCGAAATGGATCCGCTTCGAACATCATTTCATCGTATTTTCGTTTAGACTGTGTCATTTTACAAAATTTGCATGGCAAATGATAATATATAACCGTCATTACACAACAATGTGAAATATTCTTCAACTAGAATAGAGGTTGATGCAGGAAAGAATGTTCTCGAAATATGGTGCCGTCATCTTCTTATTATTCGTTACTGAACACGACAGAAAATGACATTCAATGAAGTCATAATCAATCGTCATTACGTTGGAAAGCGCTTGCATTTCGTCACTGTTTTCAATCAGCCATTCGCAACCTTCCATGTGGACAAGTCATTACGCAATCACAGAACGATTATAAATACCCTAAACGGAGAGTGCAAAAGATACTAGAAAAAGTTTTATCGAATAATGACTCATCAATTGAACCTTCATACACTGCCAGTGGAACTCTTCTATCGAATTCTGAATTATCTGGATGATTTTACGATCATTTCTGCATTGAGTAATGTTTGTAAACGCGTTGATACGATGATGGAGAATTATCGTCGTTACAAGGTAAACCACTTTCGCTCCTGTAAACAGGTGGAGAATTTAAATTTTTATATAGGCATTGACTACACTTCAACTTTGTAACTATAACATTGGTTTAGAAGGTGCAGCAAATCTTGCCAATGCTCTCAAACACAACAAAGTAATATTCTAAATTCCTAGTTATTATGGCCATGATTTCATATTGAGTTTAGACGATCACTATGCTTGATATTGGACTCAATGAGATTGATGCTCAGTCGATGTCGTATATCGCTGATGGCTTACGAGAAAATCAAGGAATACTTAAATTAAGTCTCCATTTGAATAAAATCGGCTCAAAAGGAGCAGAATATCTTGCTGATGCACTGAAACAAAATCAAGTAACATACACTTCTCCACCGAGATGTTCATATTTTCATTTTGTATTAGACACTAACCCGACTGAATCTTCATTACAATCGAATTGGCGATGAAGGAGCACGACACTTTGCTGATACATTAAGACATAATAAAGTAAACTCTACCCTGTTCTATGAACACTTTATACATTGATTGGGATCGATAGGCACTACTGAGATTGAATTTGATACGTAATGAAATTGGAGATCAAGGAGTGGCACATCTTGCTGATGCTTTACAAGAAAATCAAGTAATGTATAGAACTATATCTTCACCCTTCTTATTCGTGTTCTGTTTTTCATAGACGCTTACAACGCTCTATCTCGCAGAAAACCACATCGGTCATCAAGGAGCTCAACATCTTGCCCAAGCTTTACAGAATAATCATGTAGGCCATCACCATTTGACCTTTTAACAATTTCTTCCTTTTCATCTCTTCAGACACTGACAATACTCTATGTTGCTCAAAACCCAATTACGGACGAAGGAGCAAAACATTTTGCTGAAGCTTTAAAACAAAATCAAGTACTCATTCGCATTCACATTCGACTCTTTCAATATTCGACGTATTTGATCTTTTTTTTTGTCATAGACCCTCACCACTCTGAGCTTGAAAAAGAATCAAATCGGTGACCAAGGAGCAGAATATCTCGCTGATGCTCTTACTAAAAACAAGGTAAATACTTTTCTTCTTCTTCTCCAATTTCACATTCATTCAATGTTCTCTACAGACACTTACGACACTTCATCTGAAATGGAACCACATTGGTGATCAAGGAGCCATCTCTCTTGCTAACGCTCTCCGTGAAAACAAAGTAACACTTTTTCCATCAATATTTCATCGAAATAAGTTCTTTTATTACGTAGACGTTGATCTTTGTGGACATTCGTTTCAACGACATCAGTGATGAAGGAAAAAGTCATCTGATGGAAATACGAAGACTAAATCGAAAACTGAAACTGATTTTCTAAAACGTTTTCTCTTCATTATAATATATAAGTATATCTATACTGTATCATCAAATTATCATAGTTTGACTTTGTTGATTGGTCTTTCTCTGACATCTCCGAATTTGTTATCACGAGAAGAGCTGTTGATGTGGTGACCTTAACAGTGTTGACAAATACAAAATACATATAAATACAAAGAACAATACAGAGAACCATCGGCATTTTCCTCCTCTTTCATCATGCTAATGAAGTTGAATCTTTTTCTATTACTCTCATTGATTTTGGCGATCAAATGCGCTAAATCAGAAACCGTGGTTCGATCGTATGTCGTTAAAGAAGACAAACCTCCCATCCTCAAGCCTCTAACTGACTTTACTGCTTATGATTCAAGAGAAAAAGATCGTATTTACCTACTACGAACAACATCGACTGATATAGATACCATTACACTATTCGATTATCGTGCTCGAACGATGATCGGAAATGCTGAGGGAGAATGGACAAATGGCATTTTCAACGTGTCTCTCTCTATCTATGATCCGAAATCAGACAAATGGGTTGATGGAATCATGACACTTGTGCGAAGTTTTCTGTCCTATACGTATAAACTTAATTGGAACAATCAACGTCTAGTTATGAAGAGTAAATCGTTTACGAAAACGATCAAAATCTATAATGAATCACCGGATCAGTTGTTAGCACAATTTCGTTATCGTTCTTTCTGGCGTAGTGGCACGAAGTACAAATATGACTTGAAAATTTTTACTAGTCGATTTCCTGATGCGATTTTTCTCTTACCTTTAGCAATTGTTCATCACAATGAAAAATTACAGGACGACAAGCGCTGATCTCAAGACTCATCGTACTTTCTATAAAACTGGCCGCATTTCTTGTAATTATTGATTTGCTTTATCTTAGTACTTTCATTCTTCTAATAAAAAGACATCGTTGTCTTTCTTTCGTATGCGAGAAGAAAGAGAATAAATAAGACGACCATGTGCGTCGGTTAGATTCAAACATTAAAAAGAAAACGATGAAACGTGCCATTATTTTTCTTCTTTTATCCATCGTTTTCGTGTACATTCGTCAGGATAAAGTACAACGTACTATAACTGCTGGACAACGAATCATTCCCGTGAATTCTCATCATGAAGGTGATGTCATTGAGTTTGTTCTAAGATCGAATGAAACTGGCCATACGCATTCGATGATTAAGCAAACGATTAAACGCGACGGGCCATGTGGAAACTTGTTATCAAATGCACATCCATTGAAACGACCTTGTACTCCACCAATTCATTATCACCTAAAACAAGATGAAAAGTTCGATATTAAACAAGGTCGATTAGGTTACATCTTAAATGACATGATTGGCACGAAAGAAACGAACGAATCTTTATTTATACCCAAAGGTGCATGTCATACATTTTGGAGTGCAGGTGATGATGATTTAGTGGTATATATAACACTTTATAATGATCATGGAATGGTACCGGGTAGAAGTGCGGATTCCTATTTTGAAAATATCAATGGTGTTCGACGGGATAGTCCAAGTCTGATAGCGACACTTCAGGTTCAAATTGGTCACGATATTTATCGATGCGATCTACCTCGACTATTTAACTCGATGTTTAGTAAACTATTCCAAATTGTAGCACTTGCTCTAGGTTATCAAATTCAATATGTTGAATATACAACACCTGTCATCTAGACCTTTTATTACAGAATGAAAGCAACTATTTTTTTTTTGGTGCGAATAAATTTCTATGAGCGTGTTGTCTTTTATAGACCATGGACATATGTTCGACCTAGATCAGATAAACTTCCATCAGCTCGAATTAAACAATTGGTTGAACCGAGTGCAGCATCGAGACGACGTTGAGCACCAAACCAAGCATAGCGTTCAACCCAGTCTAACGAATCAAGTTTTTGAACACTCTGTCGCATGAATTCATTGACTTCTGCTTGAGATACAGGCTGATTTGGATTCCACGACGTACAAGCGAATTCTGTTACCCATACAGGATGTTTATTGCCCAGCTGTTGACGAACGAGTGTAATCCAGTTGATAAAATTGTCAGCACCACGACCGTACCAGTGTAAAGCAATAAAATCGATGCGTCCACCGATCTGATTCAAGTCTCTGATGAATTGTTTTAACCAATTGAGTCCTTCGTTAGTCGAAGCAATAGCTGGTGAACCAAGACGAACGCCTTGTTGTCTAAGAGGTTCAATATATTTTTTCCAAGCTAGTGCAGCTTCACCAGGGCTCATGCGTGCTTGATCAGCACGTTCTGGTTCGTTGAAACCGAGTACATGCTTTGCACCTCGTGCTTGATTCACGAATTGACTGCCATCGTGACCTTTATTCGTACTCCATAACATAGGGATAAATTCAGTACCAGCAAGATTTGTTCTATATGGTGACCAATTGTAAATCCATGAAATCTTTCCGCCGGCAAAAACACCAGGATTATCTTCTTTATTTTCCATTGGCCATGCAATACCTCGTTTTCTTTGAAATATGAGAAGCTCACAATGAGAAGTACTTTGTTCAAATATCTACCTTGCGTTTCGATTACTTGTAGGATTTCTCGTTGCTTTGACGCCACAAACTGCAGACGAATCTGAACTAATGATGGCATTAGATTTTGAAACTGAACCGGACTTCATCCAGCATGTTCCACCTTGCCAATTTGTCCACGCAAAATGAGTGCATCTTGCTACTGCATCACATTTCGGGCCGCATAATTGCGGCGGACTTCGAACATTGGTGAAATCATTTCCACGAAAATCACATCGTAAAGCCCAATTATTACCATTCCAATTGATAGTCGCTTTGGTAACAACAAATAAATTGAGAATGACCAAACATCCAATTGCAATAGACGATATCAAAGCTTCTTTCATACTTTCGATTTCGAATCTTAACTTTAATCAGCATTCATTGTTAGACTACGCAATTATATATAGAAGCTTCGTGTGGGAATCAGAAGGGATAAAAGCTTTCGTCCTGTTTCATCCCATGACTCAGCACGTCAGCTAAATATGTCTTTCGAAAACAAATTTCCCATATGATTGATAGTCTTAGTGTTGTTATCGAGCATGGGAATGATGGAGGGAGAGAAAAACAAAGGATTGACAATACACACAACAACAAAAAAACGGAAATGAACTGATGTTATTTCAATATAGCCACACATGAATGGGACTTTTCTACGACAAACGCTACAATTCGATTAAATTTGAAGGTTAAACGTGGCTTTCTTCTCAGCAGTTTGTTGTAATTTCATTTTTCCTTCGTCAGAAAATCGACAATCATGTATCCATAACACTTGTAACACTTGATTGTCTGTAATCATGCCCTCGAAATAGTCAAGGCTGGCATCCGAAATGCATGTATTCGAATACAACGTTATCTCTTCGAGTGTTTGATTAAAATATCGAACGGCTCCACAGAAACCTTCTATCGATTGATCTGTAATGAGATTCTCGTGTAAACCAAGAGCTCGAAGGGTTCTATTCGATTTTAGCATATTGGATAGATGCGCTAGACCTTGGTCGTCTATTTGGTTACCATTGAGAACCAATCTGCGCAGTGTGGAATTACGGAATGATAACGACTCTGACAACTGTTGTAGCGCTTGGTCGGAGATGATGTTGTCCGAAATGCATAGTTCTGTTAATGTAGAATTTACGCCCAAAAAAGAAAACAAGTAAAAGAATGAACGTTCTGTTAATGCATTGTTTCGTAAAATGACTGATTTATATTTGAAAGTTGTGAAGTATTTATGGACGATTAAGTTTAGATCATCTTCACTAAGTTTTTCATTGTTTAAATTCAATAAAGAACTTCGTTGACAGTTGTCAATGAATTCTTCGAGTTGTGGGTTCGTGTAACCGTTCGGTATGGCCAAGCAGAATAAATTACTCGATAAATCAGTTGGTCCGTTTATTTTTAGTTTTAAATGCTTGATTTCAATAGCACGTTTTTCAAGTTCTCTTTCATGTATAGCCAATCTTTGTCGATACTGTTGATTTTCACTTTGAATCACATCGTAATTATTCATTTGTTGCTTTAAATAATCGTTTTCTTCTTGAGATTTTTGATAGTAGCCAAATAAAGCCCGATGTTCTTCCTTTATAGGTTGCAACTCATCCAACGCTTCTTGCAATTTTTGTTTTTCTTGAATGAGAACTGAAATTTGCTCTTCACCTCTCAATCGATTTACTCTTTCTTGCGTATATTCTTGAAGCTTTGCTAGTGCAGCTTGACTTGCATCATATTGTTCTTTCAGTGATGCATGTGCCGTTTTTATTTGTTCATATTCGCTTTCAATTGGTGTTAATCGATTGACTTCTTTCCTGAGCTGGTCGATTTCGGCTAATTTTTTATCCAAATTCTCTTTCATACCTTCTATTTGCTTTGTGAGCGTTTCTTTTCCTTCATTTAGAACAGTAATCTTTTGTTTTAGTGATGCATTTTCGTTTGCTCCTTGATTGAATTGTTCAATTAAAGTAGGTATTTGTATGACTTGCGTATTCAATTCTTGATTTACAACTTCAAGCTGTTTTATACGATCTTCTTGCTCTTTCGAACGATCTGCTAGTTTTTGATGATCATTTTGTAGTTGATCAAGATCGTTTCTGTCACGAAGAAGTTCTGTTAAGAGCGCCCGAAGTTGTTCATATGGGCAAGTATGTACATGTTGATTTAATTGATCGTGCGATCCATTCCATGGACATTTGACATCTTTAGCCGAACAAGGTACATTTCTTTTCGGACAATTTTCGCGCATGTGCTGCAGAAAGTCTCCACGTTTAATATCTTGTTGTGAGCAATGACGGCATTGTACCGAGAGACTGTCTAGTATTCGATGTACTAGTGCTACTTGATTTTGGACATCTTGTTGAGAGAAGGTTTTTCCATTGCAATGTGTGCAGCTTGTTGCATGTTTTTCATAATTCGATTGAAGACACTGTCGACAAAAGGTTTGTTCACACCGAGAAGGGAAGTAAACCGGATCGAGGAATGGATTGTTGCATAGAGAACATTCCCAATCTGGACTTAACTCATCCAGATGCAGGTAAATAAAATCATTTGTGTTCATTCTTGAAAAGGAACGAAAATTTGATTTCTTCTCGCTCAGATTCTGTGGTGCATATGTTTTTACACTGTTGTGAGTAGAATTGTGAAGAAAACGAAGAGTATACGTTTTACAAACAATTGTGTTGCTGTTTTCTCGTTACACAAAGAACGAAGAAAAAAATGTGGTTGATTACAGTCGACAAAATACCCAGAGAAATGAAGAAAATGTAAATATGAAAATAAAATTTTGATAAGAAAAAAGATGTTATCGAAAAGAACAAACTCAGTCTTGATGGAGGTGTAGAAATCTATTATCAGTGTGAAGTTAGTACCATATGGCTAGCATCAGAAAACAAAATATTACACGATAATATTCATTCAAGCATCCCCTTGTCATAGTTATTCTTTATTAAATACAAAACACACATCAACAATCATTTAGTTGCTTAATGATTATATAATAATTTTATATGTGGATTACGTTTAACTATCTCTTTAGCATATTGTTTTCCCTGACTGCCAATACCATTGTTTCGAATATTCAATGTACGAAGTGTCTGAATAAAATGATCGATGAAGAGCAAAAGAAAAGAGATAGTCTTTACTCGATTGTTTCCTTGAAGCGCTTTCGCTAAATGCTGCACTCCTTGTGTACTGATATGATTAGTATGCAGATCCAGCTCAGTAAGTGTCTATATGAATTAGGAATTGAACGATTGAGCACAAAAACATGGATGAAAGAATGAACATCACTTTATTTTCCTGTAAAGCAACAGCAAGGTATTCCGCTCCATGTGCACCAATATTATTGTCATAGAGTTGCAGTTCTTTGAGTGTCTTTAGCAAAAAAAATGAATATAGTTTTAGTACCGAAAGAAAATGTGTTACTTTGTTTCGATGTAAGGCGTTGGCAAGATATTGTACGGCTTGGTCATCGATTGAATTCGATGCAATACCTAATGAAGTGAGTGCCTACGTTCCAACGGTCGGTATAGAATAAATATAGAAATGATTGTGTCGATATTTATTACTTTGTTTTGTTCGAGAGCAGCAGCGAAATATTGGACACCCACTGGTCCAATTTGATTTCCATGCAGATCAAGTGTAACAAGTGTCTAGGTGGAATCAGATACAGAATCAAAACTTGATGAAAACAATAGTACCTCATTACGTTGCAAGGCATCGGCCAGATGCTGTGCTCCCTGTGGTCCAATTCGGTTTCCATAAAGATCAAGTGAAATCAGTGTCTACACGAACAGAAATATTAGAAGTGATCGAAAGAGGCTAAGTCTTACTTTACTCCGTTGCAAGATATTTCCAAGATGTTGAGCTCCTACTGGACCTATTTGATTATTGGAGATGTCAAGCGTAGTCATTGTCTGCACGGAATTAACGAACAGTGAAATCAGAAGAAAAACAATGAAATAGTACATTATTTTCTTGTAAACCATTGGCAAGGTGATAAAATTCTTGATCACCTATTTGATTAGCACCACAATTCAATGTGGTCAGTGTCTGTAGGAAATAGCGAGGTAATCATTAAAAAGACGAAGGAAAAGATGGTCACTTTATTTTGTTGCAGAGCATTTCCAAGATGTTCTATCCCTTCCAAACCGATATTATTTTCACGAATATTTAGAGCGGTTAGCGTCTACGCATAGTATTCATAAAGAGAAAAGGTGAAGTAATCAGCAAAAGATTACTTTATTCTCGCGTAGAACTCCAGCAAGTTGCATCATTCCTCCAGTACCGATATTATTATTTCGAAGATCAAACATATTGAGTGTCTATATATGAAGTGGACACATTCAGTGATATAATCGGGGTCTAGTACTTGATTTTCTCGCAGAGCATCAGCAAGGTATTGTATTCCAAATGAAGTGATCTCATTGTGTCCGACATCAAGTACTTTAAGTGTCTGAAATGAAACCAGCAGTAGGTTAGGATAGAAATAAAACAAAAAAAAGACATTACTTTGTTATGCTGTAAGACACCGACAAGATACTGAATTGCAAGATCATCAATTCCATTCGCATCGAGATAGAGAGCAGATAGTGTCTATTCCAAGGATTGTTTATGAGAAATGAAAAAAGGTATAGGAACACTTTACTTTATTTTGCAATAAAGCATCAGAAAGATATTGCATTCCTTGTGCACCAATTTCATTACCCGATAAATGAAGTGCAATCAGTGTCTATATGCGCATGGCGTACAAGCTAAAGAAAGGCATACAAAAAAAAATATTACTTTGTTTCTTTGTAGAGCATCGGCGAAATATTTTGCTGCCTGTGAGCCCATTCCATTGAAGCTGATATTCATTGTTGTAAGTGTCTTTTATAGAACATATTTATGAGCGATGAATTGGAAGAAAAGATTAACAGAATCTTGTTACTTCATTTTGTTCTAACATCTTAGCGAGTGAAGAGGCTCCTACTAGACCGATTCCATTAAAGGACAGGTCCAGCGTAGTAAGATTCTGTATGGAATGTAAACCGTTGACAAGATTTTTCATTTTTTCGTCGTTCAACTCTTTCCAACGAAGATCAAGTTCTGTAAGTATCTGTGAAGATTGAGTAAGAATACTTTCACATAAGTATATCGAAGAGATATTTACTTGATATCGATGGTAAGTATTTAGGATGTTGTTAAAACGTACACAAACATTGTGCATGGAAAAAATCATCGTCAAATCATCCAGGTGATCGAAAACACGATAAACTAGTTCTATCGGCAATGTAATAAATGATGCCATTGATATCACTGAAATGCCAGTTTTAGAGTATAGTATATCAAGAGAACGAAAACAAATATTGGCTATTTCACAACCACTTATAAAAAAGAGGACGATAGTACATAGATGTCATAGGGCAACTGATGTATAGGTACTTTAAGAAAGTGTAGCATCATTTGTCTTGCTTCAAAATGACTCAGTGAAGTGCTTTGCCAGAGTAGAACTCTTCGGAAGAGCATCGCTCACTTATTCTAGACGAACATTGCAGTTCCACGTCTCTTAAGATTCTTCAAACAAGCGAGTATCGAATCAGTTGTTGTGGTTTCACCTGTGGCATCAATAAAGAGATGGGTATCCTCATTCTTTGGATAATCAGCTCTAGCAGCAAGAGCAGCAGTCTTCCTCGCATCGTCATCAATAAAGAAGCTAAGAGGAACTGCGACAACTCGGTTCGAATCGAGAGCTTGAAGTGATTTCAGAGCTTAGACATCGTGTTCTACAGCGAACCAGAAAATGGAATGACAGTATTAGATGGAAAAAGTAGTTTCTCAGTGAACGACCTTTCTTTGAAGATCTTCTGGAGTCGATAACTAGGTGGACCCAAAGCTTTCCGGTCATTTAGAATCGTATCATTATTTTGAAATATCGTTGACATCGTCACAGATGTCTAAAGTTTGGGATGAAGAATTTATTTAAATATTCAATTGGAGATTTCATAAAGATCTACCTTCAATAACACCCTCACCCACACCCTCATAGAGAAGAAAAATAAATAAAGATTATGGATTATGTGTAAATGATGTATAAAAGAATGTCTAATGGATATTAAATTTTGGAAGACAAACACGATTCGTATTCAATAAGCGCTTCGAAATGTTTCAATTCGGCCAAACGCATCACGACTGTCTTATATTCCGGATGATTAACATCGAATGCTTCTTTGTATATCTTAACCGCCATTTCGTAGTAATGTATAGCCATTGAAATATCGCCGTTCTGCACTAGAGCGGCTCCCATAGTAGAAAATGTTCGAGCAAATGTTGGATGATTTGATGGATAAACACGACGTTTGATTTCCAGAGAAAAATTACAATAGTGCAATGCTTGTTCAGTATTACCTTGATCTGCATAACACGATGCAAGATTGCTATAGAATATCCCTAGTTCTGATTCGTCAGGAGTTTGAGCGTTTTGTATACAATTGATGGCTTTTCTTGTATATACTATGCCTTGTTCAATATTGCCCATACTACAATACACTACACCGATATTATTGTACCTTTTAGCAATACTTACGCTCATCCCTTTTTCAAATTGTTCCTCGGTTTGTAAGCTTTTTTGTAGATAATACAACGCTAATTCGTATTCTTCTTTTCTACGATAGACAACACCAATATCGCCATAAACACTAGCCAGTGCAACATGACTGTATATGCCATTAATGGCATATATTCTTTCTGCTTCTTTATATTGGCGAAGTGCTTCATCATATTCACCTTTGGCGTCATATACCGCTCCAATTTTCTGATAAGCGTAGGCAATCGGTAGTTTGTTATCGGCAAATAATCCTTGAAGAATTTCAAGATTTCTTTTGCAATATTGTAATGATTTATCGTATTGTCCTAACTTTAAATAAGCTGCACCTATGCTACTGTATAGTTCCATTGCCACCATATCGTTATTCAAATGGCGATGTTCCACGATTTCATGCGCATGCAAATAATTTTTAAAGGCATCGTCATAATTTCCAAATCTTTCATAAGTGTCTCCAATGTGTGTTAGAGTACGCACAAATACGTTCGGACCTACTGTTGGGTATTTCAAGTGAATTTCTAATGCCGTTTTGTAAAAGCTCATCGCTCGTTCATAATCTTCTTCTTGTGCATAAATAAGTCCAATGTTGTTATAAATATGGCAACAAACTGGATGCATAGAAGAACCTTCCATTATATAACAATTCAAAGCCTTTATATAGTAGTATAGACCGCGTCGATAGTTATGCTTAATATAGTTGCAAATACCAAGAACATTGTAGATTTTCCCAGGATTCCTTGTGTACTCTTCGAGTAACATAAGCAGATATTTTTCCGCTTTGCCATACGAATACGATTCATTTAGAAGTATAGCCAATTCAAACAGTGGATCATCACAGTCCTCCAAACTGGAGTATGAATTCTTGAGGTAATCATTCAATTTGACCTTGCTCTCATCAGTTGCTGTAAGCTGTATTTTCCAAACATTGTTTTCCATTTGTTTAACAGACTGTACTACGAATAGCATGCCCATAGAGAGTAAGACTTCATTTTCGTCCGACATATGGCTTACGTTTGAGATATCAGCTAGTGGTTTGTGCGATCGATTCACATCGATTGTGATTTCAAAAAGTACTGACTCGATTTCTGGTCGATTGGACCCATCGCCAGCAAATATGAGTGCAACATCTTGATGCTTTGTTGTAGACAAGAAAGATTTTAGCGAGATGATGGTATTGTTACTAGCTTTTAGATTATTCAACTCGATGGCTTCCATTTGTTGACCGCGGTAGACTGTAATAACATTCGAGTTTTCCGTTTTGGATTGACTATGTAAATCACCGAGTGCATCATAAAGATCGATTACGAAACTTCGAAACTTGAATATAATATCAATATCTTCAGTTTGAAGCGCTTTGTTTATTAGTCTATAAATGAAACAATCTTGAGTGTACCACCAAATAGCTGATTGAGGCTGATATATTTTTTCAAATTGTTCAATTTTTCTTAATTCATTGGGATCATCATGATATTGGGCCCTGCATATTGTTACCATATCTTGTCTTGATCTATCGTTTTGGGGTAGACGCCGTAGGACTTCCAATAACATTTGATTCCACTGATAAGTTGCACAATGTGAACTAAGATCGTTGCTACACGCAGTTTTCATTGAGAACAGCATCGGTTCCACTACAGGCATCCGCAACAACTCTATATCGCTTTTCACACGGTCATGTAGTTTTTTATTTAATTCGTAGACTCTGTCGCGAATCTTTGGAAAACGATACGTCCAATTCAATTTTTTCGAATCCAGATTTGAGATTTCTTTCTCAAAGCAAATATAAATGTATACCAACTGCGGAATCTCATGAATGAGTGGCACCAACAATTCAGCTTCACTCAAGAATACAAGTAAAAAAACTTTTTCATACTTAAACGAAGAAATAAAATCAACGCATTCATCAACATCGCGAAACTCTTTGTAGCACGAATAATCACCATTAAACGTGAATAGCGCATTGAGAAATGTTTCAATACTTACTATATGATTAACATTAAGAAAGACAATCACGAAGTCATCAGAATTAGATGGTGTTGCCATAATTTCAAATGCAATCTCTTCATTACATAGCTGCACAGTGCGAACACGCGGATTAGTAGCAAAAGGGCCATATACGTCAAATATTTTTATAGTCGTGGGACGTTCATTTCGTTGCAGAAATTCAGACATTTTATATGAACATCAAATCTGAAAGGACCTATTCAAAAATGTAGTGATCTACAATTATAGAAATACCATCTTGTATCAATCTGATTAGCGGGATGAGAATATACGCACCCTTATCTTCACCCAAAACCGTTCGGAAGCTTTATCAAGCGTTTGCTGATAAGCAGAACAAAAAAACAATTTACTTGACCAAATACAGCGTAAAAGTAGTGACTGAATTCATCATTCTTTCTTTTCTATTTATGATACATCGGTGATAAATCGCTCTTCATCTATTGCGTTGTCGATAAGTGATAAGAGGACAAATTCGAAGAACAAAACAATATCGTCAAGTAGGAAAAAAAACATCGTTAACACCCATAGATTTCGTTACGTATTCAATGTTGCCCTAGCCTGATCAAAATCAGATAGATTAATGCTGAAAATTTATTGTGGCAAATAAGAACACTGAGAAATCAAGCTCTTGAAAATAGTTGCGTTGTGAAAGCAATTGTATAGACACCATTCCTGCATTCAGCATATGATGTAGCTTGCAATTCAGGTCTCCTAACCCTAATGTGGATATTGCCAAAGGAGAATTCGAACAAATGCAAACCAGTAGTGATAGTTCTATTCCGATTCATAGGTTATTCCTAAACTAGCCAGGCGCCTCGAAGAAAATGTGCACAATGTCACCGTGCAATCGCCTCTTACTATGACGAGAAGTGTTGTATACTATTCTATATTAAGATTAATCCAATTATGAGATCCAAAGAGATTTGTAGATATGACTGTGAGCGACTATCAGAGAGTCTCTCACATGACGCTGCATCTTTTATAAATCGGAATTTCTTCGTACAATAACTACATCATACAATAAACGTGTTGTGACGACATGTTTGCTTGCCTATGACATCGAGACAGAATCATTTTCACAATCCACGTGCAATGTTACGCAAGGCCATACTCACATTCTTATATGTAACAGAACGGACGTTTTTATTTCATGCTCAAAGGAAAACGGCACATATTTCGCAATTAAACTGTAACGACGTACGTAAATCACGTTCCTATTTCCCTTTGCCTGTATATGATCTACTATCCTCAACTTATTTGACAGATTTTTTAAATTACATTTTGAATTAATAGATGGCTGAATCGCAAGTTTTGAAGACAACTACAGTGGATGAACACAGTGACGCTGAAGACGCTTCATTTTCGATAGGATCTTCAAGACCTAGTCGTGCAAATATTGCTAAGGATACTCTTGCAAAACTCAAAGCTGGTTGGTATGAATCACCTGATGGCACCAAAATCGCCCTTGAAGATGATGTCAAATTCTCTAATCAACAGAGTATTTTATATACCGAAGACGATCTCCAAAATACAACACAACTGAACGCAAACTTAGACGAAACAAATCCTACACGTCTAACTTTGGATAGTTTTCAAACCAAAATAGAAAGTCGACTTTGCTCAACATTAGAAGCAGCCAGATCGCTTGTTGCTGAGGTAGGCGAAGATCATGTGGGAGTGTTGAATTTCGCTTCAGCTAAAAATCCTGGTGGTGGCTTCCTCGGTGGTGCACAAGCACAAGAAGAGTCTATTGCTCGCTCTTCGTCACTTTATATGGCTATTACACAAGATCAATTCATGGATGGATACTATAGCTATCATCGACATGGTGAACGAGGTGTCTACAGTCATCGAATGATCTATTCTCCACGAATAACTATTTTTCGAGTATGTTAACAAGATCAGAACTTTCTTTGGTTTATCATATCGCTTCTCTATTGTCTTCACAGGACGACAATGGAGATCTATTACCGCTACCGTATCATGTAGGCATTATTACTTGTCCTGCTCCTAATGCAGGAGTAATCAATGATCGAATAGACAGTCGAAATATAATGAGCGAACGTATTAAGCGTGTACTATACGTTTTTAAAGCGCATAAACACGACACACTTCTATTAGGGGCCTTCGGCTGTGGTGTATTCAAGAATAATCCATATGACGTTGCTCTAATCTTTCGAGAACAATTGGAATCGAACTTATACAGAAACTCGTTCAGACGCATTGTTTTCGCAATTACAAATCCTGCAATGTATCGAATATTCAAACAAGTTTTCGATTCTCCCGATCTACACGAGCTACAACAACAAATGGCATTAATGACTTTCGATCACAACAAGAAAAAACATTCGTCAGATAAAAATCGAAAACAACAGAGAAAAGAACGACGTCAACAAAAGTATCAGAATGATTAAACACAATGTTTATTCACACGAATACACATCCATCATCCGTACTCGATTAAATTAAACAGTTACTAACATGCGATTCACTGGAATCTTCTATATGTGCACTCTAGTGAAATTATTGAGACTATCTTTGACTTTCTTATTCATAAACACTGAAACAGTTAGCATTATTGTCGCAGATAAGACCACGAAATTGAGCGAAATAAAATATAATTCGTCGGGAGGACGTTGACTACTGTTCAAATTCCAAAAACAAAGGATCAAATAAGGAGTCGCACCGCACGCTAGTATACTCAGAAGTATTAGAAGTTGTTGCAAGATCTTCAAATTTCGTTTGGCATTTCGATATGAAGGAGTTTTATCTATATTTGGCGACACTTTCGCTGCTACCAAACGAATCTCATGAAGAATAATACTATAGATAGATATTACACCGATAGTTGGCAACATAGATGACATGGCGAGAGTATAGAATGGTATAGCCTTTGTTTTCATTGTAATCATGCACATTCGATCGCCCTCGACTAACCCGAAACCATTTTCATAGAAAAACGGTACAATGGCGATGAGAAACGATACTAAATATTTAACAACAATCAATATCCAATGTGTTCGCCATGTAAGCCAAGTTCGATTGTTATAAAAACGCGTGAAAAACAATCGACTGATCGATTGAATAAAGAACGAATACGAAGCAGACGTTATTGTCACGTTCAAAAGATAAGCCCGTAGGGTGCAGAGCGGCTGATTTTCCGACCAATTTTGACGTGTGCCATAATAACATCCAGTAAAATGCAACGCATAGAAGCACAGCGCAGTAAAGCATAACTCACACAGAAGTAAATTTGTTACTGTATGAGATTTTCGATGGAAGATTATGATAACGATCAATAAAAGACTGAATATGAGGCCGATGCACGCAACCACAATCATAAATATGAAGTTCACTGCAAAAAACAGCTCTGTCAACATTTCTATTCGCCTTTCTACAACTATAGTTCAGCAGAAAAAACGATTAAATGATAATTTTTTTACACTTTTATCATATCCCTGACTGCACTTATTGAAATAGTATGAATGTAGGCATGTGTACTTATTTTGTAGCGAAGTTATCCACAGTTTCATGCCAATGCCGATAATGCAAACGTCACGAAATGTAGGTCACTGAAACATTATTCACGCTTCTATTATTCTGCGTGTCTAAAGCACGTTATCGAACGAATATTAGAAGATAAAAATCCGTTTGTTTGCCGAGCGACTAATCTCGACATATTTCAGCCATCTGCAAGAGAAACATCACCTGTGACTTTTACAAAAATTAGTCGAGTGCTTTTCAAATTGTTGCCGAGGAATAAAACACTATAATGTGACGGCAATGATGAGCGCGTGATGTTTCTTTATCATCTACGCAAAAAAAGTCATGCTCATAGGATGCGCTGAACAAATGTGTCGAATCTCGAAATATTTCCCCTTTCATAATGAATACGATTAACGTAGCATTAAAAGTAAAAATATTTAAGTGTATCTTCGATTCGAATATCCATATCGCTGGAATTATCACGTATTTGCTCTCAACAGAAGAATAGTTTTTCTAATTTGTTGCTCCATTCCGGCATGGATTTGCAGGACACAAATGGAAAAAGGATTATGATATAAACAGCAAGAAGTGTACTGTCGAAAATAAAGGCTAGTTAAGCATTCTGTTACTAGATTGCTTTACACGAATATTTGGATGATTGTTCGTGGACAGTTAACAATTAAGTACAGAAATGAGATAGATAACAGCTGAATGGTCATCTTACGTCGTTTTCGCCATTGAATCGCGCGATGCAATCGTGTTTTTTGTCAGATGATACGAAACAACAGAGCACTACTGAAAATAATCACAATATATGTAGCTATGATTCAATAGCGTCATCGCACGATGGAAAGTAAAACAGTACACGATAGGATCATGATTATAGGAACGTAATGAATGAAAAAGCGTTTCTTCGTCGTTGATCTCCATGTTTGATCAACTGTAAGAATTTACCGCTCAATTGATGCTCACGCAAAGCCAACTAATTGCGCTATACGGCATAGAGTATTCGAAGTCACATATAGCCAAAATCATACAGACAAAGCAATTGATGTAGAAGCATCCATAGAGTTAAATCTGATGTGGAATGTATTCTTTAGATTTGATTTCTGAACAAAAATTCAAATAAGTCGGGCATTCTTTGTCTACAACAAGATCTTCCCAGGCCAACATAATTAGTTTATATGTAATTACCATTGTATCACGTGGTCTGCGCACGACTTCGTTTGCACTCAACGCATCTACACGATAAGTTTATCACTCGAACTTTTGTAAAATTCCATCAAAGTTCTTTTGCTACAAATTTTTTTATCATAATACAAACATTGTCAGAATTAAGAAACATCGTGCCTTTCCATTAGAATTAAGCTTTGCATGATTCATAATGATGGCAATTAAGAAATCACGGATATACATCTCTTGTACAAGAGAGATAGTTAGATCCATGCAGTTACTTCCTGTTTGTTATCACTAATCTTATTTTTGAATAACTTCAAAGTCGACGATTTGATGTACAAATAAAAAATAGAGGATTCTCGGTACTAATTACCTTGCGATCGAACATGTAATGACCGTTGATCCACCAAGAAACCATAGTAAACTATCGGTAGACAATCAAATCAATGTAGGAATCAGTTTTTGTACCAAGTGCTACAATACTGTTTAAATCAGTGAAGCTTATAAACGTAATAACCTCACGTTCGGCAATTATACTGTATATTTATCGTTGAATGAGTTATGATTTCTTCTAAATTCGAGTAGGAACTTCGTATCTGATGCTGAGAATTATCTGTTGACAAGGCATCTAAATGCGAAAATACATATCAATAGCATTCAGATTTTGAAACTCAGAATATTTCATTAAGAATTAAAAATAAAATGCAAGATGAAAAAGTTGACTGTTTTCATAATAATTAAAATATGTTATCTATAGATCGACTACATATTTAACCCCAATCACTTTGCTTTTGTTTCCTATACTAAACAGACGAATAATACACAGTATAGTTTTAATCGTTATTTGTCTTGCCGACATAATTTTCCACAATCATTCAACTGTAATCTTCGACTATATAAAGCCGTGTAGATTCTCATTAGATTTATACAAACACTTCAGTTATTTTTATTACCATTTTCCTACCACCTGCATTTGGCAAATTTAGTCTGTCTTGGTTTCATTCTATATGGATTAGCATCAGTCAGCGTATGCACTCCTGTCGACGATGATGATAGCGCGATGAATCCGACGTGCATGCACGAAATTACAAAACGAAGTCTCCTCGTATCTACATCTTCGGATTGGAACGATTTTTTAAAACTCTCGACGTCGAACGACGTAAGTGCTGTATTGTGCACGATTCAAACGCCTAGTGTCGAAGCGAAGCATTTGGATAATTCTGACACAGCTATTCAATCAGTATGGTCCATTTTACGAAAATTAGCTCAAGAATGTATGGAAGATTGTGATAAAATTAAAGAGTGCAAACACTAGACTTATGGTATAAGTCGAGCACATTTGACTTTTAGGTTATGCTACTCGAAGAGCAAAATAATCAAGAAAGAACAATCGAATAATACACTGGGTAGATCGTGCATTAAAAGACAAAGTAGAATAATGACGTTTTCTTCGAAAGCTTTCAATAAAAAGGTACATTCAACTTCTAGAACCATCACTATACGTTTACTGTTCTGAGACTGGCTATTGTCAAAGAGGATGTGTATTCGGTAGCAGTAGTGATATTGATCATGATGATGATTGTGGAAGACGGTGTTTTACCTTCGACAAACATGGCATCCACATATGCACAGTTGATAGTGATCGTTTTGGATCAACACAATGCATACTACCGTGCCATAAGAGACTACGAGACAGGAACGATGTATTGGATATCAATTTAATCGAGAAGAATTTAGCTCGACGTAGATTTTCTTTTCAAATAAAGTATTGTTTGTTTTCAGATCCACCTACAACAGTGAGTAAGCACTAAAGGATTAGAGACTATATGGTTGTCCATACAAATGCGCTGATATGATAATCTCGAAGCAAGAAAACGATATCATTGCCGGCTAAAGACTGGCGCGAGTGCGACTTTACAGCTGAACGGCTTTGCCAGTGCTTATTACCGCTAATAATATGGTTAACTCTTATTGACCATCTTGCGAAAAAACGCGAATCAGTATCTTTTAGTGTTTAGCTTCTAAAACTGCCATCCTATCAAATAGTTCTCCTTGCATTTAATCTTCTAGTTTAATAGATACTAACAAATTTCTTACTTTTATTATCAATAAATTTTACTACATCAAGAAAATGATTTCACTGACAGTAGATGTATGATTTTTCTTATATATTTCGACAACGTTGAGAAAGTCATGTAGTTTAAATTTAACTAATTGCATCAATGATCGTTTTCAAAAAATTATTAGCACCATACTCTCCATCGGGTGTTTTTGTCAAGCCTAATCGAACGACGACTAATTTCTTCGATGGAATAACAAATACTGCCTGACCATCAAAACCACTGGCAAAAAACATATCTGTCGGTACATCGGGAAAGCGCCGTGTGGATGAATCATTCTCCTTTCCTGTATTTAACCAAAATTGATAACCGTATTCACCGTAAATATTAGAACCTCCTAATGTTGCTGATTGTTTAACCCATTCTTCTGATAAAATCTGTTCATTGTTATAAAAGCCTTTATTCATATATAACAAACCAAATCGTGCCCAATCACGTGCAGTTCCCCATGAATACGATGAGCCAACAAATGTACCCGATGCATCAACTTCCATCGTCATATTGTTCATGCCGAGTTTATGAAACAGAGCCCGATAGGGAAATGAATGATAGTCTTGTTCGCCAACAGTATGTCGAATAATGCGTGACAGTATATTCGTATTTGCACTAGTATAGTAACAATAAGTTCCTGGTTTATGTTTTAGCGCATGTGAAGCAGCAAATGCAGCCATATCGCCGGTGCTGAATAACATTCGAGTAACATCACTATATGAATAATAATCTTCGACAAAATCTAAGCCACTGTTTTGTTGTAACAAATGTTTGATTGTGATTGAATGTCGAGGATCATTAGTATTATTCCATTCCGGCACTGGTGCAGGTGCATCAATATTCAGTTTGTTGCCTTTGACGAGGATGCCGACTAACGCACTGATAATACTCTTTGTCATACTCCAACCCAGAAATTTCGTTGATCGGGAATAACCAGTGCCATATCGTTCGGCAATTAATGCACCATCATATACAACAATGGCTGCTCGTGTACGTATCAATTTAGTGGGATCTTTCTCAATAAATAGCGAGTCTACAGCTTCTTGTACTAATGCTCGATTGACGTTAACTGGGTAGACTCCGTCACTGATTTTATTACCCATTGGCCATGGAAGGTCATCTTGATTGACGTTTGGTGGCGTGGGAACTTTAAATGGTTGAGTACGGATTTGTTCTTCTGTGAAATCGTTAACTAAGGTTGCGCCAAGTCCGTTTCTATAGATAGCTTTTCGTCGAATAAACCCAAACACTGAACCAGTCACAGATAAATCGGTATGATTAACGATAAAGGTGGCATAGTTCAGAGGAAAAAAGGCAAGATCTTCCGCACGCTGTCGACCTTCGTCATGACCAGCGATAAATATCGACGAACAAATGTACTTTGTGCCATAGCCACTGATAATTGGTAAGAATAACGAACAATAATGGATACCGTATGCAAGTAATCCGATAATTATAAATAAGATTTTACCATTCATGGCAGTCAGATAGTGTATGTAGATATACTGAAAACCAAAAAAGAATTTCGATTTCACATGTTGTCATTTTATACTTTGTAACTATTTGCTTTTAAGTCAAATGAAGATAAGGACAACATGTCTTTTTTTCTTCAGTTCTGTTTTGTTTGAATCGGAACAGTGTGAATACCGTGTTCTTCACCTGTCGCATCTACCAAGGCTCTAGCTGTGCTTTAATAAAACTTCAGTTTTTTCAATTTACTTAATTATCTTTGAATTTATTGTCCCTACTGCTATATTTCAGCATAATTGGTAAGGAGTACGTTTGTTTACCCAACGGCTGTCATAGATATTGACATATGAGCCTTAGATATTAAATACATTATAAAAATCTTTGAGCGTAGTTTCACTGATTATTTTATATCTGAAAAATCGTATGACGAATACTGTCCTGTTCGACATTGTTGCTGTAATAACTTCGTTTACTGTAATTTTTCTTAAAATTTGATGTCGCAATCGTTTATAGAGCACTCAAATTAACATCAGTTCGTGAAAATAGAATAAATGATATTATCAATATTTACGATCCAAGTANTCAAGATGCTCGATACAATAAACAGACCAAAGCAATCGATATTCAAGTTCAGTACAGTGGTGGTTGTGCCGAACATGAATTTCAACTCAAAGTTGGCTCTTGTCGAGAAACTTATCCTGTTCAATGTGATGCGAAGTTGATCGACTTAACAGTAAACGATTATTGCGATGCGATCGTCTCTCGTGAAGTTTCAATCAGTACTCAATCGATTGGCTTAGATGATGGTTATTACGCTGGTGCAACCATTCAAATATATGGGGGCGCGAATACAAAAGCTAAGCTTGTTCTTCCATAAACATTTGTACGCCGATTGCACGTGTTTATTTGTATTGAAATAAAATGTGTATTTTCGCAATATTTTTTCGTTGTCTACTTTGAATAGTCTATATCGTCATTGATAGAATTATAGTCTTCCGTTCTTAAATATGGAAAAGATTGATACTAGCGCTTTTTCCTACGGAAATACTTCGTCATATCATGACATGATCTATATGCATTCAAAGGACTCAAGGAGCGTATCGATGTGATTGTAGATAAATATGATAAACAGAATATAAATTTGCAGCGCATATCGAAAATAACGTGCGACTTCATCTGCCAATCAATTTCTTCGGAACAAATTCGATTGCTGACATTATCTGATGATGAGAATACAATTTCACATATGCATCTCAAGTCATTAATATTGACTGAAATCGATGAACAAGACTGAGCGAAACACTTGCTTCTAAGCTTCATTATCAACCTCATCTGACATCTTTGTCACTCATACCCTACGGATCTTTACGTCCGACATCTGATGAAAAACTACCGCTGAAATCTTTCACTTTAGGTGAATGTAGCATGTATATAACACTGTAGTTTTAGGAAACAGGCTAAAACTTTCGAGCGTTGTGATCAAATACAGATTTAACGAAATGAGAATGTACGATGAAGGCGGTTTAGTGGAATGGTTAACAAAACGTGTGCCAAGATTAAAAGAATTTGAATTCATAAGTATACAGGGATTCCACTGCGAAAGTACTTATTTATATTTATGGATGGGTCAGTGAGAAGACAATAAATCTTTCATATTAACTTGACTCGGACCAATACAATTTGTGTTACTGTACTGAAGAGTCAATCAGCTATTTGTTTGTGAATTGTTTCTCTTTGTGAAATAAAATGGAAGATTCTTTTGTGTCAATTCAGGAATTAAAACGAAAAGTTTCGGGCAACTACTGCGTGCTATTACAATGAGGAAATCAATTCTATTGATATTGAAATGAGCTATCGCGGCTGTAAGGAACATACATTTCATCTCACAATGCGGCGTTTGTCATGAAAGTTATCCACAGTTCAATGCACTGAGAAATTGTTTGATTTAATAAACGATGTATGTGAAACGTTCTTTCTTGATCGAGCATTATTTAGTCTTGAATCACTCGGCTTAAATACCCGTTACTACTCTGGCAGAACCACTCGTATCAAAGGTGGAAATGGTACATCGGCTACTGTTGTTCTTCCAGAGTTTTCGTGGAATTTTTTCTCATGTGTATTAATGAATGTGTATGTAGACGAAAGAGACAAGCAAAATAAATATTCTGTATCGCGTGTAACGACTTAACTAACCAACTAAAACATGATTGTTGGTGCAAACATTGAGTGAAATATGCCATCTATCGCAATTTTGTTTTGATTTGCTTATATGAAATGACGTATGTAATTACATAACGTTGCCAAAGATGGTTGTGACTCGTTTCATACTGTCATACATTCGTAATGCCAAGTCCAACGATGTTTGATCGGTTTCCGACCGAACTAGTCTTTGAAACGTTCAGGTATTTAACAACTTACGATATTCTGCGCGCATTCAAGGGCCTCAATCGACGTATTAACATGGTGTTAACAAATTACCACAAATACAATTTGAATTTTCAATCATGGCCAAAAGACAAATTCGATTTTGTTTGCGAATCCATTTCTCCTGACCAAATTCAATCTTTGGTGTTATCCGATGAAGACGATACAGTTCGACAAATTCATCTCTTCTTTCGATCGTTCTACATTCGACGATGTGTAAATCTCAAATCATTAACACTGATTGCAATCGATGAGCAAGATTGGAAGAAAATTCAAAGAAAACTTCATTTCTTATCAAATTTAACTTCCCTTTCATTTCGATTGTCACATCATCTATCACCGATCAGCGTCGAATTGCCACTGAAATCTTTAGTTTTGAGTATATGTACAACGAATGAATTGCATCAATGGCTTCTGCACACACCGATGTTAATCAATTTAGAAGTTGAATTGATTGCTAATGTATCCGACAATGATTTTCGTTTAAATCCAATTAGCACGAATATTCGCCGATTGAAAATCAAACTTCCTGAAAAGTCTAACATAACATTTGAGGATCTCGAAGCACTTTTTCTCTGTATGCCGAAAGTGAAGTTCGTGACATTTACTGTCGTCAAAGGATTTCGTTTATTTCACGGTGATCGTTGGGAAGATCTACTCCGAAGATATTTACCTCAGTTAGAAGATTTTCGTTTCAAAAGTCATCCCAGTTTGGGCAATGTCACTCCTACACAAGTAATATCTGCATTTCAAACACCTTTCTGGTTACACGAACATCAATGGATTGTTCATTGTGATTTTCATGGTATACTCAATCAACATCATCGTAACGTGATAAATATTCACCTCTATACATTACCTTACCCTGATGATCAGTTTCATTTAACTACGTCAACAAAGTCATTAACTAAGCATTCAAAAGATGCATTTCAATCGGTCAAAGATCTATATCTATCAATGGATTCCGACATGTCTACACATCTGCTCGAACATTTTTATTTTCCTGACCTTGACTCATTGACCATCCGTAACTTACATCAATTTCCATCGTTGATTGATTTGATTAACCTATCTCATATTAAGCATCTAACCATCGAACAAAACAATCCTATCCAGCCTCAAGAATTCTTCTCGCATATTCTAGTATATTCCATTAATCTTCGATCGTTGAAAATCTCTTGGCATTCGCTGATGGAAATCACTCGGGAGTTCACCGATCAAAATATATGCTCGATATTGAAGAAACAGATTAAACATTTACATGTATTCGACTCTGCAACGAAAATCGTTCCAGACAAGGGTAAACAAGTCGAATGTCTGATCAAATTATTTTCGAAAAATCTTGAAAAACTCAACGTACATGTTCCATCGCTGGATACTATTGCCTTACTATTAAATAAAATGTTGAAATTAAACAGTATGGCTGCAGAATATGAGTCAAACTCCAACAAGATGGATAGTGATCTTTTATTGCCATGGTTAACAGAAAATGTTCCGAAATTGAAAAACTTTACTCATCAAATACGATACACGTCGAAATCTCGAGTTCAATTACTTTTTTGGTTGAGTCACTGAGAGAATTCTCGTTTAACAGTCGAAATAAATCATGATAAAATTCTTTTGTTTAGCAATGATATCGACTTTGTTGTCGTCATTTAAATCACTTGCAGCTGATAAGATTTGAGAAATTTGAGAAATCACGCCAATCGAGACACATTGGCAGTAGCCCACGGTTGCATTTTATGTGCACGTAACACGTTAAATTAGTGATATTAAGATTGGACGTATAAGTCGATTGTGCCCATGTTGGATCTGTTTTTAGTAAATGTTTCTTTCACAATGCTAGCAAATGATGTGTTGGAGTCAAATGTAAATTGACAAAACGTTCCGAACCATGATGATGTACAATTATAAAATCGATCCAATACACCTGATGTTTCTAATCTATTTTGAAAACTTACGTAGTTTTCGACAAGATCGATCGAGGCAGACCAAGAAAGTAGATCTTGTGCACTGACATTCATTGCTTTCAAGTCATCGAATGTATAATTTGATAGTATATTATCTCGTGTCTCCACAGAAATTTGATATAATCATCTACATTGAACTGCAGACAGTCATGATACAAAGCATCTTTACTTATCGAATCAGTGTAATACAGGTTTAGCTGAGCGTGAATTGGCCTACACATCGTGATTAGCGTCGTCGTCGCAAGGATGATCATGATGGAAGTAATAACCATTCTTACTATATTAACTGAATATAAGAATACGTATATAGCCAAAGCTTTATGCGCGTGTTAATGGAATGTTAAAAAAAAACTTCAGTGCCATCAAAGTCAAATGCTAAATATCATCATTTACTCTATCAATCAGGCTGACACGTTTCATAAACATTGTCATTGTCATGTTTTTTCATAGTGGCATAACGTGCAACCGAAACATATAGGAAATATACATATAAAGAAAGTGATTATTACCACGTATAATCAAGTGTAGTACGCAGTATAGTTATTTAGTGACTGAAGTGCCCATATGACATTTTTGTGTATTCATTTTCACTATCACAACTGTTTGATTTTTAATGCTATTGGTGGACAAATTTTAACAAAACTTCAGAATTTCTCAGCTACCCACATTGATTTCATATACTTAAATGTTATTTTTTTAGTTGTGAAATTTCCGTATTCATCATAATTGAATGATGAAGGTAAGTGTAGCCATGTTACTCAACTCCTCCCATTAGTTTTTCGTTAAGATATTACATGCAGCAACAATTTCTTTTTCTTGTTCTTCCATCGACGCTCCGATATGTTTACTTTCTTAAAAAGATGAGAATGTCATGGAAGTTGCCATCGCTGCATTCATTTTACTGCCTGTCGTTATGTTCACCACGTGTTTGGTGTCATTACAGTTTCATGCGTTGTGTAATAACAACATAAACCGAACAAAACCTTGTATAAGAAGAAAAATTTCAATCGTATAAACAATCCTGAATTTTAACATGGCATTGTCTTCTACATGGACGGGCCGAATAGCTAAACTTAGTGAAAATAAAACTCTGAAATCAAGAACATGTAAAGTGTTCTTGAAACATCCAGAAAGAGATATATGTCAATGTGGTCGTCTAAAGCCGAGCCATAGTTATGAAACACTTGATATGAAAACTCTAACTGATCGAGCCGATCAAACCAGAGAATGGAATGAATTTCCAGACACAACTGCAGTTCCTATCAACGTCTATGGTCAATTATCGTCCAATGGACCGAAATTTGTTCGTTGTGACAATCGAACGAAGCCGGTAGACTTGTATAATTTAATTCTCGACGATTGCAACAATCAAAAACCAAATCTGTTAATAAGTGCTTATGGCGGTGCAAAATTTTTCACCCTAAGTGAACGTATAGAGAAAGATTTTGTTACTGGTATTATTGATTTAGCCACAAGAGCAGGTAGGAAAGAGTAGCATACACAAAAGTTGCGATACGAGCTTTGGGTTTCTCTTTCAAAGATGCATGGATTCTGACAGCAGGTGTAAATAATGGCGTCGCAAATCTGATTGGTGAAGGTATTTCGCAATATCGAGTACTGAAACAACATCCGAAATCGATTATATGTATTGGTCTGACGCAATGGGGAAGTCTGACTGAACGGACACGATTGAAATTGAAACAAACGACTCCAGTAAACATTACGTATTGATAGTATTTTCTATTAGCTATTTTATTAACAGAATTACCCTGAACAGCTGACCTATATTAGACAAGCTGAGCCAAACCTGGAAGCAGATAGTGAAGATCTGGAACTAAATCATACACATTACATTATATTAGACAACGGTCAGTTGCGTGGTCATCTCAGTGATAAGCCGCGCGAACAATTCGTCAGTCAAGCGACGCAAGATGGCAGCTGTAAGTATTGTAAAATATATTCTATCAACTATACATGCCGCATGTTTAGGTTATGGAATCACGATTATCGTGGAAGGAGGTGCAAATACTCTAGAAGTCGTTCAAAATGATCTTGATGCGAAACGGCCTGTTGTTTTAATCCAAGTACGTGACCAGAGGATTTTCGTATTGACTGAATTAACGTGAAATATTCGCCTAGAAAAGTGGCCGAATATCGGATGTGCTGGCGAGTTTGATACAGTTGACGTCAAGTGCTGATCGAACCAAGTCTAGGTACGAATCTTTCTACATGTCTATTCGAAGGTGTATCTGCTTTATTTAGAGAACCGACTCAGGCGGAAGTCGAAGAACATCTTTATAAATATTTTCCTGCGTTGAAAGAAGATAGAGATCGAACGACTCGTATCAAACAGATTCTTGAAATTATGAAAACTACGAATCGATACTTATTACATGTCTATCAGCTCGATGGAGAGAAAAGTATGTCGGAGACCATGTTTCAAGCTATTTTCTCAGGTACAATAATGAATGACTCTGTCCTTTCACATAATAACCATCGATTGAATTGCTTTAGCTTATAAAGACAATCCCGACGATGCTAAACGTGCACGCCTGCTTGATTTATCGATTCGATGGAATTTCCTAGATGGTGCAAAGGAATTACTCGAAGTAAATAACACACAGAGAGAAAAAAGTGGTCAAACAAAGGTAGGAAATGTATGTTCTCTCGATCGTTTTCCAGCTTTCTGCTATGTAGGATAAACCATTGTTAGGAAAATTGTTCAAACAAGCGTTAGAACAGAACCGACCATCTTTTGTCGACTATTTTCTTCGCTGTGGTTACGATCCAAGAGATCTACCAAGTGTCATGAGTCAAACGTCCTCGGAACAGGAACCTATGTTCACCAATGTAGATACAGCAAACAAATGTCAAAACTTCGTTCTGAGTTTATACAATCATATAAAAAAACATGCGTACGAAGTAAGCACAGTCCGATTTACTTGAATACTGTAGTGAATGAACGGTTTGCTGGCTTTAGCATCATAATAAAGAGTCAATTAAATTATTTTATGGTCCGAGAAACGAGTTGAACAATGTTGAGTCACTAAATCGAAGACTTAGGCGATGGTTGGGTTCCTATGTCGATGTGGTTTATGCTGCTAAGGCACAGACATTACTAGCGATTCCATCGACTAGACAATTACTCACTAAACATTTCAATAATCAAGTTGCAGCTGAGAAAGGCGAAGCAATTGTGCAGTTTCACGATGGTACGCCGAAAAGCAGGCCTAGTATTGACCATATTACGACAGTCGGCATCACTCCTGACAACATTGCAGACAGTAGAACGGATTTGAATTATTCTCAACAAGAGATGCTCAGAGATTTGTTCCTTTGGTCTGTATTTATGGATCTTTCACTAATGTCGAAAACAATTCTCATTCATATGCAAGAACGGATTTGTGCTTCATTAATTGCCGCGAAAGTTTTCAAAGCATACGCCGATGAAACACCAATTACTGATTTGAGAGATCGATTGAATCGACAAGTGGTCGAATTCGAAAATTACTCAGCAAAATGTGTCGATACATGCTATGAAGTCAGCGAACCACTCGCTTGCCAATTGTTGATGAGAGCCGTTCCAAGGTTTGGCAATGTTACATGTATGCAAGTGAGTACATTCTATTCGACAAACGATTGGACAACGGTAGGCTAAACATAGGTTGCAATATCAGGTAAAAACGCGAAATTTTTGGAAACAGCATGTTTCGATCATGTTCTCAACCAAATTTGGTATTATAAATTGGCTCTTTCAACCAAATCTCTCTCATCGAAGGTTCGATTGTTCGGCAGTATAATCACACTTGGTTTGCCTGCACCGTACCTTCTTGAATATCGATCGAAGGAAGATTGTTATTCAAGTGTAAGCGACAGAGGATCAGCAGGTAATCTGTACTTTCTACTATTTGTTCTAGGAAATATTAACGGAAGAGGAGAAAAATGCAAAGTAAATTGAGAGTGAATGATCATTGGATAGTCTTGAAGAATCGATTTCGTTTAGATTATCTGAAGATGGCATCATGTACGATATTTATGACGATCAGCCTAGTTTCCTGCAGAAATTTACTAGTTTCCATCAAACTCCCGTTGTTAAAATGTGCTACCATGTTGTAAGCGCGAAATAGTTTCACAAAATAACGCTACATTATATTTTCCTCCTTATTCAGATATCGTACATTCTCTTTCTGCTAATATTCAGCTACATGATGCTTTATCATTTCGATTCACTTGCTGTTACTAATGGAACACTCCATTGGACTGAATATGCAGTGATTATCGTTGTTACAACTATGTTTTTGGAAGAAATACGACAGGTAGATATATAGAGTTGAAATATATTCTATTTCGAAGTATTGTTTGTATAGATTGTTCATGATTTACATACAAAGATGCTTGAAAAATGGAATACGACCACTCATTTGATTCTAACCAAGTTAGCCAATCCATTCTACGCATTGCCATTTCTTCTTTTCTACCTGGGAATCTTGTTACGCTATGCATTTGGTAATACACCGAGTGTATTGTCAGCTGCACGCATTCTCATGGCATTCGACTTGGAACTGTGGTATCTTCGTTCGCTGAAATTTGTTATTGCACTTAAGTTTCTTGGACCTAAACTTTTCATGCTTAGAAATATGGTAAGACAAATATGAAATCATTATCGACTGATTTGATCGTTGTTTCAGTTACGAGACTTAGCTGCATTTGTCTACATGATATTCATTGCGATTGCTGCATATGGTGTTGTTTCTCGTGCGTTGTTTATGTATAAGCAAGTACCATTTACAGGACGTGGAATATTCGAAAATATATTCTATCCGCCGTATTGGTTTATCTATGGGAATCCAAATGATACGACAACACTGGATAGTAAGAATATCTGCATAGACTCGTATTTCTCTGTCATGTATTTGATTTTTAGATATCATACATGATGAAAATAGTTCATTTATTGCCGAAGCAACTGCTACACATGTCCTACTAGCTTTTCATATGTTATTTATTAATATTTTGTTGCTCAATTTGCTCATCGCTGTTTTCACGTGAGAAAATCCTGTTTTTCTTTTCGATTTGATGACGAAGATTTCTTCTCTGTAGCCGTACGATTGACGAAGTTCAAGAACATACGGAATTCTATTGGCGTTTTCAGCGTTACTCATTCGTACGTGAATATTTCGAACGGCCATGGTTAGCATATCCGCCATTGATAATTATTCCACATTTGTGGATTGTGGGTCGTGCATTGTGGAAGAAATGCTGTTCTTCGAAGCACTACGATGCTCGAACGGAACATCATTCTGTTACAACGCCGATTTTCAGTAAGAAAATCAAATCTAACTCTCGAATTCGAGCGTGATCTGTGTTCGAACTTTTAGAAATGGTCCCATTAAATCGCAAGATATTCCACGAACGATGGAATAAATTCGAGAATGCCGCAACGTATAGTTATGCTCGATCTATCATCAACTTTGAAAATACGAGCAAGTCGAATCAACAGAGAAAATCAGCAGAATCGTTCGTAGAAAGACTGTGTGAACGCATTTATGAATTCTTCTTCTATTATTTTTTTAAGGACAACTACAGTACAAACACAGGAAGATATGCAAAGACAATTAAATGAAATTACCATCGCACTGAAGCGTCTTACAGAATCATTAGTACGATCGGACGTCAATGCTCAATCAATATCACAAACATGAAATCATTTAGGCAGAAGGTTTTGTAAATACCATTGATATCCATCCTCATAATTTTGGTTATAAAAATGTAATAAACAATCAAGAAAATCGTCGACGAACATACTATTAGATGATTGATTGCAGCTGACCACAGGTAATTTGCCTAAGTATGTGCAAGACCAATTGCTTGTGTATCGAACGAACGAACACATCAGAGGTATACAGCCGGACCCTGGCCAACTACACGGCATGCGACCAACAATATGGTTGGGTTGCAACATATTCTTAGTTTGTTTCACTTGGTTTACTGTGATTGGAATCACTTTTCTAGATATAATTTTGATGCAGTTCGTGATCGCAGTGCTGCGCGTATTGAAATTTTGTTTGCCGAGAAACTGATAAACAGCATTGCCTAATGCGTATTGCTCGATACAGAAAGCTGAACCGGGAAATGATGGATTCGGATCTTGATAAACTGAGAAAGGCTGCGGTTCAATCCATTTAATCCATGCTTGTTTCCACAGGGAGAAGAACGAAGAGATGACCGTTGATTTGAATCCCATAAAACAAGCTTGTGGTATCATTGCTAACGGATGCTGTTCACACCATTTCTTTATGAAATCGGTATCGTACATAACATGGTCAAGAATAAAGTAGAACATTTGTGAAGATGAATGAAAATCATGTAAACTAGATGTCATATTATTGTAAATGGCCGTATCGGAATCCATCCAGTAGATTTCTTCGAATCCATCATAAGAAAATTTGATAATATCAAGTTTATACTGTGTTAAATTCCAGTCTTTTAGAATTGGCGAACTTGAAATTGGTTTACATAAAATCCGGTAATGGTATTGTCGACTAATGTTATTCAAAACTAAGGATTTCGTATCTTCATTCATTACTAACAGTCCAACCATAATATTTGGTGTCGATGCTAAGAAAGAATTTATTGAATTGATTGTCATTGTTGTATATCGTTCAGTGCCATCGGCAAAAAAGCAGACAATCGCTGATGGGACTTTATAAAGTTTCGAACAGTTTTCAAAAGCAGATGTGTATAAGCCAGAAATCATATATTTCGATAATTCATCATTAAGATTTCCTTTGGGATTTTGTGTCAGGGATTTAACTAGCCAACGTTGTAAAGCCGCATGCAACATTGCTTGATTTGATATAACAAGATCAGTGTGATCGAGAATATCTGTTAGAACCTCGAGAGGAAGTTTTAGAAAGTCAGCCTGGTGGCAAATATAGAGAAAGTATTTCGCCGCAGTCTCAATGCATTGCTTGCGTATGGTTGCCCAGTTATGGGAGAGATACTTCTCTAAGAATAATAAACGTAAGCAATTATGTGCATCGATGTGACTCGCAAGAGAATTCAGCAAAACCTTGTGTAAGGATAGAATTTGGTACATGTCGGCAATTTCTAATAGCGATTCTAATTGGTCAAAGGTGAGTTTTTCGACTTCCATCACACCGGTGTAAAGATACTTTAACATATCTGAGAATACTTGAACATCGTTGACTTGTAATGATATAGTTTTGCTGGTAGATTCCGTCATGCCACTCTGAAACATGGCTGCGAAATAATCGGAACCAGCTGCTAGAATCGCTCGATGTGCTTTGTAACGATTCACATCATTGACAATCAATTCCACATCGAACATCAGATGATCAGTGTAGAGAATCATACCAACGTCATGGTAACGGGTTCGTTCATTTTGTGTAATTGTCTCTTGTGCATCGTATCGGTCGAGAATCAGTTGCATGAAATCTTCTCTATCAAGAATATTGCTATCTTTATTTTTTCTTTCATTTGGATTCAAACGCCAATGTTCGTTATTGATTTTATATTTATATTCGTAGGAATCGGGTACGAGTTGTATGACTTGACTGAAAACAAATTCTTCGGCGTTTCTCTGATAAGCATATGTCAGTATCGCAATAGGTTCTGTCCAACTCGTCTTTGAAAATGAACCGTACAGTTCGATACGATCGGATCTCGACTTTGCACAAAATTGAAATGTAACAGGATACTTTCGTTGTCTCCAACACTGAGCCATAGTTTGAATCGAATGAAATGCTTTTTATTATCGAAAAGTATGTATTTACTTTAGTCATTTTCTTACTTTTTCTGTCTGTCGAAAGTAACAACGGTAAATATCAGTAGCACATGTAGGAAGAACAAAAAACGAAAACAGTTGTGTAAGTAACAATTTCTTTAGCTATAGATGCACGTTTGACAAAACCTATTCAGGTACGATTACACATCGATAGTAAACAGATCCGTCGGATGGTATTGTTTTTGGATCTTCATAGACATAGTTTGATTCCATTGCCATAAATACATGTATCTCATCGTAGCTCGATTGGAGGAAGGCATCAGCATCACCTCCAGTTGGGACATGTTTATACGAAGAATACCTTAATAGAGCATAGAAGTTGCCTACTAACAGGCCGCTGACCGTGACTGTTCCGTTCATCTCTCGCGGTTCAGGGAAAAAGTATGGTACTTGTTCATCACATGCCGAAACAGACAGATGAACGGGTAATGTTACTCCATCCTTATCAACGATCCCCGTAATAGCGATACCATAATCGATCTATAATATCATGTAGACTGGAGTACATTGCATAGTGAGAAAATTCTTACATTCAATGGTAAACATCCGTCGTCAGCATCTTCTTTATCATCAATGCTTGCTCGTGTTGCTGCAAACTCTTTTTCGTTTAAACCCTTTTCGATTTGTTGAAGTTCGTATAAATCATAGTAGATGAGTTTATCATGATCCGGATCATGCTCATCTTCATTTTCATATTTTATGCCAACTGCAGGAACGATATGATCATAGTCGTCACAATCGTCGTCAGGAAGAAAGATGCCAAATACGACCGGATGTCCTCGTAGAATTGATCGTTTCATCCACTGGCAAAATTGACGGAATTGCGGTTGAGGAGTGTCCTTCCAATTCCATTCGTCATATGTCAAATGAAGTTGTGTCAAAGTTTGCAATGGATCTCGACGATCTTCGGACGATACTGGTTGCAGAAGATATTCACCTTTGTTAATTTTACGGATCAGACCTTGAGAAATCCAAGCACCGAATTTGAGAGCTAGTGATATATGATAGTGCAATGAAAGAAAGAGTAACCTTCACTTGCGATATTTACCGATCGATTGAATGGATACTTCGCCACAGAAGCCATTTCCATGTTTCCATTGTAAGCGTGGTGGAATACTGAGTAAAACAGTTGTTGCAGACATGTGTGTTTTTGTTCTTACCGTAGTTCGATGTCGATCTGCTCGAATATGCGGCATTATATACAGGTAGAATTTTACAGATGTCAATAATGTAACTCGTTACAACGCATTAATTGCGCAAGATATCTTAAAAATGACTTTGGTGGATTCTTCCTTTCTGGCATAGATAAGAATATTACCTTGGCATGCACGTTACGACATTATGTTTTTTCTTCTTTCTTTCTTTTCCACGCTTAATATCTATCATGGACGACAACATGTTTTTTTCTTTTCGTCTTCATGCAAGCATGAAAAAAACAAATATACTATTTCGCTTTCCTTGTCAATCGTTCGTTCTCTCGTATACCCACTCGGTTCCAATTGCACTACTGCTCTCAGTCAAGCCTATGCAAATATCATTGCAAACTATAGATAACATGAACTACGCGTTGTTCTTGTTTACAAACATTGAAGATTAAATGCTTGATACTGACTGACAAGCTGTAGTCAATTTAATTATCGAGTATTCTGAGAGCATAAAGACAAAGTTACACAAAGCGTACAAGAATATCTATGTAGTAGTTTATCGCGAGTCTATTGTGCTTCATTCCGGCTATTTGGATTCACTCGTCTCGTTTTCCATTTTCGAATGCAATATGCCACCAACTCGACTGTCAAAGGTACAGTCAATTTTAGCACTGTTGCTAAACCACCAACTAATCCAATTAATGTTGTTATTATGTAAATAGGAGCATTTTGCGTCTCATAACTATAAACACATTCTACTGGCTGACATTGCTCATAATAAATTTCATACATTGTGTTGATATTCCATTGTTCGATCATCAAGTTTTTCAGAAGATCGTTTACTGTTGAATTTATGCGATAGTTGCTTGATAATGAAATATTCAAAAATGTTATGTTCGATGGACGTTTGTCCGACATGTACAATTGAATTGTGTCGATACAATTCTGATCATAAAGGCACTCTAGTGTTGATTTGAGTAGTGCTTCAACTGTATAGCACCCGACATCGAAACCAGGTATTAAAAGCGACGGCAAATCGGTAGAATTATCCCAAATGTAAGTCGATTCAGTACATTGAGCCGAGTGAGCGCAACTACAGTTGTTATAGGTACGCTGCGCCGTACTAACTGAAGATCCGCTTGGTCCGGTAAAAAAGTCATGACTTGACAAAGTTCCTGATGTAAGAGAGTTGCTTTGAGTCGTTTCGCGTATCATCGAAATAGACGACAGAAAATCATTGATTGTGAAGAGTTTAAACTCAGTAATCAATGCTTGAATTTGTAATTCAAGCACCTTATACGATGTGACAGATGATCTAATATATTGACTTGAATAGAATTGATTTAGAGCATTCGAAATCGTCTGATTGCTCAACGTGCAGAAGTCACTAAGTGCACGAAATCTGTATATGAAGTTCATTCGGAAGTCATTTGGATTGATGGACGTCGGATCAGCTTTAGGTATAGTATTAATCCATTCTTCAGATACGAAAATACTTGTACAGATTTGATGAAATGTGTAATTAACATCAAGAATCGCTTTGTAGCTAATTGAGATTTGTTTACATGGACAGGATAGCGTTTGAGAATATGAAGAATTGAGACGAGCATACTCTTCATAGGAAGGTACTGGCACGTGGACTCTCTTCGTGATTTTCACAACGGATGTGTAGAGAAGAAGAATGGCCAATGATAGAATGAAGAGAACAAGAAATATTCGAGTGGAAATTATTTGATTGCAAAGCTTGTACTGATCAGTTGAAGGTGGAATCGACGGAAACAGATTGAAGTTTTGTAACGAGTATTTTAACTTTTCATACAATATATTGACTCGTTCACGAGTAGTTAACACTGCAAACGTAGAAAACAAAACTATATTGCATTTCTGAGATGAAAGTCAATGTTTCAAGTAACACGGTACAATTTATTGTGTCACTCACCGTTGAATGTGTTTTGTTGTCGCTTTTTTCGTCTTATCAGCTTCACTACGAATGGTACCAAGATCCTCAGACCTGTTGATAGACCGCCAATTAACCCAATCAACGTTGTAATGATGTAAAGCAAATCATTCCTCGTCTCATAAATATAAGTGCATTCAGCAGGGTGACATTGCTTGTAATAATCTTCATGGTTGACGGACGAATTCCACTGTTCGATCATTAAATTTTGAAGAATGTCATTGAAGGTAGTGTTGATTAAGTAGTTACTGGGAAGTGATGAATTCAGAGCTGTTACTGCGATTGGTGGAGAATATGTCACATACGATATAACTGTGTCGATACAATTTTGATCGTAGAAGCACTGAAGTGTTGATTGAAGTAATGATTCGATTACATAGCATCCAATGTAGAAATTCGGTACTTTAAATAGAGGCATAGAGACTGGATAAGTGTAAATAGAAGATTGTCGGACACAGGTACTTGAAGTGGGACAAATGCAATCATCATCAAATCGGGCCAAATGTATTGCCAAAGAACTTGTAAATCGATCGATACGTATTGTGTAACCGACGAGAAAGTTCGAAAGCAAAGCATTGCCTTGAGTTGTTTCTCGAACCATAGTGAGCGATGACGAAAAGTCATTAATTATTGACAATTGAAATTGATCGATTAACGCTTGAACTTGAGATTGGAACACATCATAGAGTATGACAGAAGCAGTAACAAATTGATTCGAATAGAATCGATTCAGACTATCCGATATTGTCTGATCAATCAAGTTACAGAAGCTTTTGATGGCTTGTAATGCAGAAGGGAGTGTGTTTCGAAAATCATCCACAAAAAGATCGATTCTTCCGACTACTACTGTAGGACTCAAATTCAAACCATTCATCCGACAGGAAAAAACTTGTACAAACTTGATGTAATGTATAATTGACATGAAGGATGTCTCTGTAATCAATCGAGATATTTTGACATGGACAGGATAATGTTTGAGAATATGAAGAATTGAGACGAGCATACTCTTCATAGGAAGGTGCTGGCACGCGGACTGTCTTCGTGATTTTCACAACGGATGTGTAGAGAAGAAGAATGGCCAAAGATAGAATGAAGAGAACAAGAAATATTCGAGTGGAAATGATTTCATTTCGAAATTGATGTGCATCTGTAATGGATTCCATGGACGGGAACAGATTGAGATGCTGTAGATATGTTTTGCATTTGTCCCATAATCGATGCATCTTGTGGGAAATGGTGTCTGACACTGGAATAGCCATGTCAAATAGATTTCGATTTGTGTTAAGGCTCTTACATACTTGCGATTCGGTTGACGAGAAAAGTGGAAAATTCAGTTTTTGTTGCGGAAAAGTTTATAAGCAGGCACCCGTATCTGCCATTTTGAAAAAATGATGGTTATACAGTAAAAACTACTTCTCTTCAAGGACGGCATTAACATACGGTCCTCTGATTTTTAAGATTATTTCTTTTCTTCACGTTTTAATTGAAACGTTAATTATAGTCGACATCCGGAGAAAATAATTTGTCACGTTTTATGTAAATACTCAAAGCAATATCAATATTCTTTCTCTTTCCTGTTTCCATAGAAACGAGCCGTCTTCGGTATTGCAATTAAAACAAGGAAATCAAAGTTTGAACAAGCCTTTATTGTTTATTTGTTACGGATAAAATGCATATGAGATGCATGCAATCTTTCTTTTTATTTCACATTGTTCAAGAAGAACTAATTAAATCTTCGACTGTGCACCAATATTCATCCCATCCAATTCCTTCTTGAACCCAATCCGCACTCTCAACTGGGAACAATGCATCCATTACCATTTGTGCAATTTTCAAATAAGGCAGTGTATCATGTGCAGTGTCGAATTTCTCTGCATACATCAGTGCTCTGATTGTCTTCAGCACATGTTCATCGGGATGTGTTAAGCATTTCTCGATCAGAGGCAGCCATGGATTTATTGCATCGGAATACAGATGCTCGTTTGATACTTGATATTCATTGCATAAATAATCAACATTGAGCTTTGGTCGGCCACGTGCAACGTAGTATAAAAGGTCAGTTGCGAACTTTGCTTTCATCAATTTCAACTGATTTTGTTTGCTTTGAAGTGAATGAACGATAATATCCAAGAAGAGACCACTTGTAGTTGCATGCATGAGAAAAAAATCCAGACGAGGTGGTTTGTTTGGTCGTATAGCAGCTACATTTGCTAGAATACTCGTTCGTCTAGCGTCATTCAAGTCTGGTTTCCACATTCGTGCATATTCTGCAATTAACGGACCACCACCTCTTTGTAGAAGTACGGGCGTTTTCGGTCGAGCATCGGTGTAAACGATCATATCATCAAATCGATGATCATTTCTGATCAGTTCAATAATTTCCAAAGCTGTTTTATCACCATCTCCACTAAAATTCGAATCTAAACGATCGACAACATCTTTAACATTGATTCGATCAACCGCTGCCATAGCTAGACCTTCAATGGCCATTCCTTTCGATTGAAACTCAAGAGCATATCCAAGATGAATGAATGGATGATAAGCGCCAGCCAAAATAAGACCAAGATATCCTTTGTTAAATGTATAATCTTCGATTAGAGCTTCCATCTTTCCTTGATACTTTTCACTGATTAATTCATTTTTAAAGAATTCCAAATAATCATGATAATACTTATCGTCACCTAAGCATTTTTCGGGATCGAAGTTATCTCTTTGATCAAGTGCAGCTAAAGGCTGTTGAATTTTTGTATGTTGTTCAAAGATGTGTTTCAACGTTTGAGAAGAAGCACCGAATCCTAAAGCAGCTAGAAGATGATGCGCAGTATGATTGTGAAAACCGCCTGGAATATTGAAAAACAGATGATGAACTTCGTGATTCTTTTCGAGGAGATCAGAACATGTTCGAACTGCTTCAGGTTGAATACCAGGTAATAGACAGACATCATTTTTTCTGAGAAATTCATTGCATGACAAAGCAAACATGATGCAGTAAGTTAGCACGAGTGATGTAAGGACAAAAAGTTGATCTAATGGTTATCGCCATTCACGTGGCGTGTATTATTTATCTTTTTTCTTTCTTTTCTTCAACAATGTCGTTCGTTTTATTTCGTTCTCTTTACGTAATATGTTGACTTATATACAATCAGATTTATTCTGCAATTGAATTTTTAGTATTTATTCACTGTATCTGTTCGTCTACATGATCCTACATTTTTCCATTTTGCTTTAAACCCTGGTAAATTCAAGCTGGGCAGTTTCTTCGTCGGACTTTCTCCTGGCTTGTTCGTTTGGAGAGCTTGATATTTTATTCCATGAGCACTCACTAAGCTACCACGCAAGTATTTCATCGTCGTATTCCAAACAGGTGGGCATCTTTGAGGATCATCTTCTAGTTTAATCGATGTTTCACTGCATAAGCCTTTCCAATTGTCAAAATCTGAATTGTAACTTGCCTTTCGTTGACGAAGGAAACATTCGACAGCGGCATTATCGCATTGGCAAGTTCTATAAGCACATGTTCCTTCCGGGTCGATGCATTGAATAGTTCCATTCGACATCTTTTTATATTTGTAAGCTTTTAATAATGGCCTGCACTTCTCGACGGCGGCTTCCGCACTTCCATAACAGTTATCATGTACTTGGCAGCAACGATCTGTTGCATCGACAACCAAATTACCACGTTTACCTTTGCCACACCTGAAACGAAGGGAAAGATAATACTTTATTGACACATCGAAAACTTTACCAGCATCCGTAACCATTGTATGCCAGAGGATTGCCAATAGTGTCGAGAATCAAAGTACCGAATTCAATAACATTCCGATTTTGAATACCAGACACGGCATCTAATAAATCATAGGTGATATTCACAAGAAAGAAAATATAGAGAAGGTTAACGAAGGACATTGCATCTAATCAAGTACACTTTGTTTTCGTTTGAGAAAAGTGCGGATCTTAAATATGAAATATCCTTGTAAATTGAGGATTAGGTGTTTTCATTAATGTCTGGAAAAGTAATGAAGAATCACGTACAATCAGCTCGAAAACAGGTTTGTTAACGATTTTATTTCGTTTTAGATTACCAATTCTATTTCTAGACGATGAAATAAGAAAAAAAAACTGTTTGAAGTCAACACTACTCCATACATTTCAATAAATAAATAAATAATCATCATTATGGGAATTTTTTGTTACAGAGTAGTACACATACTGAAGCTCCATGAATTGCCCGAACCAAGATTTGTATTCATTTTGATGAGCTTGGTTTTAGCTCTTGTCATACACGATCTCCTCGAGTTCGAGTTTTAGTCGGTACATGAGAGCTGGATGGACAACAAAAATGGCATATGTCTCCCATGATCTCGAATTGCGGTAGAAAATATTTATTACTTTGGCATAAACCAGTTGTCTTTTCTTCGTCTGGAATGCCAGTGTAGATAATTACGTTTGCTCTAGAATCTTTGACATCAAGTTCGATTTGACCATTCTTGCGAACAAGTTGACAATAGATACATTTATTTGGTTCACAGGCAGCGAAATAATTGTGATAAGTGCTTGTGTTGAGTCACTATTTGAGGTATTGAACAGAGTGAAATCCGATGGTAACGATCTATTTATTTGCATGTCATGATCTAGGTGATTGACGATTGAAGAGATGCAATTGAACGAATAAAGACAGTTCAGTGTTGACATGCATAATCTATCGATAGGATAAGATCAGATGGACTGATGTGAAGTGGTTCTTGGCATGTACTGTTCATGAATGTGCAAAGGTATACCTCGAATAAGTTCAATTATTCGTCAAAATCGAAATAAGCGTCTAATGGTTTCTATTGCCAGTTTGAGAATAAGTAGAAAAAATTACAATCCTCTGTATTTCAAGTTCTTTAGCAGCAGGAAACGATTGTTTCTCTATCTGTGTCACGCTGTCATTTTTTTACGAGAAAAAGCCTGTGAATTCATTCTTCTACGGGCTTTTCTATTTGGCCTTTGAGTATTCTCATAAAAGCAAACATAATAACAATCAGTGTACTGCTAGAATTTGAGCAGGATTTAACATATCCGCACCCGCTGCAGAAGAAGTAAAAGGTTTTTAGTGTTCAGAAGTTAGTCATGCTCGCATTTATTTACATGAAAACCAGAAATATATCGACGGTTGAAAATAAAGAACGCATCTGTTTCAGCAACTTGTGCAATAACGTAGTCAGTATAAAACTACGAGATGAATAATGTAAAAAATATATGTCAATCTTTCTTTTTCTTGTTCTCGCCATGCACAACGCTTTCAGAGCGGATGAGTCATCTACATCTACACGACATATTTGTACCTGATTGTTTGAAATTTTCCTCTAGATTACTTGACTAGAATGTCTTCAGCGTCCGCATCCACGTTGTCTGGTAAAACCATTCTATTAGAACTTGGGTATGAAAAAGGCTTTAAAGCGAAACAAGAACTGATCAATTTCTTGCGAGAGCAACACGCACGTGTTTCGTATATTCTTACAGCTAGTGTACGTATGTTTACTTTTGTACTTCAATCTGTAAAAATCTTTTTTTCCATCAAGACTGATTATGTTTTCACGACGAATAATGTCGATAATTCGAAGACGCGTCGTGCCAAACAACTCGGTATTCCACTAATCGACGTCGAATATGTGCGTCAATATCGTTCCTCGTCTTCTGGACAAATATCGATTGATATCAATAAGTTTCTCATCAAATCGTCCGAAGATCAAGAGAATTTTACGAGAACTGGCACTATAACCGTCTTAGGTATTGTCGGATTCCTTGTATAACGACAAGCCTTCCTAAAATTGTTATAGAATCTCGACCGAATATGTGTAAAATCAATAAATTCGATGCCAGTAAAATCAAATTATGGAATTCCGACGATGAAAAGCTGCCTTGCTTCGACGAACTGACGCATGGTGCTATTGGAAAATGGGCGATCTTTAAAGTATCCTCACATTGACCTGCTCATCACTCTTCTTTTTTGATATTCTAGGAAACCACTGATAATTCCCACGTTTTCTTCGCTCTTGAACTTCAAATAATTCCCGAACAATACTACAATCCATCGACAAGTGATTATCGCTTGCGATTTCGGTATGAAAAGCAAACTATTACAGAAGGAAAACAGCAAGACAAGAACATTTCGATTCAATATGCCTTTGGAAATGATCCTAATGAGCAGCAACAATTATTTGCATTCTATTACAATCGAATATCCACGATGCCACGTATTACACGTATTCGCGACATGTTACCTAATCAATTAGGTTCAAAATTATTATTACGAGTGAGTTCCTTGCATGTACGGAAGAAAAGCTATGATTGAATTCGTTTTCAGTCGTTGTTCATGCATCGTCTTGATACACAAATACTTGATGAGAATGTATGTCAATTGATTGAATCGATTTGGTTGGAGTCAGTTGGTGATGTGAATAAAATCTTGAGTGTCTCACCTGAATTCATCACTCTCAAAACGGTATGCACGTCTAAAAATGACTGATTTAGTCTCAAATCTACCGTGTTTAGATAGTTGAAGCCGAAGCCGCACTTCTTGAATTGAAATCTACCAATGATTCGGCAGCAGCAACACGCTTTTATTCGCTTTTACCACATCAACCGTCGTGTCAGATTGACCTCGTGAAAAATCGGCGCGCATTGATGGAAAAACTAGATTTATGTCAAGTATGACAAATAGATATCTTTATCTTTTTTGTTGATCGTTTTAACTACCAACAGATGCTGAGGGACATGCTAACAGTGAATGAACTGACAAACTGGAACATGAAAGCGCCAATTGAAGCAAAATACAGAGCGTTAAAGTGCTACATAGAAGTTCTGTCGAGCTCGACACCTGAGTATAAGAATATTGCAAAGTTGATTCAATCATCATCCGATAGGTTAATCAATTTTCACCATTCGTTTTGAGAATACTGAATATACAACATTTTTATTCGTTACAGCAGTGAACAAGTTCATATTCATAATATATTCAGCGTAGCAAAACAGAGTGATAGTTTGAATTTTCGTTCTACACTATCTTACCAACGGCAGTTATTTCATGGATCTAAATATTCGAATTTCCTCGGAATTCTCTCTCGGTAAAACAGTTCATTTCTCATCGAAATTTGTCTATGTTGTCAAATTAGTGGTCTGGTTTTGCCGAAAATGGTGGCGGAAGACTTCGGTGTTGTGCGTACTGATATTGGTTGTCTTGGTTATGGAATTTATTTCTCAGATTCAATTTCTACATCTCTCAAATATACAACAGCAAGCACCGCACGACCCGGACGTCGACTGTTATGCATATGCCAAGTGGCATTAGGCGAATCGGCAAATTACTACTCATTTGCACCAAATCTTACAAAGCCTCCCGATGGCTTCCAGAGTACACATGGAGTCAAACGAACAGAAGATAATCACTCGATGTTTACTGTAAGTTTTAATTTAAGATGAATGCTCTGTTCATAATTGGTTCTAGGATAATGAGTACGCAATCTATCAACTTGATCAACAGCTTTTACACTATGTCGTTGAAGTCTCTTGGGCACCAAAGGATGCTTTAAACATCCAATTGGAACGTTTACCAATCGTTCATCATCAACAATGTGCACTTGACGGTGTTTCAGTTGATGTTCCAACAACGATCGATGATGAAATTATCGAAATGGCGGAGCAAGATTATGGTTTGATATGTCCGTCATCAGGCAAAATCATTCCGCTACGATCATTTCATCTGCGTGCTCAAGTTGTTGACACAACAGTTGAAGTAATTCGATTCATTTTTCGATTTGAATGTCTAATTTTATCTTTAACATGCAATAGGTTGTCCTGTATCAAGTCTATTACAACACGAGTTCGATGCCCATCGAAGCTAAGTACGTTTTTCCATTAGATGAAAATTCCACGGTGTGTGGTTTCGAAGCCCATATTAATGACAAAGTGATTAAAGGTGTTGTCAAAGAAAAAGAACAAGCGAAACAAGAATATCGCGAAGCTATTGCCAAAGGTCATGGTGCTTATCTAATGCATCAAGAAGAAGCTCAGGTTTTCAGTGTAGCTGTTGGTAATTTACCTGCAAATACCGAAGTCATCATAAAGATAACCTACGTTGCCGAGCTAGAAATCGAAAATGGTGATATTATGTTCCGTCTGCCGGCGAAAATGACTTCTTGGCAATCAAAGCAAGCCATAGAAGCACGAGATCAATCGATTCTTCGATCGATCGGCATGGTCGACGAGAAAGTGGAATTCACTCTCAGAGCATCCATTCGAATGCCATATAATATCACAAAACTATTTTCGCCAACACATCGTCTTCGTCGAAAAATAACCAATTGCATTGCCATGGTCGAACTCGTTGATAATGTTCTACTTGACCGAGATTTTATCCTCTCAATCACACTCAATAGTCCGAATTTACCTCGAATATCGACTGAAACCTTGGAAAATTCCAGTTCTCAGGCATGCATGTTAACGTTTTACCCAAAATTTGAAACACCAGCTAATTCTCGTGAAGAAATCGAGATTATATTTATTGTTGATGTGTCCAATTCAATGGATGGTACTCATGTACACCAAGCGAAACAATTGGCTCATTTATTCCTCACTAACTTATCAATTAATGATGTGAAGACGTATTTTAACATCATTACTTTTGGATCAGGTATGATATATTACACAATTTATTGATTGCTATAATAGAATTCGATTTAGATAATGATGAATGCTTTCCTATATCTGTACCAATAACGAGAGAAAATCTTGACAAAGCTAAACATTTTGTTCTGGTTTGTTACTTTTCTTGAAATAAGTGTCTTCCTCTACTGAATTCATTCTAGCATTCACTGATTCATCGTGGTAATACAGATCTATTCTCTGTTCTTCACCGTTACTCA